GGAATCCCGAAGTGAACGGAGAAGAGGAATACACTGTTTGGAGAATTGGAAACAGACATGAGAAGGATGAATAACAACTGAGGATTGCCTAGGATAGAGTTGTATGGGGAATGCTGGTGAGAGACCTATGCTCCTCCTTGTGAAGTAATAGGTTTAAGCTCACAAGCTGGTATGTTGGCTTGGTCTGTTGTTCTGTATTTTGACTCTGGTACCTAAATATTGAAGATAAGTAGTGAAAGTTATTGTGATAATCATATATAGAACAATATTTTGTTAGGTTTTTAACAGACAAATTAAACTTAACCGTTTTTATCTTAGGATGTGTGTTACTCGTTATCATGTTTGAAGTTGAGAATTGCCTAGGACAGAGTTGTATGGGGAGTACTGGAATGCTAAACCCAAATATTAAGAGATTAAAAGTAGTTCACGGTGTACGGTCACCACACAAACTTCAATATTTTGTCTCGAATCACAGCTGACCAATTCAGGTATGTGGTTACGGTCTTCTATTGTCTGGAATAATAACTCAGTGATATAAACGTATTTTGAATACCTTGAGTGGCGAAGTAAACTTAAAGCTGTAAAATCAGTCCGACGTTCAGAACAGTTGTACGAAGGATTTTGAGTCTCAAAACATGAGACTATCTAGCAGTCAAGGAGAATTGCACGTGATTAAGGACAGCTGTGATAGAAATAAATGATCTACAATAACTTTTTCTCGAGCAATAATTATTAAAGAAACCTATTGAAGATCAGTGTGATTGTCAATGGTCTATACAGACAAGGTCCGATACCTAATTAATTGGCCGTAAAACAAAGAAGGACATTTCAATTTCTGTTTTTTTTCCATATAAATACCCAAAATCCGCATACATTCGAATTTATTGTTATTATAATGACCAATCCTTTGACACATTATTTATTCTACTTTTTTTCCTTCCTCTCCCTCGTGTATCCTTCCATGTAAATTTTAGTTTCATCCATTCAGACTTTACAATTAAAAACATAACATATTGTATTGCGATTGTTGAAATACATTGACTTTTCAGATTTTTATCTTCGCTACATATGTATGGCCTCTGTAAATTGGTTTATCACGGTCATTCTCTCTAAAATTTAAATCTTTGTGCACGTCCTTCTGAATTTTTACTTCAAAATCTGTTATTCCACGATTAAATTGCACCGAGTTAAAAAAAATTTCAATCTGTTTTAAAATACCTCTATGATTGTTAGTTTTATTCTTCTACACAAACGTTATTATTAGATTAAGTTTGTAGTTCACTTATCTATTCTTTCTTTTTTCCTTATATCCTTCTGAGTGCTACAGAGGTTGTTTCAACAGAGCGAATATTATGTAAAATTTATTAAAGCTTGTATAGAATTCAATATATGACGAGACCTGCAATGGTTTCTTTACAACGCTTATGTATCAGCTGGCAGTCTGTGAATAATAATAAGTCTTGCACTAATAGAATCAATGTCAGATTGTTAGTGTATTGTTATGCGACTGCGAAAGGCAAAAAATAGAATTTTCTATAAACCTTAAGTTTAGAAGAAATTGTAGATAGTTATCCTCGAATTTTTTGCTCAACACTCGGTCATCAGTGAAGTACGTGTAATTGAATAATAATACCAAGATGTAGGAGTAAAGATATCAAATGATTTACAATAGCTCGTCACAAGGACATTAAATAAATCAATTTCTGGATAATTTTTCATTGTTGACTTGAATTTCGTACTGCCAAATGTAGTAATTACAAATAATTTTGGATGGAAGTTTACTAGAAGAGCAATGGTAAAGATGTTTTGGTCGGTAAGGAACATCACACGAACCAGCATCTAATGACACGATTCATTTTGCAACCTTATGGTGTGGTGAAAAACCTCATCTGCGTTCCAAACAATGCTGTTGCATAAGTAAGTCTACATAGTTTGGTAAAAATCCAAAACACTTATGGTGATGTTATAACTTTCTTCTTATGATGTAGAAATTTCAAAAACACTTGGATGTTCAGTTAGACCTTTCATATCTTATATGCGTTGAAATCGTTCAGTGAATAGCACTTCATCGGAGATCTAGTATTGTTATGGGAATGAACATCGATCTCTAGTTCACGAAATGAGGAACCGAATTGTAACAGTTTCTTGCCAGAGTGATCGTTCTTCTCAGACAAGGCCTGTGCTCTTAGTGAAAACTAATTGACAAGATGGTTTCAACCACAACTTTTATGATGCCCTTGCTAAACGCGATTCTGCAAACAATTCAACAGTACAGATGAACAACATGAACGGAGATCGTGACACCTAATTTTTAGAGAGGTTCAACAGCCTTGAGAATAAACAGTTACATTGTGAACATGTAGAAAGAAATTCAACTCTTAATGAATGTGGTAAATTACTGTTTCAGTCACCAAAGACCTCAAATGCTCTTTTATCGTTTGTTTACAATTCATATCTATCCCAATAATACAGATTTCGAATTTCTATTTCTTCAGTGATATATCGTGAATAAAGTCAACTTACTACCGATTCTCATGAAAACCCAATCACCATAAAAGTGCTTACAAGTTAGTTGTGTGTGCTAAGCCTAGTCGAAAACACAATTCTTGTAGCCGATAGCAAATCTCATCCTACGGGCGATATTTAGCAAATAGACCTGGAACAGGGCGTAACTTATTATTCATGACATCTCACCTAACTGATGTGAGATAATGTAATTAGGCAAATGAATAAAGCATAATCACATTATTGCGTCCAAAACAGCGTAAGATTTGGAAATGCACCCTGATGTGACTCAAGTAGAAGAGTTTAACAAACGTTTTGTGATGAAATGAAGGAATGATCTATTACAGAGGTCAATAAAAATTAACATTCACTTCCTTTCGAACACATAAATCAGAATCCTGACACCTGATGGTAACAGATTCACCAAACTTCGTAGGAAAATTGCAAGGTATCGACCTGATACCTTGTATCCAAGATATGTTAGGTAATTGAATTTTTAAAATAGTCACCTTTTTCATTCTAGGACTTTCTGAAGCACGTCGAAAAATCCATGATATGCTCCCCTACTGTTAGTTCAATGTAGCTGCTTAGTTAGCTGTAATATTTACCTGCAATTATGATTACTTGGCAATTGTTCGAATGCATGTTTGAAACCATAAAATACAATACCTTCAAATGTACTCACTTCTTACTCTCTGATATAAATACTGGTCCATCCGTGACTACTATAGTACGCATCACAAAATCATTAGAACTGTAGGTTGTTTTGCCATGCCGAATTATATTACCTCTGTTTGTTACACACACATTTGGTTGAGCACAGACTTCGGTGATATTGTCATTTGTCATAGGTAAATTAAGCCTTCATGAAAATAATATATTTGGTATAGTAAACTAAGCTTTTAAATTTGCGTCAATAGGATTATTGAAATGTCACAGGAAGTTGAATTGGTTGTCCAAGATATTAAGTTCGATGGTCATTCACATGGCATGCACATGCGATAATGGTCAAGCTCTGAAATTTTTCAAACACAATACACTGACTACATATTTTCTATCTTTTTCACAGATCAAGGAAGCCAATCAACCTGATCGTCAGGACAGACCAGCCAATTATCGCACGCCACAATTTCCACTTTAGATTACAATCTAGATTACATTATCATCATCTGACTTGAGCGGGTTGACAGGTCAAAGTTGTCTAGCTATTCGTTTGTTGTCTCCCAAGTATAAACCAATTCCAAGGACAACACTGCCTTTTTTTCCAAGTTGGGCACCGGGTATCAGGAAGTAACCGTACCATTGAGCTTGAGATCAATATCTTGTAGAAATGAATTTTGTGGTTCAACATTGTTTTCAGAATGCTTCGCTAGTGGTATTCACACCTTTCTTCATTTATCAACCCAGTTAATGGCTCAAAACCTTCAGGTGGTCATTCTAAAACAAGTGCTGATATTAAAGAAGTCACATAAAGTGTGATTAAGATTATGAGTGTGTAGATGATTTGTGCCTAATGATCGGGAGCCTACTCGAGTTAGATGGGATCGGTATGAACATCTAGCTAACATTGAAATCACATTTCACGGTTAGTACCTAACAGGGTTTACTCTTTTGTCATGTCCAGGTACTATGTCTACATCGGTGACTGTACAACACAAACGATGTTATTACTTAAATATAATAGTAGGAGTAGGTACAGGGAAGAGCTATCACTGCTACATGATCCAGTTCATGTAGTGAAGTGAACTGATGCGCGTTGGTTTTCCTTGATTTCGACGATGATTTGTGAACTGTTCGATATTCAGTGACCGGGCTAACGGATGGTTTAGCTAGGGCCCAGTGACATTTCATTGGCCCTATAAATATATTCCATGGCACCACACAGGAGGATGAAACTTAATTTCTATTATTCCCAGAGCCATCATGAGGCTTTTCGTGACCCATGGGCCCATCGATTAGCTGTCCAAATTTTTTCGACACCAGTAAGTAAAACACAAGCTCACGAAAGTCACTAGAAAATGAGAATTAATTTTATGCAATTCTTTGTCCCCTAGTAACTTAAAAATAACTATGGTGGGACTCTTAATGATCGAATTTCGAAGGGATTTTTTATGATGACTATCTAGTGTTCGTTTCCTTAGAGTAATGGAAGGATTGAAATTTTAATTTTTTCCCTTGTCATGATGAATTCAAAGTTGACAGATAGTGAACTTAAGTATGAACACAAGAAATCTGAAAGTTGAAGAGCTTAAGTTGATTTATCAAAGCTGATTAAGAAGCTTATATGAGAGATGGTTTGCTTAAGTGAAAAAATCGATAGACTTTCAATGCCAAGTACCAGACTGGTCAGCATTAAAGTGGTAAGAATGCTAGTTAGTAAGTATACAGTTTTTAACAGTAATTTGATGTATGTTTGCGGATATCTTAAAGATTGTATTAAAATTGTCTGTTCTCAAATAAGTTTCAAATAACAACCTAGACTTTTAACATAAGATAAATCATGTTGTATACTGTGTTCTAGTTGTTGAAATTTGTTTTCCGTATGCCCCCGCTCGATTTGGAGGGGTGCAAATGGTTGTTGTTCGCGTGTGTTTACTTCAGAAATGAGCTGAGTTCACCAACTATCAGTTTCCATACTTGTTATTGATTCTGATTTTCATATTGGCTACATACGTGTCAGTTATTTACAATGCGTCGACAACTGGATGGGTTTGACAGCCCTTGCATTTCAGAACGGGAGTATGTAAAGCTTCAGTATGGCCGTAAAATCGCTCAGGATGCTTGTCTCTTAGCCACTATGAAAACTCCAGACTGGTCACATGGATCTCCTGCATTTATTGGCAAACACAATATAGTTCCATGCACTGTGACTACCAATTCTGGCAATTCTACTCTTAAAATGTATCCTTACTCAGTGTATTCATGTAAGTTCACGTCTTCCTAGAAGGTTGAGCCTCATTGAATGTACTTTGCATGTTTCAGCATTGTCGTGAATCGTTTCAATATTTTTGCCTCAGCAATCTGATTCTATGCCTTGTCGTTTCCACTACATTTATTAGTAATGCCTGGCGTATCTGATATTGTCTTTATTTATAGTATGGGTATCAAAAAGCAGTAAAACTACGATTTCTGGACGTCCTTTAGACAACGTTAAAGCAATCCTAAGAATGTCCACCTGTTAATTAGTGTCAAATGATGGTTATAAAGTAGTGCAAGAGATCAGGATTACAATTCCCTGTTGGGTGTTATGGTTAAAAATTAAATTTAGGGTTTTAGTCACAGGATGATACCTTTTATAATGCCAAAAATGCTATTTGGCCAAAAGTTAAGACTTATTTTAAATCTGATTGAGCCGTCCACAAAATATAGCCTTGCCCAAACTTCTAATACGTTACAATCAGGCAGACTCGGTTATATATCTAGCTTTTGCGAATTGTATTTTGGTATGTTCAAAGTAATCTGTTTGGTTAAATCCCTCTATTCTTACTAAGTCTACCTGGACACTTGCTGTCTATGGACTGATAACGTAAATGTATGTAAACATCAGAATCCTATGATGTGGTTCCTAGTATGGCAAGTGTTATATATTGAGTAAATCAGTCACATAGGTTGGTTTGCTCGACTTTCACTTAGATTAGGGTAAGCGATTCCGTCCGACCTGTTGAACTTGTTTAGCTAAAATTCCTTACTTTAACTATATGTCGGGAGTTCCTTCTGATTAAATGTGTGTTTCTTATGTCGGGACATTACTTAGTCCGTACTTTGTTGATCATAGCCTTCCTTTTTGTTTGGTCATCCTGGTACCAAAACCATGCACATCTGCGTAATGCCTTGTGTTAATAATCTAGTGTTTAACAATTTATCTTCGGATGGATGGGTTTTTATTCGAAAGAGTTCCTAAAATGCACCACATGTATTTTGTGGATGATATATATATATATATATATATATATATATATATATATATATATAATAGGATGTTTACTGAGTGACAGACTTTCGAGACTTAATTGTACTTTCGTTTTCCCATTTTATTATTCAGCATTCAGACCTCTGGAGACAAAGTTCCATCCCTGTTTGGTGAGACAGGAATGTCGCATTAATTAGTCTGTCAATTTCCAGACATCGTTTTCTTGCATCCTTTGCTAATCCTCCGGGTGCAGTTCGCTATCTCGAACACTGTTTTTCTACTCGTAATTCTTCGGTTTATCATATTTTTTCATGGTAAACAATTATGTGATGGAGACTTCCCATAAAGTGTCACGAAAACGTTAATATGATCATTTATTTATCTTTGTAGGTGCTTGTCAGTCGGATCTCAGTCGATGTCATAAATATCGGTCGAATTATTTGAGACATCGTTGCCTGTCGGGTCCAACAGTTGCTATGCTACTTCCAACAGTGAGTCACGAGTCAACATCTCTTTCACGCACTGCTGTCCACTCCTCAGTATTTGAAAACTGTGGTCTCGGAGTAATAGATCAATCTATTCCATTGTCTCACTTAATAATTCCACGTTCTCCAGGACCGAAGATGACGTCAAACTTATCACATCTCAATATGTGTCCTAAGCCGCTTTCTCGTATTTCGAATCCTTTTTTTGAACCTCACTGTTTTTCCAGTACTGAATTTCACTCTACTCATGCATCTCATTCGCGTTTCGCGTGTAGCTAGAATTATTTTAAGTGCTGGCGTACTTTTAACAACCCAACGCATTTCTGATGAAATTTGCCCAGTCAATTTTATGGTCTCGACCCCTGTTTATCTCGTTCCTTGCATTTAACTACTAGATGGCACATTATTACAAATTCTTTGTCCTTCACCACATAAATCTCAGTAATTTACCACCTAGTTATGCTAAGTTTTCATTTTTTCATAGTACTATTATGTATTTGAAATCCTCTAAATTGTAGGATTTTTATCATTCATACCAACTTATGTTTGGTTCATTCCACACTAACTTTGGAACTGCTTTTCTTTTTTTGTCAGCAACTATTTATACACTGGCGTATACGTCACGTCAGTGATTGTTCGAATAACTTTCCTTGATTAGGTATTGGAACTAATTTCGTTTTATTCCAGTTCTTTTATACATACGCTTTCTATAATTATGCTTTTTGTTTATATTTATTTATGTACTTCGTATATATTGTGTTTACAGTTTTTTTTATGGATCTCTATGCTACTTATTGTTTTTAAAATGATCTATTTACTTTCTGGTTTCACTCGATGACCACATTTCATTCTAATTGCTAAGCCGATTACTATAAAGTCCTTAGAATTGTTTTAACGTAGCGTGTTCATTTTATAAGGGTGAAAAGCTCGTATAGTAGCAAAGCAGTTACTAGTTTTGATAACAGTATCATTTGAAATTTTTACTCACTCATTGTGTGCATCGAGCCTTACTACTAGCAGCTAAAGGTATGAATAAAATACCTTGGCATACTCTACAATCATATTTGGATCGTCAAGTTTCAGATACAAGATAACTCCAAGTAACCTTGTCGTCATTCGAACATTGAGCAGTAAAATCCCCATTTCATAGATTAGTGTGGAAGTTACGATTTTAAACTGATGTGACTGCTCCAAATGTTTTAGTGATGTCATTTACTTTATTGTCAAATCTTAAACCAGTTAAAGGCTTTCACATCGTTCATTCCCCATGCGGTTGCCACGTTCATTTTAACCAGCATGACTGTCTGATTTCCGCGCATTCCACACAAGTGGTTCTCCTCATTAATTTAAATAAAGGCTAAACACCAATTGATGCATAATTTATTTATTTAAACACAAATATTGGTACAAGGAAGCACCAGATAAATATGCGCCTCACAAATCTCATTTGATTTGTGTGAGGGCTGTGATACTACCCAGGTGCCCAAACAAGCAGGTGGTTTTCTTAGGAGGCCACACCCGGTGCCTTTGACCTAAAGGTCTGATCCACAAGGCAGTGGAGCATCGTAAGGAAATACAGTCCCATGGTAGTCAGTGTCCAACAGCAGGTTCATGCGCCATTTGTTCTCTCAAGATACTGGAGCCCATGTGCATCATTGGTTTGGAATCACGGTTTTCCAACTCCTCTAGGTGAACTTTCCGTGTCCACCAACCCAGTTAAAGGGCCGGACATTCGCTTTTCGTTCTCTCAATTTCTTAAACAACACCCCAGCCAGGAGAAGGCAGTATGTAAGACTTCCCTGGCAGATGCTATATACGCGTGGCCATGTGAGAGCATTTCGAGCGGGAGAGCGGACTCTCCCCACATTCGGCCGTACCAGGGCATTTGGGGGGGGGGAAATAATAACATGAATTTGTTTTATTCCGTGGTTTTTCATTAGCTGCCTACAACCGTATTTGTATTAATGTGTAAAAAATGTAATGTAGAGTAGTCGAAATTTGCTCGATTGTCCACACTTAGCTTGAGATCATCCATGTTATCACAAATTTTCGTTGTCACTATATTGATTAGTTACTCATGTATTTAAGGTTGTGAATAATGAGATCTAAAGGGTCTCGGTTACCTTAAAGGGACAATGTAGTTGTCCTCAGTTGTGCTACTTGGGATTATTAGCACTCATTTACTGATAATTCCAATTACCACTTCAGACATTGTACACAAAAATAGCATGACTACTTAGTCTGTGTATCAATTTCGGTATGGACTACACTGATCCCCAGTAATGTCTCAGCCAGTAAGTCATACGCAGCGTAGGATTCAGCACACATACATCAGCTCAAGATGTCACACCCCGTTAACAGCGGATCCTAGAGCTGTAGGGATACTAAGAGTAATAGTTGTGATGGAAAAGACTAGTTATCGAGGATGTGGTTTTAGAGGAAGCCAATGTATGGTCTTACATTTGGTTTTTAATATACTGTACTTGAGGCTTATGGCAACTTGAACCGATGCACATATGTGCCTGGTCCTACGTTGTAGCTGACTGACTGAGGCTTTAATCTCCTCAACACATACGTTTTTCGGAATGCTTATTTTTCATTACAGATGGAAACAAAGGGGGTATGGTTTTGCTGGTAATTAACAACGAACTTGGTCAGATTTGCACGGGGATGTTTTCTTCTGACTTATTTCATAAAATTATTAGAATAATTAAACTTCATAAGTTTCGTCTAATTTGGAAGTAAATAATTCAGCTAATATTACAGATTGGAGTCAGCGTTTGAAGATAAGTTTGCCCATAATAAGAACTATTTTCTCTATTTGTTTGGACGACAAACTGGTTTCTAAGTAAGTACTTTTATAAATAAAGGTGATTATATGTATCATGCGATATTTTACTAGTAGTGGGTTATATTTAACAAGAATTGTAAGTTTCCCTACAGTAAAGAACTTTACCCACATATTAATATCTCATAAGCGGTTTCCTAGTGAAAGCTGGTATGTATTTAGGTTCCGTGCAGAAAATTAGAGCTTATTTTAACAACTTTGATAGTACACAGTATTTTGTAAAGTATGAAGAAGTGGTCATCGAATTATTATAAATGTATCAGACTAAACTAGTCCATCTTTGGTCACAGTTCATCACGTGTGATACATTTACCATACAGTTGATGGAATACAGATTTCATTATTTTAAACAACAAAACTGGTTTGCCTTAAGGACGAATATCTTCTCATATGGTATTCATGTCATGAATGTAATTTATTTAACTAGTTCTTATGTTTGTTCATGTACTGTCTGAACCTAATTCTTAACATGTTTAAGTATGGTTACTCGTCATAACTATGAGAGGTTTTCACTTTGAATACAAAAGATCTTGAACGAATGGTGAGTTACAGTAGATAATTTTAAAGTAGGTTATTAGGTAGAAAGAATATTTTCGATGTAGGTGAGTGGTGTCACGATGTTTCTTTTCTAGAAAATTAAGCTCAGAAACCTTAACCTTCAGTAACCACTGTAAGCCGATCTGAACGAAATTTAGAATCGTCATTAAGATTCTGTGTATTTCTCTCAATTCTAATCACATACAAGAAGGAAGCGAATATGATAGTAATGGTTAAATATTACTTTTATGAAAATGTCAACTTAGAAAATCCAAAAAAGAAAGAAAACGGAAGTAGTGCTTAGAATTCTAATTAGGTTAAAGAAAATACTAAATGTTCACTTCTTGATAGTTTGCTCGCGTTAGAAAACAAAGTGACATTCGTGAGTCTTGCTTAAATTTATGGATTTTTAGTGAATCTTATGCCAAAAAAGATAAGTGTAAATCAGACGTAATTAATTTTAGACTTTCTCGAAATCATTGGACTAATTTTATCACCAGTCACTTGCACCGCCCTAGGAGCTTCTGCTTCTGTTGCCGTTTTAGTAGTTGAAATGTTAGCTGTACCAACGACAACCGATGTTGTTATTGGCGATTTGGTAATATCCCGCAGTTGATCCTTTTCATCTGGAGACTTTTCCTCTAAGTTTTCGAGTTTCAGCATGAAATTCCCTGTAACTTTATGCTCTACTTTAGTTTGGTTCGATTGGTACTTGGATTTCTGTTGAATCGGTGATTTTTTATCGTTGTCATCACCGCTTACTTCTGGTACGAATGCGAAGTCAATTTCGGATAGCTTTTCACGTGAATTCAGCTTGGGTGCTGGTGTTCTGACTAGGGAGGCTAATTCTTGCCGGGCTCGTACTTGTGCATGTAGATATGGAGCACCTAAGTAAAGATCAAACAGATAATTCGAAAAATTATAAAGTGCCGTATATAATCTGGTTTTTAGCATGATGAAATATATTGATAGAATGAAGTCAGTTTACTAACTACGATCTGTAATTGTAGGTTAACTTTTGTTTGGTGCTGACTGAGAGGTTTGAGGTTGTCATGGTTAGGATCATGTACAACATCTGTATAACCAGTATAGAAAAAACGGTAATAAAATCAAAATATTATGTAAAATTCTGATTAATTCTCATATATTGCTACTAATATACAATTTACATGTCGTTTACAAGCTAGTTTATTTCTATTTCATAGACTAAATATGGGATTAAGTTACGGTGACTCATAATTTCGCATTATATATTATCAAGGATTGTTAAACATAGTATTATGCTCGAATTATATCTATATTGGAACCCGAAAGCTTCCTAAAATCTAATCGGGAGAAATAACTTTCTTTAGAACACTTATTAGATTAGCTAATGTTAGCAATAAAAACACTATTGTGTTGTACAGCATTAATAAGACACAAATAACCGAACTGTTATTTTCATATAATAATCGAATGACCCCGAAGGATCCTTCCAGCAATTTTGTCAGGAACACCGCTAGCGCATATCAAGTACTATTGAGAAAATTCTGTTAGATATCTTCTAAAATCATAGATTCGACTGACAGATGGTAATAAGACAACCGTTAATTGGCTGTTCATGTGTCAAATATGTGCTGAGTGTTTATAGAATTAATTACCACTTTACTAGTTCTGCCCCAGTACTTCCCAAGTATTCTTTTATTTCACAAGGTACTGATCTAATACTATCTATTTCTTGACTTGAGTAAGTATGTGCATGTAGAACTTATTACATTGAATGTATTTATAAAAATTATCTCACCAGATCCATAAAGTGATGAGGCGATTGCAGCAGCAGCTGCTGGTCCAAGTGGTGCTATTAACCCTTCACTAACTAGTGAATTTTCACTTTGATTATCTGCATTTGAATCATTAGATAGTCTGGCTTTTAAAGTATCAGTACGAAGATTTTTATACATCTGAGCATTTCCAGTCAGCTTTGTCTCCCTAGGAGTTGATAGAAGAACGAAAGTCTCAAATATATCAATGTAAGAAAAAAGATAAAGCACTTGAGATGAAACCTAAACTGAAAAAATGGAATTTACTATTGTTTGAGTATTATAAATTCTACACAATTAGTAAATCTAGTAGATATGTAAGATTTAAGTCATCGACCTCAAGAATATCAAACATGAAGTGAAATCGAGTGTCGGATATAAGAAATTTTGAATATTTATGACCATACAAACAAGTATCCTGATCATCATACATATATTCTTAGTTTAAAGCAAACAATTGTGATTTACGGTAAAAAGTTGAGTCAGTCTCATTTTTTAATCTCAATGATCCCACAATAATGTAACTACTAGTTACCGAGCTCTTGTTCTTCCTGTCTGTCTCTGATTGACCTGAGTTTGCATGAAAGCACATCATTAGGATGTTAGTGAAATGAAGAACCGAAGAATACTTATCTCGCAATAACGTATATGAAAGGTGGCCATGGTACTTGATTAGTTGTCAACCAATTATTCAAAAATCGTTTGTCCAATTGTTACAGGAACTCATGAACCATACTTTGATTTATATTATTGGCTAAGTATTTCATTTTATTCAAGTTTTTTAGTGCTGTTTTAATTTTATGTCTTTATAAGCCTATTATCAAGAATCTACTTTGTCTGAGGAACTAAACTGACTGGTCCAAGCAGACCCGTTATCATACTGTACCAATGAATCACTTACCGTCTAACAACTCAAGTGCTCGGTAAAATGGACATGTAAGAGTAAAAATTAGTACAGTTGCTTTACTGAGAGCATTCATAAGAGCGTATTTTTGCGCGCCCATCACCTGACTGAAATGTGACCAAGCCTCAATCTCATTTGACTCATCTAAACATCCAAACGACATAGTTAATTAACTTATATAATTCAGAAGGGGTTTTGTGGATATTATAGTAATTTTAATAGTTGAGATCATGAATCAATTGAAGCTAAACCACCATGGAAAACCTGAAAGGACTGAGGAGTCCCACAACAGAACAAAACGGCCGTCCACTGCTTCAATTGATTCATGATCTCAACTATTAAAATATATAATTCAGTTATGATAGACCAAATAGCAAAAATGATTATCTAAAGTATCCAAATATAACTATAAACAGCACTCACTGAGTTCTATTCCTTTTATGTCCTGGTTTTTGGCTTTTTCTTACTAGACTTTCTGCAGAAGCTGTTAGAAAAAAAAGTCGGTAAAACTGGTCTGACTTTAAAATAATACTTTATAAACTAATTAACTATATGCATACATAATGGATCCTGATAATATCCTCTGTAGATGGATAAATCAGTTTAGCGTACTCACTTTCGGGATTACCTGTCTAAAACTTTATTATGAAAATTTCGAAGGATCGTCACTATTCTTAATGCCGATCAAGATAAATGACACATCTCAATCATGTTCAGACTAAGTAATGGCTTTCTTAAATGTATCTTAAATTAACAATTTTCTGAATCGAAATGCGTATTTTTGAACGAATGTATTAGAAAACTTCAACGTTTAGGTTTATGGATGGGTGGTTTGGGCTGAGGTAGTAGTCGGTGTTAAATACCGGTGTTTTATCTGATGATTTATCTGGCTTTCAACTGTTCCATATATAGTATGAGTTAATAAGACCAATTTAGTCCATTGTAATGTCAGTTGCCATATCAAGCCCACGTAGCTTATTCTAGACTGTGAACAGATAAACTTATTGACTCTTCTCAAGCCACATTTTGACCCTGTCAATTATTCGTTTACCAACCTTGGCGTATGTATATACATTTCTGATCTTACTCATCACATACCTGTAACTTATTTTTTGTCTGACTATAAATATCGATCAACGCTAGGTTGAGTTGGCTCACTCGCCTTCTCTATTGAGCGTCATTTTGTTTTGCTTCGATTTCCGATCAACGATTGTATGAAATATACGTATTCAAAATTCAATTTTCATATTTGACTTATCTCATTATGTTATTCACTAACGCGAGTTGAGTCGATAGTTATATACGAGGATTGGTGACATGTATACTTCAGTAACAATCATTCATACGATCCAAATGGAGTCAGATCTAGGGCCACAAAACCATTGAAATGAATAATACAGTTATCGATAACGTCACCTATATGTCTCATTGTTGCATAACATTGGATGTGTCTTATATATTGGGTGTTCCAGTAATGCAAAAGTTAAATTATGTTCCTTCTGCATCAAAGATCTATCAACAATCAAGAATAACGCTTTGAACTGTTAATTAATGTGGCACCTTAAATTCATCTACTGTAGTCAGTCATCAGTCATTTTATTATTCTATCAATAAAGTTGCATCAAACCACTTGTGGACCCTACAGGGTTAATTATCCTTGATACGTTTTATAATTGAATCCAAGACATTAGTAGTGAGCTAATTATGTTATCCTTGCTTAACATACCTTATAACTTGAAAGAGAATCATTTGATTATACAGTTAATGACACCCCTTGATATTGTGACTCCAACTATTATCAAAGAGGAATAATGATACGTAAAAATTACAAATTAGAATCAGTATTTTGAAACTCTTGGATTTCAAATACCACACTTACCAGTTAAGATTGGATCCGTTTGACCATAATCTCTAGTTCGCACTAGGAGACAACTACCCTCATGAGCATGGATACGTTTTCGAGGATCTCGTACTCCAGTAGTTTGTCGAAACTCCTGATTGAAACTTTTTCTTCCAAGTAAATGCCTGTCCAAATCTAAAATGAGACTTTGTTTACAAATTTCCAAAAATGCAATACGGACTGCAATAATTAGGTTCTTTATTATATCTACCCAGTTCAACCTTAATTCTGATGATGGTTAGCGATTATGATTCTTCAGATTTGTTCGCAAGCAAAATTTACCTGAACATATTTATTATCGGCAGTTGTATAAAAGCAAGAAACTAAACTAAAAGTATTGAAATAGGTATTTCATGGACAACTAGTTTTTATAAGACTCTAGTTAGAAGCAAATGTTGTAACCTGTTTTAAGAGTTCGGAAAAAAGTGATATAATGAATATCAGACTTGGTGTATGATTATTTCATATCAGCTAATTTAATGAATCAAACTAACCATATAATGTATATGTAATGCTTGAAGCAGACACGTTAAAATAACCATGCACTCATTTTGAAATGCAAAATCTGATCGAACATGTAACCGTCAGATTCATCAACTCAACCGTGTTGGTTAACTTTTCCTAAACTTTGTGACTAATTCGAATGCTTTATATGTACCCTTATAGTATGCCTTCGTTTGTTTGCTTATCTATCGACTTATCTACTGGTCACACTCCATTTTTCTATTGCACTAAATATCTGAGATGCGTTGGCATCTTGCATCGTTTAAACGTATTTCAGTAAGATGCGGGTTAGTTCCGCTGATGTAATCCTGGATTTATTTCAGCATAACAAAATTCCGACTGTAAATTTTATTCTAACAAAATTACTGTTCATTCAAGTGCCGGTGTCGATATGAATCAAAGGCAGTTAATGTGATGTTTTTATTTCTGGTTTTACTACAACAACAACTACTACTATGACTATAAAAATCAATAATGTCGTTCTTCTGAATAACAACAACCATTAAATATTTAGATCATAGTTATCTGTTAAAAAGTTTTCAATGTAAGGAGAGTGTGTAATGAACAACTTTATCAATCAAGAGTAAACTGGAGTATGCTTTCGTGTTTGATTCAGCTAAACCTTTTAGTTTTACAAAAACTTGTGATTATTTTGTCTATTTGGAAGAAGGATGGATTTATCTGAAAAGTGAAACTATATAATATATTGTGCCAACTAGTGAAAATATATTCTATATTCTGAAGCAGAAACTCTGAGTACTTGTTTTCATTTGTTATTACACACTGAAATGTGTTACCAAAAGATATCAGGCTAGCGATGCCGCTTACGAAATTTAAACCCCAATTCTTTAACACCATATTCAGATGTATTTACTACCGTAACTAAACAAAGAAGTACTGCAATAATAAACTGTATAAATGTACGGTGTATCTATTACTAATGGTTGTTTCGATTACTTTCAATGCCGATTGTAACCGAAAAAACGCTGCAACTGCATCGTGAATAGGTAACAAGAGTTTTTTTTTTTGAGGCAAGTAGTAAGTTTAAATATTGTCACACCAAGATATCAGTTGATGAACTTCTATGAAGTTCAAGGTTTAAAGCGTTGTATGTTTGGATCACTAGACCATAATTCTAAAACAAAAAGCGGATGATTATTAAAACGTAATTGAGATCAGTTTGATGTGAAAACTGCTTTCGAAGCGATATAATCTTGAGATATAAAAATAACTAGCATGATCTTTTTTTTTTCCTATGAAAATTTCCATTTCTCGTCGTTCTGTTTATAATAAAACCAAAAGACGCTTCCATAATAACCATTACGAAGAACTATATTATATTTAGTATAATTAGGCGCCTTAAGAAGTGAATAAAAATGTCCAATTTCGCATACTTACTTGATATTCCAATGGTATTTTCATCACGGTAATCTACACTACATGTAGAGTTTGATGTAACTGAAGCCAGAACATATGATTGGGGTTTCTGATTTACTTGATCTTTTGAGGATACTTTGTGAGAAGATTTATGTGTATATTCATCTGTATTTTTCGATACAACTTTAGTTAATTTAGCATGCTTGTTACTACGAGCTGAAACGGAACTTGTATTATCTGATGAGCGTAAACGACGCAATGAATCATGTAAACTTGATGTTCTAGGTAAAGTCATTTCATTGTAACTTCGTTTACTGAACGCCTAGGGAACAAATTGAACAAAAGTTTAGTAAAATCCATCTCATGCTCTTTGGAAGTAGCAAGTTATTCCTGATATTTATGGGATTATTACAAAGTTTTTCCTTCAATTGTATTTCGATGTTTATACTGTATTAAATAATTGCAAAGAAATTTGTTTTGCCTCGTAAAGTTGGTTAAAAATTTCCATTATGTTAAAACACATACAGATATATGAACGAATATTTCGTTCAGTGAGTTTCCATCAGGTACTACAATTACAAATCCATATTAACGTTCCAAAGGGATAGTCACGTTTACAGCGAAATATTTAAAATTACACTACATGAATTTAAGATCGTTGGTGAAATATAATAAATTGTAATTATTGGAATGACTAGTGTTTACTGTTAACTAGAACAAGTTTCTGGGTAAATTGAAATTGTTCGACTGAAAATCATAAAAATTATGAAGAACTGTCGTGATACAAGTTATTATCCTAAGCCGCTCAATAAATTACTACGCCTTAATCGAGCGTATGCTTACAGGAAAACACTAAAACGTTATGCTCCAAACCATACTGATTAATTTGGTTTTTATATAAATGATTATTGATCGCTGACAAATTGCCTTTGATGAACTAACAGATGACCTTAAACTTCCGTCTATGGATTGCGTTACAAAAGTGATCAAACAACATGGACATGAAAAACTTATCAAACTTCTTAAAAACCTAGAAAACCAAGCAGTAGAAACAGATTTTCAAGGGAATCTGAGAAGTATATTCATAATTTTCCAACCATTGAGTAAATAGAGAAAATTTTGAAATGGTGGCATTGCATTCGAAATTATGTGACCCATGCAGTTGCATGAACCATATGATTACAGGCTTTTATTTTGAAAACATTTGTAGTCAGATGTTGTATTTCGTTTCAACCTTCGTTCAGAAAATATTAGTATAATAACAATAAATATAACTACATAATCGTTCAATGAAAAACAAAAGGAAGCGAACGTATTAAAGACAAGATTGGTATGTAGCCTGATAAGGGGGACAGAAACTGTTCTACTCGATAAAAAAAGTTGTGTCGATGAAACTAATAGAGTCTTGAATGATAAATCAACATTTGTGGAACTAAATGACAAGAAAGACTTCAGTAATGAGATAGAGGATGATCGTATCAGGTGTTTAAAGAAGTTTGAAGATCAGTAGAAAATTTCATCAATTATGTATGAAACGATAAGCTCAGTAGGAACTCATATCAATAATTACAATTTATTTCATCAACGATCTTAAATTCATGTAGTTTAATTTTAAATGATGTTTCGCTGTAAACGTGACTATCCCTTTGGAACGTTAATATGGATTTGTAGTTGTGCGGTGAACAAGTGGACGAGTGGGGACAATCGGATCTATTTAAGCACATAATTACAGAATATCTCAGTCAAATCTGAGAACCATATGGTAAATAGTTAATTTGCAAACTATCAATCAATTGACTCAGTCTTGACCGTTCATTTTGTAAATATCAGTTCATCGTCTCCGATTATTATTGTTCATGCATTTTAATAGCAATTTCGCTTCGTTCCCGTTCTTTTGTTATCTATCTTATACTGAAATACATTCAATGCCCGACCATCGTAATATACTACTTATGTGGATATAAGTAACCCACATCACAATTGTAGTACCTGATGGGAACTCACTGAACGAAATATTCTTCGTTCCTACATCTGTCTTTTGAAGTTATTGAAATTTTAATGTACACGTAAACATGGAGTATCAACGTACTTTTATATCGGAGTTGATAATTTGCAGTTCATTTGACAGACTTCTTAATATTGAAGCGACTGTTTGTGGGATAGGTAAGTGTAATCCAATTAATTTTTGATTAACAATTTGTTGATACGCTTGTTCCCCTTGACTTGCACATTGAAGTAGAGCCATCTAGAAAATTTTAAAAATTCGAGGTCTCTGATGAAAATTAAAAAAAGCGAAGAAAATTGAAATCGAGAAAGAGACATTTTAGTTGCTAACTTAATAAATAAGTCACAATTGCTCAAAAACAAGCTTCCTTTACTTTGATTGTTAGTTGTAGAGAGTTTCGGTAAAACAAAAGTTTTATCTATATTCTTCACACTTAATTTGTGCTTATAAACCTTTACTTACATTTATAATAATTTGATAAATGTAGTTGACGTTACTATGAAAATGAAAGACTAGTCAACTGGAAATAATCCCAAACCTATGACATTGATAATGAATGAACCAATAAATCAATTCCTTATTTTATTTATTTATATATTTAAATACATATATATTAGTACAAAAGGACACCAGATACATATGTGCCACACAAAATAATGAAAGTAGGAAGAGAAGGGATGAAAAGATAAGGCGGACTGAAATGCACAACCAGAAGACTCTTTCAGTTAAGAAAGTTAGAACCACTCTTTATGTAGAAAGTAGAAGAAGGCTACAGCAGGCTCGCCACTGGCTTCTATTCTGAGCCATATCTGATAACGTCTCTAGCCACTGTGTTGCACCGTCTCTCGGACTCCAGCCAGGGAGTCGTGAAGGACCAACAGAAGCTAGCCCTTTGCAGCTTTCTTTCATGCCACGACGCCATGTCATACACTGACCTCCACTCCGCTTTTTCCAACCAGTCCCAGAGTCGGCAAATAATGCACGACGTGGAAGTATCTGGGACGACATTCGTAAAACATGTCCAAGCCACCGAAGTCGGTGTTTCAAGATGGTGACACCAATTGAATTATCGTCTCTGCGCCGATGCCGAACCTCTGGATTACTAACATGGTGTTGCCATTGTATGTCAGCAATCCTTCGGAGACAACGATGATCAAACACAGAGAGACGTCTAATATCCTCAACTCGGAATGACCAGGTTTCACAAGCATAGAGCAAAACTGCTCTCACCGACGCGTTGTAGATCCGACCTTTTACAGCCAGACTAACATCACGAAGGCCCCCAAATGCCCAGGTACGGCCGAGAGTGGGGAGAGTCCACTCTCCCTCTCGAAATGCTCTCATATGGCCACGCGAATATATAGCCTTTGACAGGGAAGTCCTACTCACTGCCTTCTCGTGGCACCGGTGTTGTTTACGAAAGTGAGAGGACGAAAAGCGAATGTCCGGCGCTTTAACCGGGTTGGTGGACACGGAAAGTCCATCTAGGGGAGTTGGAAAACCCTGATTCCAAACCAATGGTGCACATGGGCTCCAGTATCCTGATGGAACGAATGGCGTACGAATCAACCGTTGATCACCGGCTACCATGGGACTGCATCTCCTCACGATGCTCCTCTGCCTTGTGGATCAGACATTCAGGTCAAAGGCTCGGGGTGTGGCCCCCTAAGAAAACCACCTGCTTCAGTCCGGGCACCTGGGCAGTATCACAGCCCTCACACAAATCAAATGAGATTTGTGAGGCGCATATTTATCTGGTGCTTTTTTCTACCAATATTTATGTTTTTAAATAAATAAATAAAAATAAAAAAATCACGAAGGCGCCAAAGATGGCCCAGATTGGCATAAGCCGCTCTGGCTTTCCTTATACGTGCATCAATCTCATCACTCACGCCACCACCAGCACTTATATAGCTACCTAGATACACGAACTTCTCAACTACTTCAATCTCCTCACCATCCAGGGTGAGTACAGGATGAGAATCCTGCCAGTCTTGTACAAGTACTTTGCACTTGGAGGGTGCAAAGCACATGCCGTACCTGCGGACATTGATTGCCAACTGATTAAGTGCGGATTGCATGCCTTGGGCATTATCGCACAGTAAGACAATATCATCCGCATACTCAAGGTCGAGAAGTCGTTCTCCAGGCAACATATCCACACCGCCATTACTTACATCCACCAGAGCTGTTTCTAGGATGTCGTCGATGGCAAAGTTGAAGAGGAATGGTGAGATCGGGAAACCCTGCCTAACCCCACTGCTCGAATGGAACAAGGGAGAAAGGTGGTTGTATGCCCTCACTCTGCTTGAGGTGTTCGTATACAGGGCCTCTAAGATGTTAATGAACTTCTCAGGCACACCCTTCTTCAAAAGACAATCCCAGAGAACAGTCCTGTCCAACGAATCGAAGGCCGCCCTGATACCAAGAAACACTACGATTGTTGGCCTGCGATAAGTATGACGATGTTCTAACATTTGGCGGAGGGTGAAGATGTGATCAATGCATCCTCGACCAGAACGAAAACCAGCCTGCTCCTCGCGAGTCAATCGTTCTCGGGTTTTAAACAACCTACGAAGAATGACAGAAGCCAATAGTTTGGACGCAATCGGAAGTAGACTTATCCCCCGATAATTGTTACAGGAACAACGTGAACCCTTTTTAAATATAGGGACGACTATTGACTCATTCCATGATGTTGGAACACTTTCTTGCTCCCAAACCTTTCCAAACAACACCGTCAGTTCCTTAGCCAGAAAGTCACCACCATCTTTAAAAAGAGCCGGAGGTAAGTCATCTGGGCCCAGCGATTTGTAGCGCTACAAGAGTTGGAGTTCCTTGCGGACTTCCGCCTCGTTTGGTGGAACAGTCGTCACCGGCCATGGGGGGCAGGACAAGCTGGTTGATGTTGCCGGAGCAGCAGGCCAGTTGAACTGCCCTTCGAAAAATTCCGCCCATCGTCCAAGACGTCGGGAGATGTTAGAGATTGGCATCCCGTCATCCTCGTAGATTGCTTCACTCACACCAGACTTCTTGCTGCCAGTGGCTCGGATGAGTTGAAAGAGCTTCCAGCAGTTACCAGATGCAGCTGCTGCTTCCATCTCATTAGCACGTTCCGACCACCAGCCTTCTCGGTCCCTACGCAAGCTTTGCCCGATTTCATTGCGTAACAGCCTTCGTTTGTGGTCAAACTCACGGTCACCCGGAGTAGACTGACGGGCTTCCACCAGTTGTAAGGAGCCAGAAGAAACCCAGTGCTTGTCAGGGGGACGTTTTGCGAAGCCGCAAGCGGCTTTACTCGCCATTTTCATGGCATCGTGAAGATGCAACCAATGCTCATCTATACTTTTCGGTGGTGTGGTAGCTAGCTCGGCTCGATACCTACTTGCAACAGAAGTTGCAGCCAGTTTACTAACATCGATCCGTTGGTGGTGGTCAATCCTTCGGCCACTGAAAAGTAAGGTAAGATTGGCGCAGACCAGGGCATGATCAGACTCCAGATAGGTACTCCAAAAGGAGCGGCAGTCTTGTACACAACCACGCCAGCGGTAGCTGATCGCGATGTGATCAATCTGAGTCCAGGCTTGAGATGCAGAGGGAGGACGACAGGTGGCACACCGGCGATGACTATGCCGGATGTTAGTGCTAGCCAGAAACAGGTTGTGGTCTGTGCACAGTTGCAGCAAACGGTCCCCGTTATCTGTCCTGCGACCAACAAGTCCCCATCGGCCACCTAAATGACTCTCTTCTGTGCCTAGACGCCCGACCTGAGCATTCAAGTCTCCGGCTAATACTACAATATCTGTCGAACGCGCTTTCTGGAGAAGAACTGTTAACTGGTGGTAAAACTCATCCTTGATTGCATCCGGGCTGCAATCTGTCGGGGCATAGGCGGAGATGACAAAAAGACATCGTTTCTCACGCCGATTTCTCACTTTGATGGAACTTTCTAATCTAACAGCACATAACCGACTGTTAATGGGGATCCAATCGATTAGTGCTGCCTCAGCACTAGCGCTTAGTGCAACACCAACGTCTGCAAGACCAGACGAAGATGCCACAGAGTCCCCGGATAAGCGCACGTGAAACAAGCTTTTCGAAGCGACAGATGGAGAGCGAATTTGTAGTACTTCACTAGAGTCTTGAATACGGGTCTCGGATAGACAGCAAACATCAACATTAGGACTTTCTAAAGACATAGCCAGCCCCATCTGTTGTCCGATCTGCATTAGTGTGCGAACGTTGAAGGAAGCCAGCTTGAACGGCGTACGTGGTTTCAGAAAGACTGCTTCAGTATTCGTAATCGGTGGAAGCATTCACTTTCAACCAGACGGTGACTGGAGATCGTTTAGATAGAACAGAGTTTCCACTATGGGCGAGCTACTGCATAGGTTGGAAAGGAAGGATACACAATTTGGGAATAAAGGGAGTGAAAAAGCGACGTAGTAAATAATAGTAATAATAATAGTGGTAATAATAATAATAATGTAAATTGTCTTGCTTCTAGTATGAGCGAGAATAGTATCGTCAACAGAATTCACCATTTCATTTATTTGTGTGTAGGCTGTGATACTGCCCAGGTGCCCAGACTGAAGCAGGTGGTTTTCTTAGGGGGCCACACCCCGAGCCTTTGACCTGAATGTCTGATCCACAAGGCAGAGGAGCATCGTGAGGAGATGCAGTCCCATGGTAGCCGGTGATCAACGGTTGATTCGTACGCCATTCGTTCCATCAGGATACTGGAGCCCATGTGCACCATTGGTTTGGAATCAGGGTTTTCCAACTCCCCTAGATGGACTTTCCGTGTCCACCAACCCGGTTAAAGCGCCGGACATTCGCTTTTCGTCCTCTCACTTTCGTAAACAACACCGGTGCCACGAGAAGGCAGTGAGTAGGACTTCCCTGTCAAAGGCTATATATTCGCGTGGCCATATGAGAGCATTTCGAGAGGGAGAGTGGACTCTCCCCACTCTCGGCCGTACCAGGGCATTTAATTAATTAAATGCAGTAAATTAAAAGTTTACCGACCTTAGCTACTACCTTGACGTGGTGGTCGGCCTTGCCTATCGTAATGACCCAACCGAGCTATATTGGCTGGGACATATATTTCTGTAGGTTCTACCATACCAGGCAGGTCGATTGGAGAACAGTAAGACTAAAAGCAACGACTCAAGGTCTGAGGGCGAAGTCGTACGGCTGACTGTAGAGGGTTGTGACAGCAGTAAGGTGTTTCCCTCGGACAACCAGCATAACAGCGATGCTGCCTTCTCACAAGGAAGGAAGGTGTTAGAAAAGGTCGACCCTAAAAATGTCACACCTCACCTTACCTCACGGATTTCCGTCTCCGACAATAAGGCCCTTTGAAGATCGGAGCTAACACGTTAAAAATCTCCCACAAGAAGGCCGTGTGTGACCAGTCTCAAGCAGTTGTCCCTTGGACTCTGCGGCCCCACTCCTAGGTCGTTAAGACCAACACTAATCCAACTTCCCTTTCAGGTCCCTCAAGAAATACTATTCCACGGTGTGGGCAGCCGGGAAGTGATATCAACCCTCATACTCGTAACAACACACGAGATCAAGTTGGTCCCATTCAAATCCTTTCTACACCTCCTAATAACTCTCTTATCTCCACGACTATCCCTTCTCAAATCCTTTTATCACCTCGCACTGCTAGGGCAAACGACTCGAGTACGAGGAACGTTATTCCTGGTCTCCTGAAACCACGCTCTAAACTACATGTAGGAGCTCTAAACGTCCGAACATTGTGCCAAATAGGACAGCAGGATTCCTTAGCTAGGACTTTAGAATCCCGTACCATCGATGTGTGCTGCGTCTCCGAAACGCGCATACAAGATCCGAGTAGCGTCATTCATTTGACCTCACCATGCCAAAATAAAGAACCAACTCGATTCACGTTTTGTGTATCTGGAAGCCCTGATGCTGCTTCCAGTGGCCTCACTGGCATAGGTATAGCATTGAGTCCTAGGGCGGAAAGAACTAGCTCTTTTGGACTGGATCCCAGTAGACAATCGTCTGTGCGCTGTCCGACTACACGGAACAATAAGGATTCGGAAAGTTAGGGGCACTCTTCGTCGTCTCTGCCTACTCTCCCACTGGCTGAAGCTCAGATGATGTAAAAGATGAGTTTTACAGAAAGCTTTCCGACCTTCTCCGAAAAGCTAGGCGCTCTGATGTAGTAATATTGGCTAATGACTTCAATGCTCAAGTAGGTAAACTGAGCGAAAGGGAAAGACACCTGAGTGGATCTTATGGTGTCGTGGCTCAAATAACAGATAATGGTGAACGTCTGTTGCAGCTATGCTCAGATTACAGTCTGTTTCTTGCAAATACTAACTTTAAGCACAAGGAAAAACATCTTTTGACATAGCGACCCCCGAACTCTTCCCAACGTTGGACTCCACTAGAGCACATCGCTATCAGCCATCGATGAAGGAGCCCGATAGAAGATTGTCGCTTATTCTGGAGCAAACTATGCTCTAGTGCGAGCACATATCTGTCTGCGTCTTACTGGACGTAGGAAAGACGCTGCAAGGAAGCCTCTCAATGGCGAAGGTGTATCCACTCCTTGTGTTTTCACAAATTCTAATCTGGATTCTTCATGTCCCTTTCTTCTTTCTCTTTTTAAATTTATTTCACTGGACTAGATTCTTTTAATAACATCTTCAAACCCTAATCTTTCCGATTACTGTTTATACTATTATTACCTCTACCACAATGGGATTTGAATAGATAACTGCATCTCTGTGCTTGTGTCGTATGGCAATCGGAATTGATGTACGTAGGTACGAAGTTCTATGTTGTCACTGACTGACTGTAATAAAAAAATTGACGAGGTATATGCTGACATAAACGTATAGGTGTACTAGAATTTCTTCATTCGTTGAAGCACTTTAGGCATTAAACTTAAAGGACTTAAACAACGCCGTAGTCGGTTAGTTTATGTCATACAACTATCTCTAAAGTAAGTTACACTTAAGAAGATGGACCTTTATTGTTTCTGACGAACAGAAATATGAAACTAGACTTTTTTATTTGATCAATAATGGCTACTAAAGGATGGATACATAAACTCATTCATAAAATAATAAGCAGTGAATAAGATACACTTACCTTGAATCGAATAAATGGCAGTAAGTGTACAAATAGTGGTGGTCTATAAGTAACTAAGAAATCGAAAAATTTCCACAGCTGGATACCACTTTGACCATTCAAAGCTAATTGTGTTAATGCAGCTACTAGCAGTTTCATTCGGACAGCCGCATGACGCGTATATGCTGCAAGAATTAATTTCAGTCCCAAAAATCCAAGCCTAATAAATCATAGGATTATTGATAGTTATGCAATAAATAGTATGCATTAGAACAAAACTGCACAACAATTTACCATAACAAACACAAAAAAGATTCTTAAAATCAACCACCCGAGACCAATATGATTATAATACGGTACAGAACCGTGCAGAAAACAAATCAGTTTTGAATCAGACATTATAATGAGGATAATAAATCGTTCATATCATTGGTATATATTAGCAACGTATCTACTAATATTAAAAGATGGATTTGTAGTTCTACTTCATGATTTCTTTTTGTCCGAAACGTATGGTTTGTCGACCTTTTATTCAAAATAATAGTTCTAAAAATAATGACGTATTCATATTGTCGAATAAACTCTAATTTTATGACAGTGAGCGTTTTCAGAAAAGATTATATAACTGTCGTTAAGTATTTTTAAAGCTTTACTTGATCATTTTCGGACTATAAACCACAAATAATTTTATTGCTTAGAAGTTTCAGTTCTGATCAACATTAGTTGTCCAGTTGCTATTCTTAAACTTAGATTCTCTTCATAATACATTCACAGGTTGGTTTCAATTGACTTAGCGTTTCATAGCCGATAGGAATGTCATAAGTAAGGGTTCAATAAAAGATAGGGGTTGTAATTTGTACATACCAAGGTTCCCATAGTAGGAATGTTAGACGACTGTTGTTGTAATTTAGGTGAGTGATATTAATAATGTTCGAAATCTAGAATACATCCAATCATTATTTGATTGACGCCGATGATTACCATTTGATACGTACTAAACAAGACACTAAGGTTACATTCCTACAGAATAATACTGTTTAGAAATTGAAAACATCTTTCATCAATGTGAAGAAAAGAAATCATCAGGTAATCTTTCACAGAAAAAGAAATGGAGAAGAAAAACCTATCTACAGAAGCTTGCAAGAATTTGTAGGGAAGATAATGACATCTAACAGCATGTCGATAACGTTTATGTGGATTTTATAATGGTTTTATCACCCGTAGATATAAGCCAAATGCTAAGAGAATAAGTTACGAAAGTGTGGTAGATATCGATTACTATGGAGCCTCTGAATAAATTGAAAGTCTTAGTGGCATCTTAGTGCTTGATTAAACTATTTGAACTTGCAACAGAAACATCATTATAAACCAATCAATCTGACCATCTTGAGCTTTTTCCTTAAACGAAATGACTGCGAGAAAATATTATACAGTATTTTCAGTTATTCAAAAGCATAAGAGACATTGAATACATTTTCTTCTTACCGGTGTGCAAACTCGGCCTTAAAACTTTTAATTTTATCTATGGGAAACCCAAGATTAATTGAAGTTGGATCTAAAAGTTTAGAATAATATACTTGTGGACGACTTTTTTGAGTTAATATACTTGTTTTGTTTAAATTCGGAATTACAGAAGGACGTGATTTTAACTGAAAACTATCTTGTTTCCCTTGACACTTATTTGAAACGGTAATTTGTACGGAAGTATTCAAAGGTCCACTTTCATCAGGCAGGATTTTAACCAACGATGGACTAAGTAAACGTATTAAACTGGCATACGAACCACCTTCGAAATCTGTTGATAAATTTGATAAATTAATTAGCTTTATTGAAGCAGAGTTGTTATTGGAAGTGGTAATAGTGGAAGTATTGTCTTGTGCAATGGATCCAGTTGCTTGTCTATTCAGTGATATACTTGGATTTGTGCGTAGTTCAAATCCTGTAGTTTGACTTTTATTACTCTTATCCTTCAATTTACCAGACAGGGGTCCTGATTGGCTCGATTCAGATGTTTGTTGCTGTTGTTGAGTTGAATTACTTATGGTGGTCAAATGGTATATGGATCTTTGTCCATCAGCATTCGATGCATAATCTGTTGCAAACAAGGCCGTTATACATACATCCAGGGCATAGAAAACGTTGTCTCTTGAAAGAGTTGGCGAGTCTAAAGAAGTAAGAATAATAAGTTAAGAAAAGTTTGGAAAATCAATGTAAATAAGAATACATTTTAAGGATACCTGTGTATAAAGTCTAAGATAGACTATTCTATTTACTAACTCTACCATTCTTATTATACTAATCAATTCAACTAATTAGTTATCGCATTGAGTTGTTTCACAATAATAAAAGGTTACGAATCTGCATAAGAATCTAATTTCTGAAAGCAGATACAAGCTAAGACATAAAATGGGCTACTATGTTAAAATTTGTTACCTAGATTATTTAAAAGTTCATACCAATTTGAATAGCTATTCAAGTAATTCCTGAATTCTATCAATTGAGAACCCAGTAAGACATCGAAAGTGCATGATACGACTAAAACATCAATTAAGCAATAGTAAAAACGCCTGGCTGGCACTCATCAGACGAATGTACTTGGTTTTATGTTGGTGTAGACGCGAAGACGTGAACGTGAGGTCCGTAAATTCGATTGTTAAGGTAACGGAGAAGGCTATTGAGCTACGATTTGCTGTTAGCCCTGGACTGACTTTCACTTGAAGCACCGTATAATAGAGCTAAGGTATTCCCGGTTGACGAATCTTAGTGGAGCTAATCGAGCTTCCTGTGTATCACTGCTAATATATTTCAAGTTAATATTTTAAGTGTATCAATCTGTATGTTTTTCATGCAAACACAAACATATCCGTATAAAGAGTCTATTTAATAATGAAAGGCGATCTCTGAGGTCCTATTTAAGAAAGTAAAAAGGTTCTGGTTTTTCTTAACGCAAGTGACAAAATGCCACAAAACTTCTACGTTTGTATCTTTTCATTGTTAAGTTAATATTAAATCATTTTAAAAAGCTAAGTTAGTTATTCAGTAGAAACCCCTAAGTTCAAAAATACATTTGAAACTTCGTGAATTTGTTATGGACCACATCTAAGCATTTGAATCAAGTGTTTATTTTGAGAATGTCATGAACAGGTGAAACATTTAAACATGAAGTGCTCAAGTAAATAACTCCAGAGATTTTCACCACAAATTTTTTTAACGCATGACCTTTAAAAATGTAAATACATCCATTCATAAGACGGTCGATAATCATTTGAATCATTAAATCTAGTGTAGATTCCTGTTGATAAAGTATTTAGAAATCCATTTGATCAATTTAAACTCTAACTTCGAGATGATCCTATATTCACGTTTGTGCACTGTTAACCTCAGTTTATTTCCCTTATTATCTAAACCCGTTTTGTATATTTGTTGACTAGTTCATCAGCAGTTTTATCAGCTTTTTTGTACTACAGATTACCTTAGTATTTGAAAAGACTGGTATCATCAATTTGTTTAAAACTCTGTTTATAAACATTCTTGTGACAAAAACACAATTGCCGGTTAAACAGAGTCTATAAATAATTGGAAGATCACCGCAATAGTTATGCTTTTAGTGTGAAGGTACATATGATTTCTCTGAAATTTAAAATGGCTTTATTTAGCGTCATACTGAATTGCTTCTAAATAAGAATATAAAATTTGTAATAAGCACAAGGATTCCCATAAACCTTTCTTCATTTCTCTGATAGGATTGTTAATCTCTCGACTAATTAACAATATAACAATATTTCTGAATTTTATTCAGTTATAATCATGATAAGCGAGAAAAGTAATGAAATATACCTTTACGTCCAGCGCAACCTCGGAATAACATTGGTAGTATTAAATTGTTTAAGTAAATTACAAGCGTCTGGAATCCACCTTCACGTAATGTTGGGAAACGAATGTTGTACTCTGGTGAAATTCGTTCACATAAATCTTTCAAACTGCAGTGGGGCTAAAATAAAAAGCATCAGTAGAGAATATATATATATATATATATATATTTAAAATCATACAAAGTAACTAAGTTTTAATGTACGCGTACCATAGCTTTAAACGTGAATAATTTAAAGTATTATTTGCTTGTTTACAAATTCTGTATGGATCATTTTCAAGTGATAGAAATACAGCTAAGATTGGAAGAATCACGATGCGAACTAAGCAGTATGTAAATAAGATCAGACAACTTAAGATATAATAATTAATCTCTATACTGATTTATTTTGTATAGACCAACTTTACTACGTGAATCTGTCAAGACACTACATTAAAATCCCCTAATTCTACAGAGCATTCGACATCCTTTATTTACTCGATTTGTTTATTCGTATATTTAACGATATCCTGGAGTTAATCAAGGTGGAACTGTGAAAAATGATCAAATGAAATCTAGGAAGATCAATGGGTTCAATGGTATATTTTAACCAGATTTACTTGTTTTATTTTTAAAAGGTACATCTCTTGTGTAAACTCCCGTTTGATTTTAAGTAATTAGACTGTTTCGTTCACAAATTTTAAGTGCTAGATAATATATACTTACTCCTAAAATCTGTAAGAATAAGGATAAAAGACGAATCACTTCAGTAGTGAACTGGCAGGGATATTTATCACTGTCGTCAAGGTCAGTTTCAGGCCAAGCTTCTTGGTTGCTGTGTCTAGGTGAACAATATGATCCGGCATCGCCATTTAAAGGAATGTGTTTCATTTTGTTAGATTGTTTCGGAACTCCTACAGAAGCACTTATACTGCTTGATTCTTGCGATGTAATTCCGAACAAAACTTCACCAAAGCTTGGTCTACCATAACGACTAGTCGCATGATTAGGTTGAACATCTAGACGTGATTTAGGAAAGCTAGATAAACATCTAGATACGTCGAAAACTATAGCTTTCTTCAAAATCTCAGCCAAAACCTAAATAAGAGATACAGAAGATAACATATGAAAAATATATCAATGAACTATTTGTTTATGGTTAATTATCAGCAAATAGTAAAATAGAAAATTTGAGAATTATATTGCAATAAATGTTTCATGTAAAAAGTTCAGTTTTCTAATCATAGATAACCTCAGGTAATCTAGGTACAAAAACAGTTAATTTTCAATAGTTCTTCACAATAAATTGGTCTATGATGAAAATCATCTTTAAAAATGGTTATTTTCGTAAAGATGGAAAGTACTGACTACGGCACTAACCTTGGGTCAGAGAAATGTTCATACTTCCCATTCAGGTAAGACTGACAAGTATAGCATTCCAATATGAGGGTTTGGTATTGTCGATGCTATTGCACTAAGCTGCTGAAGCGAATTAAATAAGATTTATGTTGGAGAATTAAATTTCGTTGTAAACAATATCAGACTTCTTTACAGTGCACGCAGTGTAAGAATCTCAAATGAACACCACATTTCTATTGAGTTTCATTATCACTGATTCGGAATACTAAAATGTTAAAGTGCTAATGAAATTTTTTTCTCAAAAATAGTGTTTATGTCAAACCGCATATTTTTTCTACATCGCTTTAAGATATCAAAAAAATGTAATTAAAAACCAAGTTGATATTTACAGTGTTTTTCAGAACGCGTGAATGATGCATTATAAAGGTTATGACTTACGCGAATTTCTTTCATGTGTGCTACAGATCGATTCCTTTTCAGTATATAATAAACTGATCGGATCAACTTCACAAATTCGTCCCAACGATGAGTCGCCTAAGAAGAAAATAAAATGTTTCCAAGATAATTAATAGGAGAGTTATCAATTGATGTGGATTGACATGGGATTCGTAGTTTAAAGTACCAGAGGGCTTTGTCAATAAGACTGAAAGAATGTCTTTTTTTTACTTTCTGATGTATATATACTTAAAAAAGAGTAATTAACATACACTTAAAGCAAGATAAACTAAGAAAAGTGATTCATACGAATTTTATTTTAGCTAGGAAGTATATTGAATTCTGATTAGTATATTTTAGGCTGAAAATCAGTACAACGTTAAGTTGCTAAAATGCATACAATACTGAAAAAGTTTATAAGCGAAGATGAAGAGTGGTTAGCAATGGAATCCATAATGTGTGTTTCTTCCTAGAGTTGGCGTTCAGTCCGCGACTCGAGCCCAATATCGTTCGCTTCAAACACCACCACGCCATCCATTTAGCTAATGAGTCCTGATAGCCACCTGCTTGCGCACAAGCAGCCGACGAGTCCAAAATAGGACGGAACGCGTGTCCACTGCTAGCCACCATCCATCTTTGCTTACAAAGCTTGCTACTTAAGGCAATATAGAGGCAATCCGCACAGGATGCACATATGCCAACAAGAGAATGATTCTAAACAGCAATGGGAAGATACAAGTAAACAACACGAAGTCAATTTAACACTGAAAAGTATTTTATAATATATTTCTCTGAAATATGGATGAAATATATTAGTTATTCAGATATACATTAAAACGAAGCTATGAAAACCTAGAACAAAGTGTTCAGCATTATTTCAAAAAGGTGTTTTCTTTCATGGTTGCTTCGCTTGCTGAGCTGTTAATATGTGTGAACTGTGCTAGATTGAAAACTCAAGCATCATGTTTTTGAAAACAGATCTAAGGGATTTATCATTGGTAAACTTGTGTGCTTTCTTAACTCAGAGATTAAACACATCTCAGAAGTTAAATATTTGCTTTGTTCATTAAATATATTTGTTTGTAGTTTGGAGGGAATCTGCAGGAAGACCGAGATGTAGATTTTCCTTTGTTGGAATCTATCAAAAAGATATACCTGGAGTCGTGATTCAGATGCATATTACTGAGCACTGGGTTAAAGGATCTCTTTCTTCAATACTGCAAAATAATTTGTACCAATATTCGTCAATATTTGAACGAATAGTGTAACAGAAATTGGACACTGAGTTTAGAGAAAGCATTATTTGTGAAAATAGTTCTGTTTAAAGTTCCAGCTTTCTGAGGGTGATAATAGTAGCTTTCATAGTTTATATAAATTCATTTCAATTTTATTGAAACGATTGCTGAAAAGTCTAAAAATTGCAAACAAATTGCCTTATAATGCTTGTCAATGAAGGCAAAATCGAGGCAATACGCACAATATGCACATATGCCAATAAGAGACTGATCAATTGCAATCCTAAATATCAATGGGAAGATTCAAACAAACAATACCAAGTGAATCTAAATTGCCTTACTGTTAAATTAAATCATATTTTTGTACTTCATATTAATATATTATGGTGTTCAGTGGAAACTACATTACCACTTATTTACCCAGATGGTGATTATTTGATAACATGAAACCATCCATCACTCATGATATCATTATGTCATAATCATGCTAGTGTTTATTTCTCCACGAAAACATATGACGCAATTCATTTTAGATATGTTTATTTCTTGTGTACCTGGGAATCACATAGCTGATCACACGTTTATAATTTTTATGAACTGATTGACATCAATATGCAAAATGAAAATTGAATAGGTAGCAGTTAAAATGTTAAATTATACACACCTTGGATCTAATAGCGAATTCAAGCATCTTTGGTAGCGTCCTATTCAATCGACCTAGAAGACATTCCACTGCTTTACACGATCTCAGTGATTCATGGCTCCAATCGATAACTGGCAGCACTTCCAGAAAATAACGTTGTAAGGCTGAACTAACTAGGAAATCTGGACTGTTAGAAACTTGTTTCAGCAAGAATTGAGCTATATCGGCCAATCGCTGTGTAAATAAATTTTAAAAAATCATTTAGTCAACTCCATGAAGAATTTGAAGCCGATAAAAAAACACCAGTCAATAAATCTTATACTAAAAACAAATTATCTGTAACCTAGTTACCATCAATAAGCACTCAATCCAAGTTCGGGGTTTTTTCTTTAAATTAAGCAAGGACATCTTCAATGGGAAATCATTTACCCTTAAAGCCAACCTATAGTAATATCTCGTAGTTATGTAGTGAACGCTAATCATAAGATTATTGGTAAGTAGTATGTAGCGGAACGTGGAATCGTAGTTGTAATAATTGTGCACATTCAGTGCATCGAAAGCACGGCGTTGGTATAACACGTGAAGATCAGACGAGAAGATGGTTAAGACTTCAGAACACACCGAAAGTTGCAAATGAAAGATTGAAGGCTATACATGTGTATCATTTAAATATTTCGTAACTTTTCACTATTACCTTGTTTTACAGCCGTGATGTGTAACCAAAACAGAACATTTCGGATTACAGCGATTTAAGCATTTCTTAATGTGCAGAAGATATCAGCTTATCTTTAATATCTAGACTGACTTAATTATTGATTTGGTAAATAAGCGCACTCTAAGTCGTTTTTTTTTCATTTTCAGTCAAACGGACAAGCGGTTCGTTGGTTATTATAATGAGGAAGTTGGTCAGATGTATCAGTACACATTATATTTAAATAAGTAAATTAAATGGAATATGCACGAAAGCATATTCTAGCCTGTTTATTTCGGCCAAATAAAAGAGTCTAATTGTCCAAACTCTATTCGGTTTGTGTTGTAGGAGACTTGGAACACCTAAGCAATATCAATAAACTAGGAAGCAATACTAATTTTAGGATTCTTCAGTGTTATGAACTGTACACTCTGTGTTGGCTTGAATCTTGAATTATTTATAACAAGTCTTCTCTGAAGCTGAATTGATGAATTTAATACAATATTGTCACTGGCAATGGAGACGCGAAACAATCGACAGATTCTTGTTCGTATCCTTCTTTATTCATCAAAAAATTACACTTTAGTTCACATAAAGTATTATCTGGAAAAATCACTAGTTTCAAATAACAATCCACAGTATGTTTTCATAAACCCACACTACCTTTAAATGAACAATAATATTTACTAATATTCTGGTAAACCTTTTGAAATCAAATAAACTAACAAAACTATTAGAAATACTTGTAAACCGTGATGAAATCACAGATATTTTATTTAGTTCTGATTGTAATAAAATACTTTCAAGGTTAAGGAAACGTGGTTAACGGAGTAACAACTGATCGACGAAGTTTGAACTTTGGTGAACAAACAAATGAATGCTTGTGTAAATAAGCTTTAAATATCTAGTTGATAGATATGAAAAGATGGAATCAATGATCAACTAAGTCAGTCATATTAGAAATTTACGAAATAGGTTAATTAATTAGATAAAGTACCTTATAATATTCGTTTACAAGATTTGTTTAATAAAAATCATGAATCGATCAATATTAGAGCACCATTGGAAACCTAAAAGCACCGAACAACCCATGACCTTCAGTCTAACTTCCGAACACTTCACCTCCAAACCACTGACGCAGGAACCAAAGGTGCGTGATATACATTGTTGCTTTTTTCGAATATAAGTTATTCTTTATCTCTGATTTTGGATGCCTAAACATTTTAACCTCAGTTTAAGGGCTGTAACATGTGGAGGTTAATACATGCATTATAAAATATTTAATAAGAAAACTGTCGGTAGCTTACCATGTGTGATTTAGCGTCTAAAAGATCAGATATACGTTGTTTTTCTTCCATTTCCAAAAGACGTCCGGAACAGGTAGATAGAAATTCGCAAGCCAACTGTAAAACTGCTTCTCTGGGTTCATAAGCTGTCGGACGGTGATGACCACTCGTTGCTGCAGCAGGATTTCTCAGCATTTGGTTCGACTGAATGTCCCTTTCACGTGATACGTTTGAATTTACTGATAGAGGAAAACCTTTATTTATAGGCAAAGTGTTGATTTCATTACACAATTCGTTTCTTGTTATTTTATCAGCTGTTTCGTTATATTTTGTTTTATCCAATGACTTGAAGTTACTCTTTGCAGCTTCATAGTTTACTAGCCTGGTGGCTACTCCAGTCAACAAGAGACCAGGTGTTTCTTTACGACATTCCGTTGGACCACCTGGAGCAAGGTAATTCAGTTGACGGATATCCTCAATTCTCCTAAATGGCAAAATATATGGTGATGTCAGTAAATAATTAAGGAGAATATAAAGTTGAGGCTTGGTGAAAATCCCCTTCAATTTATCCTGGGTAACATGGTCTTCGAGAGGGGATTTTATTACCAAAGAGGGCTTTACCATATTCCTAGCTGTACGGATTTATAGACGTGAAAATCCTACTGAAGTAACAAAACCAACCAGTTTTAAAGATGTAAGTGAAGTTACAATTAGTGACTAACATCACAAGCTTAGGATTACTAAGGTTCGTCAATCATATATATTACTAATAAACCCACAACAACATCGACGATAAGTTTTTAAAGCTGTTTGCCATACAACCGCTGTCCATCGACACTATAGTTTCTGAAGCTAGATGAATTATTTAGTGGGTATATTCTAGTTGAAAACAGCTAAGATGAAGTTTTCTTAATAAAACTGCGCCCGTATATCTTTAGTAATCTATAAAGTAATGTTGTAAGATCGCTTGGGACTAGTATTTAATTTAAAGACAAGGAATGAATAATTTGAGCACACAATTGCTTAAAAGGTTCAGTAAAAAAACATAGTCCAAATGAATTGCAGGTGAAATATTGGAGAGCCTATTAAAGGTCAATTATTCTACAAGTAATGTAAACGGTCACATCATAAAAAATTGCATCAGCAGAAATTCAATTACACTACTGTCCTCCGAAAACAATTCACTAATTCCGAGGTACAATTCTCATCGTGTTTGCGTCTAATCACATGAAGAGAGAAATCTATAACCCTTTTGAATCGCACTGGGAAATGTTGTATTTTAAATTAGGACCAAACTCGAGTAAGTCATTAGTGCCATAGTTTTACCGTTGTTCAACACATAAATGCAGAACATTACCAGTGTAGTTGGATATAGTGACAAATAAAACTAGTAAAATATTATATATTTTTTGACATCATCATAACGGCAAAATGTTAAATAATTACAGTTCCGTGGAACTGACACACCTGCTCATGAATTCGGCTGTTGAAATAAGCTGACGCATTGCTATTGAAATTTTCTGAATGGCTGTTAACTCTGCCTTTTTGGGATCAGTACCATTGCCTTCTTCTGCACATATGTATGACAAATCTTTAAGAATTAATGGCATCAAAGCCTGGAGAATAATCTGAATTTAAAAGAGTTAAATATGAATTATTATAGTTCATTAGCTGAAAAGATTCTTTTTGATCTATGTGTGATGAATATGAAGCTAAGTGAATAAAAATGAAATTAGTTGTAGGTTTTCAAGCTAATTTTCTTGTTTTAATTATATTTCTGTCAATGTGGTTTTAGGTTTAAATAAAAGTTTTATGAAATACGCGACAAAAAGGTTGGGTATCATTCTGCTTTTATCCTAACGTTCAATTTGAAAATTGTTTGGTTGTAATTAGCTATGTTTTACATTTAATGACAGTGACATATGATGCTGAGATATAAATATCGCACATAACTAGTAATATAGCGATAACATTTCATTTACTAAAATGTTTAGCCGCTACACAAAACTTTCTCTGATAAATTGAATTTTCAATAAATATAAATATCGGTGCTGTTCAATTTTTCTTTCGTAATTGTAGCATAACTTAAATGTGATCACACATTTCAAGAAATGGGATAGCCATAGCAGATTTCATAATTAACTTTGATTCTTTTCACTTTTAATTATTGTATCTTCACTACAGAAGATCCCGAAGCACTCCCTGCCACACAAACAGTCGCATATACGAAAATATTTAATCACTTACCAACATTTGCCTGGATCTATATGAATCAGGAGCATAGACTATGACAGCTACACAGAGATTGATTACTTCCAAAATAGACCAGTTAGCTTCTTCATCGTCATAACAAAAATCCTGTAAAAAGGTAGTTTGAAACGTTTAATGAATAAATGTCCCTTTTCAAATTTAATGACTTTAGAAATATTGGTCAATTTCAATTTCTAAGATTGACTCTATCGCAAACCGATTAATTGTTAAGCTTTGTTTATATACCAATCAGAAACACTTCAAAACTCATGATTATTCACAATTTTAACCAACTGATATTAACATATAAATGTTAAATAAATTATTATTCATTGACGAGAAAGAATGGCTTTTTATGGTACACAGAAAGTGAAACTAAGCGTTACTTATTCAAAAGCCTATGTAGTTTCAGCCATTCTAGTTTCTATGAAATAATGAGTTATACGTATCTATAGATTTAATAGAATTACAACTTCCATATCAGTTTGTCTTGCATACAGTGATTAAGTAAACAGGACAATGTTGCAAGATTTTTCAGTGTACATCTATGGCCCTATATATATTTGCCCTGAGTGACTACAGAATCCTATTCATTGTTTGCAAAATACGTGAAATGTAAATAGAAAATATTTAGGTTTATCTGTGAAAAACATCAACGTATTCCACCTGAATGACTTTAGAATATTGCACTGTAGCAAAAACGGTATCACAATTATTCAAAAAGACAAAAATATAGCTGAAGCAATAGTTTACGTGGCGTGATTATATATATAGCGTTGATACTACAGTATTTTTTATAACTTTTAGTCTTCAATTTCATGTTTTATTATTATAATAAGTAGAGTTCATTTTAGGCAAGAAAATTATTAGAGTATGCAAATTTGATTCTAACACAGTTTGTTCAGTGCTAATACTCTAAACAAGTACTAATTTTTCATTTGTGCGAAAAAAATTTAATTAAATACTCTGTATACTTTATGATTACAATAAAAAATGTTTATAGTCTTTATGTAAATAATTCGAATGTAAGTTGATTGGGTCGAAATGAAAATAATTCAGCAAAAGTGATCTTAATAAGAAAAATACTTTAGGTTTTTAGAATTTTCCGAACAAGCTGTTTAGGTAAATTTAGAACAAATAAAAGAAAAAGCTATCCTAGAGAGTTTAATTAATATGTTGAACAGGCGTTCCTATATTAACAGTAACAACACATGATTGTTAAAAAAAATAATATCCGTTGTTTGCTTTCGAGACATTAATTTGTGATTAAAAATCCATCACTTATTGTGCAGTTTTTAGTTTTTTAGTCAATTAGAACGTAAAGGTATCTTGTTTATGAAAGAATTTAGAGGGTAGATGAAAAGAGATAAGTTGGAAATGTTCAAGGTGTCAGCATGAAAAACAAACTTACCAAAGCTTCCAACGGCTTTTGAATATTACACAATTCCAAAATACGAAGGTTATCATCTAAAGGACGGCTTATAACACGTAATAATCTGTATACAGCTCCCGGTTGAATCTGTGGTAAAATAAAATAATTCCTCAAAAAATAATAGATAGTCACTGTTTACCAATCTTCTACATAGTAGGTTACTCAATTTAATCTCTTCATTGTAGCGACCTTAAATATTCTCGATAATGATTCACTTAATATGCATCAACCATGGGAAACAATTTTTATGTTTCACTGACTAGGTAGGTAGAAAGGAGCTGGTAAACTACTGACCGGAAGACCACAATATGTTACAACAATCGTTCTGCAATTAAAATTAACTGAGGAGAGGTTTCGTTTTGAAACACACATTATCACACGAAGCACAAAGGACCAGGGAAACATAGACAATTTCCTATTTTGGTAACTAAAGTGAATAAATTCAGTAATAATAGGATACATTTTGATATAAACGGAGACGGAATATCAAATATATATGATAAAGATTCCAATTATAACAGTCAATAAATTTCCCAACATTGGATTGATAATCCTTCTCAACACAAATGTTTTTTTTCTTAGAGGCTCGTGTTACAAGTATTAATGTCCAGCACACTGACAGGTTTCTATTATCAGTCTTATTAGACGAATGCTCTTTGATTAGTTCATATAAATTCATATGAACGATCTGCTGGTCGTCCAATTATACTTGTCTGTTGTGGTGATCCAACCAAGGAAGAGTATAGTATCGATCATTGCATATGATATTCAAGATGCATATTCAACTTTTACTTAAAAGTGATTATGAATATCGGATTTTGACAGATATAATTTTATTGTAAATTTACTTAATCTGAAATAAACATACCATAAGTGAAAAGTCATATCAGACTATTGTAATTATTAAATTCTAGTAATATCATGAGTTTATTCTGATCATATAGATGAATGAATTTTCACAAGGTTACATCAATATACCTTAATTCGATGTGAGATAAATGGTATTCGCTCAAGTAACCTAACAATAAATAATGGTTGATATACTTTGGTGAATAACAATTAGAAGTCTTCATACATTACTATAGAATAATTACAAAAATTCTCATCATGTGTATCATTATTATGGTGAAAGCACAATGGTGAAAAGGTGTTAAAAGAAACACTATGAACTCACTCGATAAAATTCATCTCCCACACCAATTATTTCATTATTAGTCATCACATAATTGGCGATGCACCCTAGCAGTTGTAATATAAATGGTGTTCTATGCATTACATAAAATTGTCTAAATGTAAATTCAATAGCTTGTGTAAGTACTGGATTATGCGTATTTTGGTTATAAACACGTACCAGTGTCGGTACAATGCCAGAGTAGCCTGTGGTTGCAAATACCGTTTTGAATTGATAACAGCACTGATAAAATAAGTTATACATTGTTATGAACGAAATATAGTTTATAAAGTCATTACAGATTTGTTGAATAAAAGTAACGAAAAAAGTTTAGGAAAGAGTATTTTGAGACTTTATTTGTAAAATATGGTGGTAACCAATCATTTCCCTACTAACAATAGAAATTGATTGGTAAGAATTGAGAATGACGATGACAACTGATCTTAAGATTACATATAGTCCATTTTTAAAATAACTTTGTATTTAGTATGAGTATTATTATCATATTAATTACCTAGTATGAATTGTCAATCGAGTATGGATCTTGGTGGTTGGTCAAAAGAAATTCCATTAAATTACAATATTGCGTTCTGGTTGAGTAGCATAACTTTGTTCGAAATAGGTTTGGGTGGAATTACAAGTACTTTTTTTAAAATGACTATTTAATAGTAACTGATACAGTACACCCTTATTTTTGAGTAAAAAAATTTATTCCTGCAGGCAATGCAAACCAACAATAGACGGCGTAATAACGCTTTGAATTCAAGTGTGATTAACTAGTTACTTAGACGATAAACAAAGTTGAAGAGTTAAGTCGAAATTATTCTGTGTTGTAACTTTGAGAAAGCCATTGTTAATCATTGAAATCAATTTTTAGTTGATCAGTCATTTTCTTGTAACTGACACCTTGTTATTTTCTATTGTTTAAATCCCGTGACGGAAAACTGAATATAGGTTTGACAGCGTCATCCGAAATTCGCTATCTCCAACCGCAGTTGTGATGTAATAATACCACAGTACTGATTTTATTGAGGATGTTAACGAAATTTCTAACCATAAAGCTTTCTTGTTATAGCTTGTTGTAGAGAGTATTTGATTTTAATTTTCACATCACACGGAATGACCTCGGTTAGATGCTCATCGCAAACCAGAAGGCATTAGACAGTTGTATCACCCTAGATTTCTTTTAGCGAATATTGTATTTTATTATTAGGGATGTGAAATATTTGTTTTAGACTAATTGTGTCATCCTCACATAGGTTAAAATTGCGCGCTCTTACAGGGAGCCATTGAGAACTTCAGAGTTCGGTAACACTTTTGTCTATATCCTTCTCTTTTCTCATGTACATATATGTATCCTTTGATAATTAAGAGAACTTTCGTTGCCGCTGATTAACTCATGATCTTCAGTCATATATGTAAGTGCACTTTCAACAACGTCTGATGTTAATCTGACTTTAATCAGATAAAACGGGTTACTGAGGTCCTACACTAAGATGAAGTTATCAAGTGCTCAATGGTTTTTGATGGTTGAAATTAATTCATAAAGTGAAACTTTAAAATAAAGCATTTCGCTTTCAATGCAAGACGTTGTTACCTAATATTGAGACAGAGGTTTGCTATGGGACTGTTTAATTAGACCTAATTTGATATTGAGGAGGACATTTGGTAATGATCTATGCTTATGTAACTGAACAGACGAATGAAACTTAATTCACTTGACTATATCTTCTCTTGAAATAGTTCACTGACTTAATAAAATATTAATTCACAAACAAGATTTGTCATTTATTCTCAACTAACCTGTATGAAGAATGCTAGACACTGTCGTAAAACTGATGAGTCTTCTGCATGTAATATCAGTGTACCATTGTATACATTCAAAAATATTTGTAAATCTGATGACCACGGATAAGTTTTAGGCATCATCATGAATAAACTGGATATTAAATGACACCAAGATAATTTGTGTATTGTATCTAATGCAAATAGTGGACGCCCATATGTAGGCCAGTCGTAAAGATTGAAATCTGATTCTAATGCTTTACGTGGAAATGATGGCAGTTTAGTTAACTCTTCATGTAAGAAAAAAACGTGATTGGGAATCTAAATTATAAGAGATGGAGATAAAATGATCAAGTCAAATCTTCAACGCTTCATGATTAAAATCAAAATGACGACGGGTAACGTAGAATACAAAAAAATGTACCTAAAAATACAGATTCTCAAGACTTTTTTCTGGAGATCTAATTACAGTATTTATAGTGTTTTATTAACATCTTCAAATGTCATTCGTGAGTTTGTTTCTTTACGTCTAACGAATTAAAGCACGATACCATCTCTAGGAGATATACGTTAATGTTAGTAAGACACATAAAAGATGAAGCTGAATTAGCATTCAATGAATAAAAATCTCGACTTTTTATGGCAGTAATCACAAAATCATTTGCTTTATTATATAAATAGGTTGTTTACAAGACATTTCTCAATTAAGTAATTTAGTGTAGACTATTTAAATTGAACGCCAAGTAATGTCTTTCTTCAATCACTTAACTTAGATATAACTGAATCCAACTGCATGTAAAATATCTATCTGCTGGTATTTGCAATTTGAATAGTTCGAATATGTCATGGCAATTTGTAATAATTCAGCAGTAAGTGTTTGTCAGTTATTCCGCATAAATTTGCAGTATTAATAACACAAGTTATAATATGTCTCATATTTACATTTATAACTAAGTTAATAACTGAGTCTAAGATCAATTTAAATAGATTTGATTTTTACTGAATTTGTACTAAGCAGTTTGATAGTGGCTAGAAATGAGAGGTAAGACAGTTAATGCGCTCTCATCTGATTTGATCAGTTGTAGCCACAAAGGCATTCTAACGAATGTTAATGATTCTGTTGAATCAGCTTCTTTTCTCAATCAATAAATACAAAAACCACTGAAACATTTAATGATCATATTCTGGAAAATGTGAAAAAACAGTCGAATGAATTATTATATATGTTAGAGTTCATTTCATATTGAAAATATTGGTGTTCTATCTACATACCTGTGCTGTTGGTGTACATCGAAGTACTGACAGTGTAAAGAATACTTTACCAATTTCTTGAAATTTCAGACTGAGAGCATTTTGTTGCAGTAGATACATGCCGTGTTTCTTATCATATTGACGCAAGCGTAATTTAGGAGTATGATTACGTTTAAATGAATAGAAATCACGAATGTAATGGGAAGAGTTTCGTATAATATCTGCAACATGGTTAAAATGCAGTTAATCAAAACATATGCAAAACAATCTCAAAAGCGATACCACAAATCCAAATAAAGATTATTATCAGAAAATTATTTCATGTTTCCGAATTGTGATATTTACCAGTAACTTTGTCATGTACACCATATGAGTTGATGGTTTTTATACTACTGAGAATGAGTTAAGGAAAATTATTCTATCATCCAATTCAATGAACAAGATTAAATTACTTTAGGGTTTCTCATTGACCGACCTGACAGATCAATGTTCGCTTATCTATTACCGTAACGACTTTATTCAAATAATTTCTAAAGCGATTAAATATTTAATAGCCAGTTTATTTACCAGTTTACAGCTACTACTCCAACTCAAAATTTTGCAAGTTTTCAAAATTCGGCTTAACTGGTCATAACATCATCGATCATACCCTGTAACCACTCTATCTGTAAATCACGTACTCGTACGTTTTATGCTCAAATGAACAAATGTCCCTTAATATATGGAACGCATTTGGTTAACCACTGTACATGTTGATTCATAAATGAGCCAACAACAAACCTCTGCCTTGGGCCACAATAATTTAGATTTATAAGTTTACTTTCCGTTGGTAACACAAAATGTACTACTTCGAAAAGTGTCTCCTGGCACTAATTTCCTTTGCTGTCGAAAAGGAGTATAAGAATCAATCAGTAAGTCAATTCCGGGATATCTTGTAAATTTCAGTCACGCTTTTAAGACCATGGATACTTTTAAAAGAATTGAATAAACGGCAGTACAAATAATAAAGTCATACACTGAATAGGTTTTAACAGTTCACCGATTCAAACCTGTGTCTTGTAGACAAAAGGACTATGTCCAAACTCTCATTCTATCACAATCTTTGATTACCTTCGTATTTTAAATACTTAATAGTCAGTTCAGAATTATCAATAAACTGTTATCATAACATCCAATCTTTTTCTCATTTTTCACACTCACACTGTGTTCAATTATCTCATTTATAAACCACTTCCTACTTTATTACTTTTCATCAGATCATTAATCAACTTTATTCGAGTCATTGAAATTTCCAACTGAACCCCATCATACTTTTCATATAATTAATATATATGACGCAAGTATAATTTATGGACGATCTTTGAGCGATGACAGAGTGACCTTTAGAAAATTTACCTACCTACTAGGATTTAATGAGGGTTACAATATAATGTGAGAAATCAGAATGGGGATTTGCAGTTACAAGTTAGAGTTTGAAATTAGAGTAAGAGTTTTGATCACTCACTGATATCAGATCCAACAATCGCTATTTTAAATCTGGTTGGTTCGTCCATAGAATATACTCTCTCCCTTTAACCGTAAGAATATATACCATATCGATGCTATGGCTTTACATTCGTTGTGGGATGTTATGAATACACAGGGAGGAGCTACTTGACCTACATTTCGGGCTCATTTAGTCCTAGTCAGTGACTTACGTTGTTGGCTCCTTTATTTGTAAACATAAATATGTATATTGTATGGAGATTCGTACTTACGATGACTACCGTTAATTATAAAATAATTGCCGTTAAGACAAACTGTGAAATATCTTGACTCAAATGTGTATTATGTGTGTTTTCGAATTGAGCGTTGAAAGATTCTGACTTGCTGCAAATGATAATACCACTATCAACAGAATCACAATGAGATAATCAAATCATATGTAAATGCAAGCATACAATATCGAGAAGTTGCTTGTTGATTTTTTGTTACAAGCAACTTACCAACTGAACTTGACGATTAGGGAATTGCCAAAAGTTAGTTGGTTGGTGATAATCAAGTAAACAAATATGATTCTAACTTCTTTTTTTAAATGAAATATACAAATATAGATATTTGTGTAAAAGTCTAAAAAATATTATGCTTACTAGAACGTTCGTCACAGAGGTAGTAAGAACATCTTTCATCTTCGAGTACATCACTCGCTGACAGAACATCTTTCAGAATATCTTCGAACTGATAGTCCTAAAAATTTTTAAAGAACATATGCATGAACAATGATGACCTTCATAGATAAGCTCTGTTAGTGGGATCTGCTGATTATTGCAGTTCAAAGAGAACCATAGTTGCACTCAAATATTTAAAATCCAATGAAAACTTCGTTCATTTGTAAAATAAACATGCTTCTTATTAATTTTAACTAGGATAGAGAAAATATATCGCATTAACTAATCTGTCCTGAAAATCAAAAAAAAATTACTACAAGATCATTGCCTTGTGTAAACTGTTGATGTTCATTGAATAGAAGGGTTCAAAATTGTGTTTATGGAGTATTTGTGACAAACTTATGAATTGCATAATCTGACGACACTGTTAAAGTGTACCTGAACATTCTTTTTACCAAATAATTGTCAAACGTCAAATAAATCATATTTGACAACATTTATACTATTATGAATATTTGAAGTATAGACATTAGACAGATTGAGTCAAGAAGATAGTTTTTCTACAAATCGATCTGTAAATCTACAACTAAGAGACTAATTTTAGTATTTTGTTGAGATATATATTTCCTGGAACCAACAGTTAACATAAACCTTAATTACTCGTAGGCAGCAGCAAAACGTTTATGTGATGTAATTACAATTATTTCAACCTATCTTCTAATAATCCTTGAAAATTGTGAAAATCGTTTACTGAAAATCAGAATAAACAAGATGAATGATAAAAGTTATTATTATTGATTATTATTGAGACTAAAACATCTTAAGTGATGATTGTGGAGAGACAAAAAATCAATTACCATATAATGAGAGGATAACCTCTTATAACTCGATAAGTGATTTCCTATTCGATAAGGGATAAAATGCCGTCAGGTGATAGAAAAGAATGTTATAGATCATGGACTGATTTTATCTTTGAGTTTCTGAAATAGGAAATCAGTGGTTTGTTGGTTTAGATATTGGAGTAATAATCGAAGAAAGATAAGCTCAAACCCTGATACACCTGATATAGTTAGAATATGTAGGTGAAATAATGGTCTAGTAAAAGAATTCGTATATCATTAACGGTGTTATTGCATGTATATTTCTGCAGAAAATAAAATAAAACTGATCTCTTCTCATTGCTTGCAATATGCCAACACATATTTTCAGTTTGCTGATCATTCCTCACCTTATTTTCGTCTTGTAAACGAACGAGTTGAGCAACACCAATGCTATTATCAAACACGTTGAATTGTTTAGCGCAAGGTAAGTTAGCTGTTAGTAGAAGTGTAGACTAGAAAAGAAGGGATAAGAATTGGATATAAAAATCTATGCACATTGGATGAGATGGTTTATTGTTTGGAAAGTTACAGATAGAAACAAAAAACATCTTTACGAATCGTTCCTATTTAAGTAAAAATTGTTTTGTTTTTCTCTCAATAAACTTTCGGTTTTTAATTATTTATGAAGCCAAAGATACATTTCCTATATTTATTTACATTCGCTTCAACATTCAATAAAACTTTTCTACCCTAATTGTGCCTTGTAACCCTATTCGGTACTTTGTTATACACTTGGACTATCAGATTTAGTGTGGTCATTAGTGATATATATTACTTCTAAGCGTTTATTGAGAGGCCACAAAACACAATGCAACCCTCAGTACAAATGATGCTATCTCATGGTATAATGTTTCGGTATCATGATTTAAATTTTCAAGTTAATATCCTCCATTTGAGTGAGGAGAACAGATATATATTCTCATTGAGTCTTTTATTTAATGATCAGAAAAAAAAGTAGCAAGACTAATTATTCGATCGATAGAGTGAAGTTGAGATTGTCTGTTCAACCGTATTTCTGCACAGTCTGTTAGATGATAGGTTAATACAATGATTTGAGCTCCAAATTAATACCACCAACACACAATATTAAACATTATTGAAATAAAAGCTATTCACTAAGTTAATTAGACCTGTAGTGAAACGACACCTAAACACCTTAAACTATTTCGGATCAATAAACAATTATTACGCTGGGAATATCGTGACTCTTTAATGGAAGAAGAGTAGGTCAATCAATACACAAATCATTGAGCATTGTCACATTTGGCTAGTAAACATATGATGACAGTGTTAATGATCGTCTTATCATTTATTTCCTAAATCTCTCATCTGTTTGTGTAATTGATCAGTATTATCAATGCTACCACAATGAATTTATAGTATTCCGATTTTATAAATCACCAATATATTATGTTGTAATTGATATCATCATATAATGTATAATTAGTTTTAACTATTTGAGGCCGCAAAACATTACAGACATTGTTTCTTTTCTAAGTTTGCAGTTAAAACAGCGATCAAGACTATTTATTCCGAAAGTCAATCCCAAATTTATAGCGAACGTTTTCTATACCTTTGTAGATAAGTTCAATGAATTTTAAATGAAATTTCTTTTCTATAATGAATTATTTAGACCATTAGAAATTCGTCAAAATGAACTCAAACCTTAATGAAAACGATCGATGAAAGTGGACTTTCGTATCCATTAGTTACAAATACTGGACAGTATACTTTTAATTATTATGACTTGAAATTTACAAAGTACAGAAAATCTATTTATGGTTGAATAATATTTTCATTTTGGAGATAAAATGGTTTACTTGATCAGAAGTTAACTTTCTATACCTAAAAGTTGATTCCATATTTTCGCGTTTCAGAAAATACTCGGATAGTATGTAGGTAAATAAATGGAGCTAATCATTATTTGAAATAATCTTGAATCAAAACTAAAGATAACAGTCAAATGATCTCCTGATCAGAGAAAATCAATACAGCATCGAAAGTTTGGCGGAAATTGTCTTGAATACATTCATGGAACATTTACGTTCCTTGTACTCTGCAAATACTTACAATATTTATATATTGTGTTTTGTGTAGCGTCTATCATCGCCTGAGGTGGCGTTTATTCATTTAGCAAAGTTAAATATAAATGAATGATCATTAATATGCCAAAATATATTAACTTTACAGAGAACTTACATCAATTTGTTCTCTTCTCATCGTCTGTTTCAGATCCTTAAAGTAGATATTTTGGACGTATGGAATAACCTGAATAATCAGCAAAAATACCATGTTAGTGATTGTAAATTATAACTGACTCTTCGTTATCAGTAGCGATCTCTGTCAAGTTATTTCTTAGCAATTCGGGAAATCCGAAAATTACTGCGATGTTCAAAATTTTCTAGGGTCGATATAAATAGATTATGAAATGAATCTTAATGGTTAGAATGATGACATGTTCATCATAGGAAATCAGAATCTTTGCTCCAACTCCAAGAAATGACATAGTCTCTGAACACATTTTTGAAATCATCAGATCTAAGGCAACAGATGTTTCATTGAGGTATCGACTGTTAATGAAAACTAATTCTAATCATATTAGTAAAATATAAAACATTAAACGAAAATTGGTTATCGGTAAAGTTTAACTATACTGTTAGTCACCGATTCCCACTGATTGTTACGCTTCATACCAGGGCCTGAAGCTGATAATCTCAATCCCTGGAGGGTTGTGAATATCGCATACTGAGTAGGGTCAAATGAGGATGAAACAACTGTTTGTTACTTTATAGATTTCAATTGTTGCACTGCAAATCTTAAACTTTGTTGTGTTTTATCTACAGAATTCTGAAGTTATTCACAACCTAAGGTTTGTAATTTACACCCATACTCAAAATTCCTTCTGCTAATTTATATTAAAGACTTTTGTGGGTTAATAAATTTAAATTAGCTTTAACGTTATGGATGAAATGAAATACCGTATTTTAGCCCCAATGTTATTAATACATGCTTAGAAGACTATATGGTGAAAAGCACTTTGTTAACAAAATGTGTAGTAAGTATGTTATACACATGTACATAACATTGTTTTTGTAGTTTTAGGAATACGAGGACATAATGAAATATCTGGTTTGAGATTCAAAAACTAGAAATTACAAACCTGAAACTTTTTTATTATGGAAAATAACGTGAAAACGTAATCTAAAGTAATCTAATGGATCTAATTAGGTGATGAATTTCCTAAGTACACTTGTGGATTTTTATATCATTCTTGAAACATCTCTTATAACGATCAATCAACTAATGTAATAATTTACAAAATGGAATTAATTAAATAGAAACAATTGAAAAATAAACTTGTGTCTTGATGTTATCCCTAGAGGCTATATTCTTATAGGGGGTTAAATCTTTACTTACCAAATGAAGAACTGATAACGCACTGGCAATTGACTGAGGTGCATTGAAACTTGGTGTACGAATATGAAACATAATATAACCGACCTGTTATGAAAAATAGAATTAGTGATGATGGTAAAGTCATGACAATAATCTATTTGTATGGAATTATCTATAATTTATGCAATTGAACATCAATTAAAACAAAATGAGGCATATCTGTTCAAGAACTGCTATTAAAATAGTATCCAGTCATATATTCTAAATGGTTCCCTGCTTGTCTATAGTTAATTCTCAAGTTGTTTGTTTACCAATATTATTTCTCGAACTTTTAAAGAAACATTTAAATACTTACAACGTAGCATTGAACTCATCTGAAGTTGCACTAAACTGACTTAAACGACTCAGATATAATAATTTCTTTCTTCAGCCAATACAATCTTAAAATTCAACCTTATTATCAAATAATCCATACTTCAACAGTTCCAAGTTTTGTTGTTTAGAGGAAATATAAACTTAAAATTCCAGGATTGTTTCCAACGATTTGAATGAAATCCCCGGACCTTTGAATAATTAGAAATGTATGCATAGTAACTTTGAATACTTATTTTCAATCTTAGTCACTACAATAATTTCTTTCAGAAAACTTTCACGAGTGAAGTCAGTATGAGAAATATAGTAGTTCAAACTACACAATACCAGAGTTTCATTTCTAGTACAGATTCATTATAATCAAGCAATTACTGAATATTGTGTGTTGTTGAAGCGTGATCTACTAATCTTTACAACAGATGACTATATTGAATATGGAATGCTTTAAATGTATGATAAATATTAATATTTAACTACACTTGACAAATAATGAATCTTGTGTAGCACATCGTAGTAAGGGAAATGACTTTCAAAACATTATAGTACTTTGATAGTGGAGATTTTGAAATACTTCAAACGTTCAAATATATACTCGTTATGTTGTAATAATTTTTATGAAAAGTAGATAACAACTTCGTTTGAAAAGCAAGCACTAAGAGGAATCTGTTGTGATAATAGTTATATGTAATTTACTGAAGATTTGGAAACAGTATACAGTTACTTAAATTAAGTAAACATCGACTGGATCTATTAGGTGGCATCAAGGTTTTCATTACCATGGCCTACTCAATCCATAAACCTTTTTATTTGGTTCCGTTTCAGTAGTCAAACATTTTGATATCGACTCCATTACTTTTAGTAGTCAAAAGTCTTATGATTAGTTCCATAATCAATCTACTGAGATCCAGTGTGATACTAAATTTCAAACTTATATATTATTTTAACAAAACAGTTTTAAGAGTAGTTACTTGATAGATCATCGATTTATTCAGTTGATACAATTTTGTTAGTGAATAAACTTACATTTTAAGTGAAAATTATCGTGATAGATTGCATTGAAAATTTTTTTTGACTAATTAAAAAGAGAAGCGTCATTCTTTCCTGATCACATTAACTGAACATTCTGAAGCGTACGTGGTAACCTACAAAAATATGGCTAGTATCATTTATCAATTATACTGTTCACGTGTATATTTTTATCTACCAAAGATATTATTATGTTGCTGAATGGATTTACACATACGCACTATCCAGAAACGGAAGTATATTAAATTTTTAGTAAACCATTAGTCCAGCGAAGGGATCTCTTTTCAACGAATTTATTATCAAACTGTACAATCGTATATATATGAAAATGTTTTATTAAAGTACTAATTCTGTGAGGAAATATTAACACTAATAACCAAGATATAATAAGATGATTAAAATGAATGAAATGTTTTGGTTACAATAATTAAAGGTCATAGGTCAAAACACTTTCATATATATACGATTGTACAACTTGATAATAAATTCATTGAAAAGAGATCCCTTCGCTGAACTTCGTGTTTTAATTTTAATGTTTAAATGGGAATTATATACCAAACCATTAGTCGTTAAAACTTTAGAATGTAAGATGAAAAAACATAAAAGTAGAAAAATGAATATCTTCATAAGTCATTTGCTTTTTAAATTTAACTGGAATTCACGACAGTCGGTGGCATTCAAAAATTTTCAACTCTCAACGGTTATGTAGCTCACCATTTTGTCAAATATAATAAAACTTAGAGATTTTTCAACACATGATCATGGTCATAAAACAGTTCGAAGAAATACAAACACCCTTGTTAAAATATATTTTAAAAATATTATTCTTTGTATATATAAACCTTCTCTTATCAATTCTTAGCATTTTAAATAGACTTTAATACACTTATAAATGGTGAGTACAAGAACTTACTAAGTTGTTGAACAGAGCATGTGCTGTTTGCATTGGTAATTCAGGTAACCGTTGAATCATTTTACGTAAAATAAATATAAGTTCATCTTTGTTTTTAATGCGTGTGAGACGCTCAAATATAAAGCGTAAAAATAATGGTGTATCTTCTAGCAAACAATTAAATATCACATATTCAGCTATTGTATTTACTGAAATTAAACGAAATAAGGGTATTCGAATTATGTGCTCAGATTCGTAACTATTTAAAATGAGATTTATATCATTTGGAGAAAAATACAATGTACAGGAAAATATATTGACAGTAACTATAGTTTAAGATACTAACTGGAAACCTCAAAAATATTGGAGTATGGTCATTGGATTAAAACTGAGCGATTACTTAATATGATTTGTGTAAATTGTTAAAAAACATGAACATTGCTGCTAATGCTAGATCCCCAGAAATCACTTCGTAGAAGTCTTATTTTTGTTATTTTATTTTGGAAATTTGGATTTCTCGTTTCCGCATCAATAACGCCCAGTTTTACCTTCAGATTGTATTTCCCATTTAGAAAGACCTTAAATGTCACTGGTTCGTTGCATCTTTTAATACGCTATTTTATGACGTTTTCCAAGAATTTTTTTATGCTGTATATAAATGCTTGAGTTGTGTGCTTGGTTTGTTGATGCTTCTAGCTACTTGTGGAATATATCTTTTCCTCATCTGAACCTGGTCTTTTCCTTCCAGTTATGAGGGCTGGGACGCGTCGTAATAGTTTATCTAGTCTTGTTGTTGTGTTGCTGATCCTTCGTTCTGTTCGCCAATTTAAAGTGATCTCGTAATTTCTTCGAACATATCAAGGATTTTAATAAGTATATCAGTAATAAGATAAACTTAAAATTTCCCTTAGCTTCTGGAAATGGGGTTGTAAAATAGATAATAAAACGTATCATCGTTTTACTTAACACTACCAACAGAATAATATGACATGCTAAATTCATTTCTATAAATTTCCTGCATTTAGTTGTCTGAGTAATCTCCTTTTCGAATTATCGTAGCAGAATATTATAGAAGAGACAAATCGTATTGATCCAAAATTAAGGTGAAGAAAAACAAACTAACTGTGAAGTCAGCACTGTTCGAATTATTTCAAGACAAGTATCGTAAAAGTTGTACGAATTACCTGCTGTTCCATGCTCATTTATAGCTGTATCGTCTAAAAGATTAATCAGTAAAACTGATGCAGAGCATAGAGCAGATGGAAAGACCAACTGAGCTTGTTGCAATGGTTGTGATGGGAATAAAGAATGAAATCCACTTAACCAACGGTCTTCATCTATATAACAAATAAAGTATATAATTAAGTTTACAAACAATGAATCTATTTTATTAATAAATTAAAATATCTCACTTTTCAATAAATGTCATTAATGAATTCACTGCTTAAATGATAAAGCTAAAATACATTGATCAACCAAGTAAGTGAATGACGCATTGAAAGGCTAGTCACGCCTTATAATTGTTAACCAGTCTTATCAAAAAGATTATTGACAAAAAACAATCACACTTTTATATTCCTATAGTAACTATCCGTAGGGGTGTGTACACTTTGAGTAAGCATGTGCCCCCAAATGCCCTGGTACGGCTGAGAGTGGGGAGAGTCTGCTCTCCCACTCGAAATGTTCTCACATGGCCAGGCGTATACAGCCTCTGCCAGAGACGACCTACTCACTGACTTCTCGTGGCACCGGTGTTGTTTACGAAACTGAGAGGACGAAAAGAGAATATCCGGCGCTTTAAATGGGTTGGCGGACACGGAAAGTTCACCTAGGGGAGTTGTAAAACCCTAATTCCAAACCAATGGTACACATGGGCTCCAGTATCCTGAGGGAACAAATGACGTATGAATCAATCGTTGGTCACGGGCTACCATGGGACTGCATCTCCTTACGATGCTCCACTGTCTTGTGGATCAGATCTTTAGGTCAAAGGTACATATATATCTGGTGCCCCCTTGTAACAATATTTATGTGTTTAAATAATAATAAGCACCAAATAGTAGAAACAGAATATGTAATTTACTTTTACGCGCTTCTACTAGATCCAATTCAGTAGCTATCAACAACGGATGCACTAGAACAATGCCACACTATAATAACAAACTACATAACGATTTTCATTGGTTTTTAATTCAGATTTGAAACGAATTTTAAGGCGATATACCAAAAAAATCTGTTTAAGTCATTTGTTCAGATTTAGACAAGCCGAACGATTGAACTGAGCATGACTAACGTTTATAAGTTTCATTTACTACTAATTAAAAAATGTAGGTGTTATATCTTATAGGTTGAACGCTATACTCAGATCCTAAGCTATTCGGATAACCCCAGGACTAGCACTACTCAGCGACTTGAAGACCAGTAAGAGGACACGAGTAACGGAGAAGATGCTTTATTGCAAGGTTCATCTTTGTACAGAAAATCGTAGGTATTTATAGATGTTTGCTTAAGTTAAATCAACATCCTAATTCAGCCAATCCACTTAACGACATAAATTGCTACTGACCAATGATAGCGTGCCACGTTGGAACTCCAGAATGTTCTGTCGTGCTCTGATTGGTTGGAGCTCTTTTTGAGCCTCTGGAGGCACTCTTGGAGTTCTCTGGAGGCCGACCTAACACCTCCCCCGAATAAGATTTTTTCTTTGGGTCTACTTGCAGTTTGGTGACAGGTTTTCTGTGGCGTTCGGACTTCCTTGGTATTTCATGTCTATGGGTGTCTGTTGGGGTTCTTGCCACCGGAGTATCTGTAACTACTTCTAGCGGAAGCCTCTCTTGGCTATCTGCGGTGTCTAGGATCCTTTTTCCTCTGAGTATTTGATTAATGTGTCTAATCCACGTTCCGAAAGTCCCACGCACCTTGTAAAGAACATTTCCCATTCTCTTTACAATGACTACAGGTTCCCAACGCCTTTTCCCGCTGTATGACTTGACGAGCACTTTATCACCGACGTTAAAACTCCGGATGTTCTGATTTTGTCTGCGTCCAACCATTAGTTTAGGTGGCAACATGGCGTCAAACACAGTTCGAATTTTTCTCCCGAACATCGCTTCAGCAGGGGATTTTCCATCTGGGACGATGTGGTTAGGCGTAGTTCTATAAGCTGTTAGAAATCTCGTAATTGCCTGACTTGTCCCCTCGCCATCCCCTTTCAGGAGTGCTCTTTTGAATGTGTCGACGAAGCGCTCAACCTGTCCGTTTGATTGAGGGTGATAGGGTGGAGAGCGTATATGTACAATTCCATTAATGTTGCAGAAGTGCTTGAATGATTCTGCAGTGAATTGTGACCCATTATCGTTCACTAAAGTCTCAGGAACTCCAAAGCAACTAAAGAGTTCGGATAACTTGCTGATCGTTTCACTGGCTGTACAAGTTGCCATGGCATAGATTTGTGGCCATTTTGTGAGTGCATCCACTATGACGAGAAACATTCTTCCTCTTATTGGGTCAGCGAAATCGGCGTGCAGCCTTTCCCATGGACTATTAGGTTTTTCCCATTGTTGTGGTTCGCACTTCTTTGGATTTTTAGCTGCTTGCAGGCACGACGAGCAATTACGGCATTTGATTTCGATCTCTTGATCCATTGTAGGCCAGTAAGCATAGCTTCGAGCCAACGCTTTCATCTTATTGATCCCGGGATGGCCGCTGTGGAATTGTTTCAGAACACTGTGGCGTAATGTTTTTGGAACCACAATTCTGTCACCAAACATAATACATGAGTCGACCATCATGAGTGAGTCTCGCCGGCGGAAATATTGTAGCATCTCTCTTTGGAAACGACGGTTCGGCCACCTGGTTAGGAGATAACCACTAACTTCTCTTAATGTCTTGTCGTTTACCGTGGCTTCTTTGATAGCTTTGAAAGTGACTGGTAAGCCATCGACTGCGTCTTCCAATACTCGATGTACTTCTGCTTCCGTCTCAACTGCTACCACCAATGTATCTTCTTCATGTTTTACTCGCGAACCAATCAGTCTAGACAAAGCGTCTGCTTGTCCGAAATCAGTAGTGGGCTGGTACTTGATCTTAAAGTCATACCCTAAGAGTGTAGTTCCCCACCGTTGCAGTCTGTTTGCTGTGTATACCGGGATACCTTTCTTCGACCCAAAAATGGCTAACAATGGTTTATGGTCAGTTAGTAGGGTGAACTGGCGTCCAAATATCATCTTGTGGAACTTTTTTATGGCAAAGATAATCGACAATGCTTCCTTTTCGATCTGACTGTAGCTACGTTCTGCTGTAGTTAATGATCTAGCTGCATGCGATATGGCTTTTTCAGATCCGTCAGGCATGATGTGAGAAATAACTGCTCCAATGCCATGGTTTGAAGCATCTGATGCTACTACAATGGGTAAGGATGGGTCATAATGGGTGAGCAGCAGATCCGAGACTAGTATTTTCTTGATTTTCTCGAAAGCGGCTTGACAATTCGCAGACCAATCCCACTTCACATTCTTCGCCAGAAGGTTATTTAAGGGGGCATGCAGGTGATGAAGGTTAGGAATAAAAGCTCCATAATGACTAACTAGTCCCAGAAAGGATCGTAGTGTAGGGGCGTCCGTTGGTCTAGGCATAGCTTTCACTGCCTGAGTATTCTCTGGATCTGGTCTTCTGCCATCTTTGTCGATTATAAATCCGAGGTAGCTTACCTTTTTCATAAAAAAGTTACATTTCTCTGCACGCAGTCGAAATCCATATTCGGCTATTCGCGACAGCACCTGGTCGAGCTTCTTTTCTAAGTCTATTTTATCTACTCCCATAATTATTATATCATCCAGATAGGCTGCAGCACCTGGAACATCCTGTAGCATAGTATCCATCACTTGCTGAAATATAGATTGGGCCGTCTTGACTCCAAAAGGTAGTCGATTATACCTGAATAGGCCCTTGTGTGTGTTTATGGTGAGTAGATTTTTATATTCATCAGCAACCGGAATTTGTAAATAAGCTTCCGATAAATCTAACTTCGCAAAGAGCTTACCACCATTCAGCTTAGCAAAATGATCTTCAGGTAGGGGTAGTGGATACTGATGAGTTTCTAAGGCTTCGTTTAGCCCGGTTGAGTAATTGGCACATAAACGGATGCTACCATTAGTCTTCTTTACCACCACTATAGGTGCAGCCCATTCTGAGAAATTCACTGGCTCAATGACACCCAATTTTTGAAGTCGTTCTATCTCTTGTTCTACCACTGGGAGGGCAGCATAGGGTACAGGTCATTTAAGTCGAAAAATGGGAGTAACTGCAGGTTTTAAAGTTAGTACTGCTTTAGCCTTCGTGCATTCTCTTAATCCTTCTTTAAACACGTTGTGATGTATTTGCAACACAGTATTCTTCTGGTTACTATCTAAGGAGTTATCAGAAGTAATTCGTCTGCAGATGCTATTAATTGAATGTTCTGCTAGCTTGAGTGTTTCTATAAGATCTAGACCCAATAAGTCGAGTCCTGGGTTCTTCGTAAGGTATATGGTTGCATTTGTCGTAACCGCACCTTTAGACACAATGCAAGGTATTTCCCCAACAATATTTAACTTTCCGCCGGATGCACTGTGTGCTAGTTGTGTTGTTCGATGCACTGTGGGTCGCCCAATCTTCCTCCAAGTTTCTGGGCTTATTAAAGTAATGTCAGAAGCTGTATCAAGCTGAAGTCGACTACGGTGCTTATTAATATTCAAGGTCACGTACTTTCTTTGGTGACACCTTCGAGCTTTGTTATACGATACCAATATTCTTTTCCTTAATGCCCCAGACCTGTATTTCTTGAAGTAAGGTTTTGCAAAATGTCGTTTATAGTTTCTTTTCCTGCAGCTGGTTTCTATATCGCCCTTTCGATGACACTCACTACAACGATGATCTTTATACGGGCAAGACCTCTTATAGTGCCAGCCTCCACATGCCCAGCATGGAGATGATGGTTTGTCGCCGTCATTACGATAATTACATGTGCTGGAACCTTGCAAGGATTTTCTCTTGACTGCATTGACATTACAGGAACAGTTACCTTTTTCTACCATTGAGGTATCATGCTTCAAGTTCACTAACCTTTGGCACTCGGTAGTAACTTCTTGTAGTGTTATATTTGGGCACTGTTCGATTTTACTCAAAATTCTAGTTCTAATATCAGCATCTTCGGAAGATTGGAGGCTACAAACGAATACGAGACATTTAAACTGGTCTTCTGTCATAGTTGATAATTTGAAACGTTCACATTCACGGTTTACTAAACCTGCGTGCTTCACCCAGTCATCCTCAGCTGCTTTTGTTATCTTCAGACATTGATAACGAATATTAAATAAAGACGACTGTTCAGCAAACATTTGTGACAAAATCTCAGTGGTTTCATCAAAAGTAAAATCTCTTGGGTTCTTTGGAAGAATGAAATTACTATAGCGTTCATGTTCAGCTGTGCCAAGTTTTCGTAAGAGTATTCTAACCTTTGCGGCGTCATCAAGTTTTCTGAGGTCGACCTTGAATAAATCTTCATATTTCTTGAACCAGGTTTCGAAAGTAATAACAGACGAACCATCAAAATTGAACTCATGGATAGAATTAATAATGTGGTCGACATTAGATTTGGCAGCATCATCTGTAGCACCAGTTTGACTTAGGTTCAATTTCTGCGTTAAAGTCTCTATGATACGAACCTGGAATTGCTCAAATCGTTTCTCTTGACGCTCCAGCAAGGCTTCAAATTGTTCAAAGGTAAATGACATCTTGATAAGCTAACCCTGTCGCCACTGATATATCTTATAGGTTGAACGCTATACTCAGATCCTAAGCTATTCGGATAACCCCAGGACTAGCACTACTCAGCGACTTGAAGACCAGTAAGAGGACACGAGTAACGGAGAAGATGCTTTATTGCAAGGTTCATCTTTGTACAGAAAATCGTAGGTATTTATAGATGTTTGCTTAAGTTAAATCAACATCCTAATTCAGCCAATCCACTTAACGACATAAATTGCTACTGACCAATGATAGCGTGCCACGTTGGAACTCCAGAATGTTCTGTCGTGCTCTGATTGGTTGGAGCTCTTTTTGAGCCTCTGGAGGCTCTCTTGGAGTTCTCTGGAGGCCGACCTAACAGTAGGTATCGTCTTTTATCCGATGACTGATTGACATTTCTCAAATTATAAACTGTGTTCGCTCTCTTATTCGGCTTTCTCTTATGAAGTTGCCTATAATCCAAGATACAGTTTCTGAATCTCATATTGAAGACTTATTTAACATTATCTAGCAAAAGGTAGATAAGCAGTCTGGGAGAGTACAAGAATAGTGAAGATGTCGCTGATCATCGACAGATGACGATAAATCAGGTGCTAAAGATCTATATTGATTCTTTCCTATTGACATTGATCTTGCAGAAGTAATAGTGCTGACTAGTTTTAGTATCACTTCGATCTGGAGATCAACTTGTGAGTGACGGTGTAATTTATCCTGCAGTCAGATAATTCGCCAAAGTATTGAGAATTAGTTTTCAACAATGCCTCATCAGATGTTGTACATGTTTCCTTTGACATAAGTCCCAATTTGTTATCTCTGTTATTCAAAACTACTTATTCTAATATCAGTATACATCAAACATAGGTTTTTCTTACTTCCATAAGTTACCTACATAAACCATTTGGATAATGTGCTAACATGAAAGAAAACTTCGAATTCCAACTTTCCAGACAACTAAAACCAAGAATACCTGAGTAAAGCAATTTGAAAATCATATATTTCCTGATACTTTAATGTCAGCTTACCGTCATGGGCTATAACACTGTTCCGTAACCAAGGTATTGAGCTCTGACGCCACGATAAATTGCGAGCTTGATTGAGAACTGTCCGATTTATTGGTGCAAGACTTAGTCTCCGAACAGCGGCAGTATATTCATCTTGTGTTGAATTGGATACTCCTATTTGTCCACCACCGGCTCCGCTATTAAATCCTGAAGAATTCGCGATGCCTGGGAGAAAAACGAATAGGCAGAAACAGAAGCAATTTACACGGAGAGATAATTTATTTTGTCAACTTTAGTATTCTGAAACACATACGTTTAGGTTGAGATGGGTTTATTGTAATGGTTTCTTGCGGGAATATACAACGAGAAGTTGAGTAGTAGGAATAATAAACATATCCAGCTAATGAAGGTCAACAAATAAAAAAATGTACTTTCATTTGCGTCAAATATTCAATGCATTTATTTGTCAATCTTATTTACTGCTACACACGGTTTGCAATTATTATCCACCTGATATCAATTCATGCTAAAAACTAGCCCTTATCACAGCTAAGGCAAAGGGTACTTATTTTACACGAAATCCGACGTGCACGACAATGCTTAGTTTCAATATAGTAAACAAACATTACTCACTATCATCAATGTTGCCTTCATCCCTGTGTTCTTTACTGAAAGCTGGTTCAATGGTTGCACGTTCCAGAACTGGGCATGTTGTTAAGTGAAACGACTGTCTGGCTTCTCTTCTTCGCATGGTTTCTGTTGCTATTGCACGAGCCAAAAGTTCCTGTTGCTGTTTACGCCTAGATGTCGAAGCTGTTACAAATGTTTTCTATCAAAAATAGTAAGAAAATCTAGTTATATATTTGTAAGATTATTCCAAGTTAACACAGAAACTGAAAATAAACCAAAATTAACTAATTTACGGAGATAATGTTTCGGTGAAGGAAAATGAACAACGAAAGAACGAAATTAATTCAAAATAGTCTGAAATATACAGTCATTACGTTTAAATACCTAAAACATTTAATTCTTAGCCTCATTATGTTCACAGTAAATTTTATGAACCATTAGACAAACTGCACTCCTAATTTTGATACAAAAGTTTGAAATACATGTGTTAACCGACGTATAGATGCCTGCAATACGGAAATAATTTCAATGTAAATAGATTTTATACCTGATGTAACGTATGCTACTCATACCGATACAAGTAGTAAATGAAACCATCCAGAAGTGGGGGTGTTTGGCAGTATAGGTTGGAAAGATAGAGCCGAAGAGGACGGAAACAGAGAATAATTGTTATGGCGATGAAGGAACGATAAAGTTTGAGACGATGATGGGAGATTTGCGAATGAAATATTGGACGTTTGGTTTTTACATTTCACCAAAAAACTGTTAGTTTGTATTAAAATACATTGATTGTCTCCATCTGTGTTTTCGCCCACAACATTATCACTTTACGATTAACACCAACAACAGATATTTAGACAAAAAATCATGTAATGTGAAAACGTTTTTCGAATGTTTTCAGGGACAAGAGCAAATATAGACTTCTTTCTCATTGAACTAAAATCGACATCTCAGTGATATGAATGGTACCGATAGAAAATATAGTCGGCAAGTACTTATTTTTATTTTATTAAGCAGCAGTTATATAAAAGCTAGAGAACAGTAGGTTGGAGAAAATGTGTAACAAGATAGTTTATAAACGCATTCCTAGTGGTGATAAATGGAAGTAATCTGGAGAGGTGCCTAAACTTTAATCATGTTTCCTCATCATTGTTGCGTAAAAAGCTAAATATTCTTAAAGTTGTCTTTGAGAAATGTCATTTTTTCTTTGACAGAAATTGTATTCTAGATGTCCTTACAAAAGGCTTTACATTATTTTTTTATCAACCATTCAAATAACAGTTTCTTATTAACCGATTTTATTCAGAAAAATGTATAGTGTTAACCATATGTTTCTAATAAAAACTTTGGTAAAATAAGTAAGCAATTTATAGAGAAACAATATAATCTTTAGGTGATACATTGAAACAAAGTAAATTTACCGTAGCCTCGTTTTGTTTTAGCTGAACCTCTTCAGCTGATGTTCCTTTACGAATCTGCCAAACAGGATCTGGTGCCTCGAATCCAGGATAACCGAGTGTAGGTGAAGGCAAAACAAATTCAATAAAAGATGGGGGTACTCTTAACTGACTAGCTGCATTTTCTTCAAGACGCGACCAAACATGAAAACGATGACACCATAAAGTTCTGAATCTGCAAAGAAACAGAGAAAGTGCAGAATAATCATGCTTTTGTAAACTAATTCGTGAATACATTATTTGTTTACTACCAAAACAATAAACATAGACTACAATTTGTTCTCCTAAATCGTTCCAAAAACAAAAAGTAATGGTATTTGTTAGATCAAACACCCAACGTTTCATCATGATAGTTGTTAAAACACTTGTTTTGTTAATTTAAATTTAGTGGATGCAAACACTTCATCTTTTATTGTTTCCAACTGTGAAAATCAACTCCTCTGACTTTAAGGTATTCCAAGCGTCGTGTCAATTCAACGTACAAAAGCATAAATAATAATATCTCAAAGTGATCATTAAAATTCTGACTTCAAATACCGTCTTTGAAGGTTCAAATACTTGTTGATAGGTTACATAGAGATACCACTAGTTTTAATAAATTGATTTATGATCTAACATATTAGGTTAAATAGAACTCACCGCAGAATAGCATTAAATCTTTGGGTGGGTTTTTCATGTCGCATTTCGTCTAGAATCATTTCTTGGACGATTTGAGGGCAACGTACACCACAGAAAAGTATGAAACATGCTGTTCAAATATGAAAAGCGTTAAATTAGAAATAATACTCTATAAAATATATTTTATTTCTCCCTGTATATGCATGCTAGTCGTTATTCAAACAAAACTGTTAGTAGATTCCATTATGGAAAAAGACTCGAAATTAAGAACCAAGATATAACTTTTCAATGGTACTTACTCGTGACTTTTTATAAGATTGAGTATAGCACCTTCCATCAGGAAAAATATATAGCTGTAGGAAACAACACTACCAGTTCACTTCTAGCTAAAAATTTATTTACTGTCGTAGAGTTACTTTGGTCGACATTTAAACGAGATTTTATTCAATCAATCTGTTTACTAGGACTATAATTTAATCGAATAATTGATTTAAAATAATGTTCGGAACATATCAAGACTCTATTGTCATGAAATAGCAGAGATAGGGATTTGAAATTAAATTGTTGTTATTATATCAGGATAATGAAAGCCTGATTTTATCAAATAGTAACATTAAAAATTATATTGCAGTTTGTAACAACGGAAACAAAACACATACAAGATATATAAATTAAAATGTTATAATTCGACCGGATTCTTTCTGTAAAAGGTGAATAGATGATTATAAAAAAAATTCTTACAATCTTGAAAGCCCGAACTGTCTTGAAAATAAAATGATCAAATCTTAAGTAGTAGTTGAAATAAAAGTCACTCAATTGACTGTCACAAAATAATATCTTGCAGACCAACTAAGTGTTCAAGAGTTACCGTGGAAATGTCCCTATTTTTCCGAGACTTATTCAAGTTCTACTGACGCAGGTTTATCTCCATACATTCTTGAATGGAATTTCATACATTTGTTACTATACCGATACTAAACGAAAAGCTCTACTTTATCAAAATAATACATTTACAGATATAATTTTGAATAAATTGAGCATTGAGTAGATTGTTATAAATAAATTAGTATATTTGTAATATCCCAATGAGTAGAAAAATTAGATTTTTTGACGTTTCGTGACTCAGTGTAAGCCACTTCTTCAGAGAATAAATAACCAAATTAATATTAATCCAAGTTTACATAGTACATCCTGTTTTTGATTGATCACCTAATGTTCTTGGATTGTTCCGTTGTACTATGTAAACTTGGATTAATATTAATTTGGTTATTTATTCTCTGAAGAAGTGGCTTACACTGAGTCACGAAACGTCAAAAAATCTAATTTTTCTACTCATTGAGATATTACAAATATTTTATTTATTTACATTTACAGATAATTCAAGAAATATTCAAGGACATACCTGCACTTGATGACATTTCTGTATCCGTTTCTAGCAGCAACTCCCAAGCCAACGGAAGCATTTTGGCTAGTTGATTATTTGTGAGTAGTAAAGCTGCTTTATTTAGAAGATTGAAACCACTGCTACAAAGATTTTTTATCTGAAAACGTTAGTAAGGACAACGATATATGTGAATCCTCTTAGTAAAAAATCGAAAATAAGTCACAGCATTTAAGCCATTACTTATAATGTTTAGAGTTTCAAATCAATTGTATGTGAACTAAATGTTACGTACCTACTTGAGCATTAAGTTTAATCATTCGTATCTACGGTAAAAGATTGTTAAATTGTTATCTTTTCATGAGTTTATAAGACAATAATAAGACGAATAATATAAATGGATACATCACAAATCAACTCTTACATGAGTATCCAAATAGCACTGAATAGGTAATTCGCCTGAATGATGTTTACGAAATCTAACAGGTTTCCTAATTTGATTTTTAAAACCATCATCATCTTCAAAACCTGGTGAAGTTTCACTTGCTTCGTCAGCCTCAATCCCAAGCAGTGGTGGATTCAGACTAATACTTTGACGAGAACTCTTCAGTAATCCCGCACCTGCTCCAGCTAACATACTCAGATTAATTAGTCCTGTCAAGCCCGGAGTATCATTCTCAAACGAGCTTGGATTTATTGAACGGTTGAATGATTTCATTCGAATCTTGGTCAGTAGATTCATGTTCTCACGGCTTGAACTTGGCCCAAATATATTAGATTCCTTGCGATAGAAATAAGTAAAAAAAGTAAAGAAAAACTTTATGAAAACTTTCTTCTGAATAACTGCTATGATATTAGTAATAAATGAAACTTACTACTAGCAAGTAGTAATGTGTAAATGCAAAACATTTCAGAAACTGTAATATTTGATTCAGTTAATGAGTTACTATCAATTGCAACATTTGTAAACTGAACGTATTGGAACGTACAAAATATCTTGCTAACAAATTAATTTCACGGAAGTTTATTTAATCAATGTACTATGGTTTCGAATTTCTATTTTACTATATGCAAATTCTAATATTCATAAATATAAAATTGTGTGATAAAATAATAATGTCTTATTGCGAGTACAAATCTTGTTACAGTCCGGGGATTTTCAGCCTTAATTGTGCAATGAATTACTCTTCAATATACAAGCAAATCGTTATTAGTCAAAAATTATATTTTATAATTTTTTTTCAATAGTCAGTCTCTTTTGTTCATCTTTAATGGAGAAAGCTCTTCCATTAGTTCAGGTGTTACAATTACTTTCTTCGTTCATCAGGGATAAAATGCATTAATTTCAATACGGTAGTCGCTTGTTTTCTTCAAAATACAGACAAATAAGAGTATCTACCAACAATTCCAAGTTTCAGCCTGATTTCAGGTACAACGTTTCGTGATTAAATATGAACCTTTCATATTACCGCGTGAGTACAAACACTTAAGTTCAAAAAATCTAAAACCAGAAGGTTCATTGAAAGATTTGCACACTTGAAGAACAGTCGACCCAAACGTCTCACCAAGCTGACGCGATATTTTTCTGTGAAATAGTCTCAAAACTTGTAGAAAAATATTAATATGCGGAAAGGAAAGGCTTGAAAAATGTCGTGTGAAATATCTATTCAAATCAGTTAACACTTCTACATAAATATAAAAAATTCCAGGACCAGAAAACCATATGATATGAGATGTTATCGTGTTTTTGTACGAAATACTTAATGAATGAACTTACGTGGAACCACGTAAACAAGTCGTTCTTAATATAAGCAATCTTTACAGAACTAAATTATCATATTATTAATCGCCTAATCATACTGCAGCTTAAGAGACGCATCATTAGGAACATATAGACTTTTTCAAGTTTTTTTCCATAAGCCACCACCTTCCTTTAACTGGTGATAATAAATACTCGAGTATTTAGATTGAATAAAGGTTGTTAGATGTTAAAATAACTCAAAAAAGTATTTAAACTTTCAGCGATTATGTTCACCTTATCGAATATAACATGAGAAAATTTAACGAAGAAATAGAAAGCAACAAATACAATGGAGAACTAATGATAGAATAGGATTAATTTACTTTTCTTTTAGCAGATTTTATAAACAGTTTTGATCTGGCTTTCCAAAAATCACTACCGCTACTTGCTGTCAGTGCACCCTGATGCATTAAAAGAAAATTATTGACATCAAGATCATTATCAGTTGATTTGCCTAATCCAGTTAAACTGTCTTTGGATTGAACAATATTTGGTAAACTTTTTAGTGTGTTAATTTTATTCTTCATATGTGCTGGATTAACTTGTTGTTGATGTATGACATCTGAATCGGATAAATCTTCTGTAGAGTCTAGATGTGAAGAATCTTGATCAGAAGAGTTTTCTGAGCGTGAATTATTTGATCTATGTTGACGAATTACATTAGACGATACTGGTAAAGTTGTACCTGTATCACAGGTTACATTTAAACCACGATTAAGTGTTGCACTTGTAGTTGTAGATGTAGAGGTAGTACTTACAGTACTTAAAGAATATAAATACTGACGATCAACAGATACAACAAATTTACTCTCAGTTTCTGATTCATAAACCTGCTTCATTGCATTCAATAAGTTTCGGCATTGGTGCTGCTGATATTCAAAACAATTTGAAGCACATGAATTTTGATGATCACAATTAAAACTGGTACTGTAAAATAATGAAATAAATAAACGATTTACAGAAACATTATTTGTCATTCGGCAGCAAATTGAAAATTATATGCTACTTAACCTTTACTTGGTACAGTTCACAAATAAAAGATGCCTATTGGAATCAAATTGTACTGAAACGCGTAACGCCCAAAAAGCAAGACTAAATACTTTATTTTCAAGCCAACATGTATAGTTCACCTATATGATTTTGAGATGGTGGAGAGGATTTGTAGCTGAGGTGTATGATCTTTGATGAAGTTTTGTTCTCTGAGCTGGATGATTTGGTCGTGGAGCTTTCATCGTCCTTCCGAACGACATTAAGAGAAATTTATCTAAAACCTAAACTGATTTAGACGAAGTTTTGTTCAATGTACTTGGTGGTTTGATCGTGGAGCTTTCATTGCTCTCTTGAACAACATCATCAGCACAAACATCAGGTAAAAGTAAAGTGTTGGATTTCATTTTTATGTATGACTCAGCTTGTCTTGTCTACCTTGATCGATAGAAGAAAATCCAATCAAAAGGTTAGACAACCAAATCTCAAGGACTTTAAACAAGCTTGTCGAAGCAGGAAAAATATCAAAGAAAGATCAATGGAGAATGAAATCCAATGGACCAGCACTCACTCGATTATGCGATAGGCCGAAAATATACAAGCCTACATCCCACCACATCTAACTATGCCAGTCCCCTAAATCTCAACGTACAATTTATCGAGAGAAATTTCAAGAATATTGAAACATTTAGTGAATCCATCGAATGACTGTACTAAATCTACCATACAATTCTTGGATAAGGTTAAGGAGATTCAAATGAACAACGAAAAACTGATGATATACTTCAATGTAACAGCCATATTCACCTCAACTGAACTAAGCTTAGCAAAGGAAATTCTATCCCCACTCCTCACCAACTACACAAATATCCAAAAGTGCACGAAGCTTACAAGTCAAAGTTTATTAGAACTCGTTGATTTATGTATAACAACATATTTTTAATTCAATAATACAATTTATGTACTAACGAAAGAAACACCGATGAGATCATCAATATCAGAACTTATTGCAGAAGAAGTGATGCAGTGATTGGAAGCCTTAACCTTACCAGTAATCCTAACAAAAATGAGGATTCGTTATTTGGACGAAACATTCGTCATTATCAAGAAGGATGAACTGGAAAACAATCTGATTGACAACGTCTTAGATGACAATCACAATTAAAAAGGAGTCAAGCAACAAACTCATATTCTTGGACATACTAAATACCAGAACCAACAGAGAAAAACTGAAGACTCAATCATGTCAGAAGCCGACCTACAAAAGTCAAATTCTCAATGACAGTAGCAACAACCCAAGAACTTATAAAATCAACTGCTTACAAACTTTGTTCAAGAGGGCAAGGACGCACTGCAACACACTTGCAGTGCGGAAAAATGAAGAAAAATATCTAATGACTATCTTTCAAAAGAACGGCTACCCACTCAACTTCATCAACACCTATCAACCCAACTCATCAGTAGAAACAAAATTAAGTTCAGAAACCAACAATCGGATCACACTACGATGTATATTAGACATATTAGAAATTACAACGAGATTATTGAAGCTCTTTGGAACATGTGTAGCACACAAACCAGCAAAGTCGTTTCAATTAATCCCATGCAAACCAAGGCATGAAATGGCAGAAGAGTAAAAGCCGAACATCATATGCAAAACAAACTGTTCCACTTGAGAAAAACACTACGTCGAACAAAGTGGACGCCTCCTTCCCATTCGCTGGTGTGAACATCAATTAGTGGTCAAACGCCATATCAATGTATGTCGACAACTATGGACACAAAAGCAACTGGGAAAATGTTGAGATCTTGAATAGAGTGTTTACTAAAAGCACCAGAGAATATTTAGAATCTTGGCACTCAGGTCAATCAGCGAACAACAAGAAATTAGAGATTGGTAGCAATATATATTCAATGAAACATCTGTGACAGGAATTTACATAAATTCTCTAGTACCCTATAGATTATTATACAGAAAACGACGAAATGACTTTTGTTATATGCAGTAATTAAACTCTGGAAAACTAATAATAATTTATTATTATGGTACACTTTTTAAAGATTTATGGAAATTTATCAGCATATTATTCAAGTGAAATATTAACTAAGTGAAAATATAAGTCATCGAATTGTACACATTAACTTACTAATTTGCAAATTCTATAACAGCATCAACCCACGGCATATGAGATGTGTAATCATGCACATGATAAGTTTCATTATCCCCAAAAGCTAAGGCATGATGCAATGTATTAGATTTCAAAGACTTCTTTGCAGAAAGGGCAGCTGATACGGATCGTCGTACAGATGTATGGGACTTGATTGTTTCATCGTACCTAGAATGATGGCCTTGTCTTGATTTTAAACGTAAAGGATTCGAGTGAATTAGACTTTTATTGACATGATTCATTTGCAGCAAATTTCGTTCTTCATGATAAACGTCTTGATTATCATCCTCAGAAACTGGAGTTCCAGGGTTATCAGTTGAATCGTCAAAAACGTCAGTACAGATATCACCACTACTGGTTCGATTAATCTGTCCTATAAGACTAGGGTGCTGTTCAAACACTAAAATTCACAAAAGTTGCAAATGATAATATAACTTTAGTCTACAGTAAAATGTAGTAGATTAATTGGCCAGAAATTCAAATAGCTACGTCGAAAGGATTTTGTTTTGTTCATTCTGAAAAATCTACCTACCATTTTTCCGAACCAAAACAGTTGAAAAAAATCATGTATTAAAACGCAGGTTGTCAATAAAAAATCGAAGTGAATGAAACTTGAAAAATTGATTGGACTCGTAAATAAACAAAATGACTAACCATTAGACAAATCAGACCCGTGAGCACTAAAATACCTAAAACTCCCGGAGCCTCGATGTTTCTGAAGAAGGCCTTTGCTTACTGATAAACGATCTGCCAAAACAATAAGGGAAAAAATATAATAATTACTTTTGAAACCCGAATAACAGTAAAACTAAACAAACCCAGTAGTTCTGCACTAGTCAAATCTAAGTTTACTTATATTTCATAATACCTAATCTGGATACAAATTTATATTTCAAAAAAAAGCGAGATCATCTTAGCCAATTCAACCATGAGTTAGTAACTGACATTATTAATGAATGCTTATTAATATTTAAGGTGGAAACGCGAAAAATGGTCTCTATGCACAACCTTGTCATATGGAGATAGATTTACGACTCTGAATGTTTAAGAAGATTATCAACCAGAACGATTAACAATTTATGGACGACCTTTGAACGAATCTTAATTGACTTTGAGAAATATTAGCCAATCAGTAAACAGTTAGTATAGAGTAAAAATATATCATACAAAACCACAGAATTAAAAGGGATACACTTCTTTTACGTGGTCCAAAAACTTGTCAAGGTTAGAAAGAGGTTCAAAGGTTCTAAAATCGTAATGCATACCGTATATGAACACATCCATATGGCTCCATAATAGTCAGTCTCTGGAGCCATGGTAAGGTAGCAAAAATTCTCTCAGCCTCGACCACATAGCTTCAATATTGTTTGTGTGTACTCTGGTTGTGTAAGCTTGTCGTTTTTATTACGCATATATCCCTACAATATTCATACCACTGAACAGCCGAGGCTTCAGTAACATCTGCGAATATTGCAGACAATGTTACTGGTGCTTTTATTATGCAGTTCGCGGTAATTATTAAAATTTGACTTAATCTCAACCTGGATCGAGCGAAAAAAGTTCCTATTCTAACAAACGTGTTCTTTCAACATATATTACACCGATGAAGAACATCACGGTAGTCTGTACAAGGTTTACAAGTCATTCGATTACCGCGATTACAAATAAATGAACTTCTTAGTAGTCCCATTTATTGTAGCCGCTTAATTGTCACGTCTTCTCTAAAATCCTCTGTGAACCGATCGTACATGAACATGAAGTACTGAAATCGGCGCTGCGACCTTAAAATCCCTCAAACGCTTCTTACTGGCTCGTCACAACGTGTTAATATAAAGTGCTCAAAATGGAAAGTCACAATCAGTGCAGAAGTATTTCACGGAGGTAAATGCTGTGAAACCAATTAAATTATATGAGCATCACAAAATGATACATTGAAATAATTTTGAGAAGAAAACTTCAAAAGATTAATAAATGTTAATATAAACTATTCAGTCAGCTCCAGTGTTTCTTATAATCTCTTCTTAATAGTTTTAAACACTGAATTAATTAAACTATCTGTTACATAGATTACATATACAAACATTTAGAGAAAAATCTTAGGATTTACGTTGCGATTCATTTGCTTCTAATGATTGATCCAGATAATTTGCACTTGCATTTGTAGAATCAGATATATCCTTAGAATCGTCCATTACAGCAAAACTGATACGTCTGGATGAAGTACCTCGACGTCCACTTATAGATTTATCTGTACCTAAAGAGATTATTTAGTTAAAAATTCAACGTATATCTGAGTTGGACAGATTATCACAAACTGTTCATTATTTCCAATATTATTATTCGTCTTTAACAAATTTGGCTTAATAAAACGTGTATGTCCAAAATTAGAAACCAAACACAACCATTGCAGATTAGTAAACTATTTGTCCCTTTCACAGACTTCGGTTTTGAAAGTGGCATAGTTAGAGCTACTATAATTTATGTCCTATATAAATCATTTGAAAAGATACTAAATATGGCCAAGCTATAAATCAACTTCATATTATGACACCCATGATAGGTTTCCTAATTTGTATATACTGATTTAAATGCTCTTGTGGAGCTGGTCACAATGGTCGTTGTTAAGTCGGCTTACAGTAAACTCTATCAGAGCATCCAGAGGCTCATAAAGAGCCCAACCAATCAGCGACTAGTTAGAAGCTATGCTACTAAAATAACGAGATCCTGATTGGCTGTTTAACATACTGCTACTATGGAATCTCAAGGTCTTTTAATTACTATAAAACCCCTGTTTTTCTGTACATAAATGAACCTTGTAGTAAAGTGCTTCTCTGATACTCGTGTCTTCTCTCTGGTCTTCAAGTTGCTGTATAGTTCTAGCTCGGGGATCCGAAACTAGCTTAGGGAAGCAAACATAACGTTCACAAACGGGCAGACGTAACAGTGGCGACGGGGATTTTGGTACGCAAAAGAAAACAGTATACAGTTGTCGTCGGGGATTCTGGTAAAAAGAAATACAGCAATCGAGACGTGATTTTGCAATTAAACAAGCTGTAATAATTGCCGGTGAATTTTTGGAGTTATTTTTATTGTCAGTAAAAAAAAGACGATTTCTCTAGAACAGGCGCTGATAATATTAGAGCACCGGCAACAGCAGATGCTAGCCTTCCAGCAGCAACTATTTGAAACAGCTTTGGACAAATTTTTCACTAAACAAAACGTCTCAGGAAATAAAGAAATTATTTATAGTGCAGATAATGGTGCGGAAATGGCCGTCTCAGAAGAACGCCAAGTTGAGGGTTCAATTCCCTTCATATCTGATGAAAAAGGCAAAATGGGTAAGTTGGCCGGTTCAGAGCAAGACAATATCTTGCTAAATGCAAATGAAACTGTGACAGTATCAGATATCAAAGAAAAAGAAGGTTCCGTAGACAAAGCCCCGAGCCCAGAGTCAAATGAAGCACCATTGAATCCACCGATCTCTGAAGACAAACTTCAGTCAGATCTAAACTACGGGTTACATGATATCGGCCAAGAAAGCTGGAATGGTGCACATGATTTTGATGAAAATTCTTATGAAGATGAGGAAACTAAGTCGGTTGAATCAAATACTGATCAAAAACCTAAGGCAATTTCATTAGATGATGATTCCCCTAGCTATCAAATATCCTCCAGTGAATTTGATGGAGATGTTTCAGAAAAGCCAAATTCCGATGACCTAAAATCAAATATCGTTCATCATCATCTATTCATTTCTAGTGGATTCTGCATTCAATACGAGAAATGTGTTCTAAATAAAGTCATATTAATTGTAAATTGGAGATATGAAGATCCAACATTATTTCGTGGGGGAGGAAATGTTGGAGAATTTCAACTTACAGATAATTCTTTTTAAAATCAGAATCTAATCTTCGGATCTTCAAAAAAAAAGGGAGGTGTTAAGTCGGCTTACAGTAAACTCTATCAGAGCATCCAGAGGCTCATAAAGAGCCCAACCAATCAGCGACTAGTTAGAAGCTATGCTACTAAAATAACGAGATCCTGATTGGCTGTTTAACATACTGCTACTATGGAATCTCAAGGTCTTTTAATTACTATAAAACCCCTGTTTTTCTGTACATAAATGAACCTTGTAGTAAAGCGTTTTCTCTGATACTGATCTGAATAAAGCGTTCGACCTACAAGATATAACAGTCGTATTCAGAGGGGCTTATTCTTGAGTTCTTTCTAACATGTACCAGAATTGTTGGGAGGAGAAAACAAAAAAACTATAGATTGAGTTAACTATGCCATAAAAATCGTTAATTAACAAATAACGTTTGAACCTTATTTTATCATCCATCCCATCAGTCCACCCGTAGCTGGATTTCAAAACATTGACGCTGAATCATTTAGTCAAATATTACGATTTGGATATACCTTCGACTAGTTTTCCCGTTCATTATTATTATTAACTATGTGATTTTTCTCATTCTGCCTAAATCTAATTGTATGTACTCTTATATTTATAATACTTCATTGATATTGGCCATAGGATTCATTTATTCACTGAATTCTTAATCAGCAATAGAATACCGATCTACACACAAGCACAATCATGTTACATTCTAAACATACTTTACGTCTAATGGCTAATTATATTACTAAAAACAAAATCAGCATTTAGAAATGATTGAATATAATTACAGTATATTTCGACTTCCGAACTATATTTTTATTTTTGATAATTTTGATCATTATTATTATTTCCTTGAAGTAGTTCGCATCAGTTTATCAGGAAAAACGTTGAGATTATTTCAAATTTATTTTCACATATAATGTCTTCCATATACTCGACTCTTGATTTTTGTCAAACTCATAGGCTGAATTCGACTTATGTTTCTTTAAGTCTTGTATTGTCGATTATTTAGTTGTATTTTCGGGATTTGACTTAGATGTGCTGAGCAACGCCGAATGCGACAATTTGTTAAGTAATAAAATTTATATTGGATTTTTATTCGACATTCCATTTCTTTAGTGAATTATAAAAATCAGACTACAACGATGTTTGTGTGGGTTTAATAGAAAATGACTTATGTAGATATCACGAAATCTTGTACCTAAATAGGAATATATCAAGTACGATTTTCAACAATCCAACAACATTTAAAAGTTACAATGTAAGCAGCTGACTTTTGATATGATATTGAAACACATCGAAAATGCTTTTAGCTTCCCATGCTCCTAAAAAAGCACTTCACCATGAAATAAAACTAACGTCATTCTTATAAAATAGTTCATTAGAAAGATTTTTTGTAAAACATTGATGTTGTTATGTACTTTGATATTGAAAAGTAAGTGATTGATAACACAATGATTTTGAATCCGTAAAACTCTTTAGCTAAAAAACTAAATTTAGTGTTCAAATTAATTAAAAAATAGACTACTCGTAAAAAGGAATACCTAAGTATAAACTCTTTGTTAATTTACTAGCATTCCTTCTAACGTATGTTTAACATGTCCACTTATGTTGAAAGCAATCATACAGACATCTCCTTACCAAATTTTATCTTCCTAAAGTGAACGTTCAATAACAATATATTCTCATGCGAGAAATATGAGTATAAACGTTAAGAGGAAAATTTCATAAAGTGATGCCTATGAACTCCGCCTGTAGCTCTTCTAGAGTTACTGATTGTCCCATTCCCGGGAAAAGAATAAGGTTGAGCATAGAGTCAGCAACCCCTTCCAGTAGAAAAAAAAACATTACTAAATAAACGCTAACCAACATAAACAAATTAAACGATTTAAACTCTGCCCTCTAATTTGAAGGAAGAATTATGACGCCTAAGGTAGAAAGCCGAGATTCTTCGGATGTCAGGAAGCCGATGCCCCTTCTTACAACCAGAACAACAATTGCTATAGGTACATGGAACGTCCGGACAATGCGGGAGATCGGGAAGACCAGTCAAATAGCAATGGAAATGAGGAGATGCAAATTGGTAGTACTTGGAATCAGCGAAACCCATCGGACTCAAGCTGGACAACAAAGGCTGGATACGGAAGAGATACTGCTATACTCTCGTCACGAGGAGGGAAATGCTCCACACACTCAGGGAGTTGTCCTGATGCTATCCAAACAAGCACTAAATGCACTTATTGGATGAGGATCTCATGGACAAAGGATCATCAAAGCATCCTTCAAAACAAAGAAGGAGAGGGCCACAATAAATGTTATCAAGTGCTATGCGCCCATCACTGATAGCAGTGGAGACGATAAAGATCACCGGATCCCATTACGGAAAACAGGATCGACCACATGTGGTTCACTAAAAATTTCAGAAGGCCAATGAAAGACGTGAGAATCAGGAGTGGAGCTGACATAGCTTCAAATCACCACCTGGTTGTGGCCAAGATGAAACTGAAGCTAAAGAAACACTGGACAACTGGGAAACAGCATTAGAAAGGTTCAATACAGTCTTCCTACGAGATACTGACAAGCTCGACGAATTCAAGATAACTCTCAACAACAGGTTCCAAGCTTTACAGGATCTACTGAAAGAACAAGAAACTACGATGAAGGACAACTAGAAAAGGATCAATGAAACATTAACGTCAACCTATCATGAGGTTCTGGATCGCAAGAAGCATCATCATAAGCAATGGATCTCCATGGAAACCCTGGATAGAATTCCAAAAAGGAAGAACAGATAAAGTCAAGGCACACATCAAAATACACAAAAGAAAACAAGCAAGTGGAGAAGAGCATTAAAACCGACAAGCAGAATAACGTGGAACAGCTAGCAACGACGGTCGAAAAAGCATCGAGAGAAGGAAATATGAGACAGCTATATGATACAATGAAGAAACTAGCAGGGAGATATAGTAAACTAGAGCGGTTAGTTATGAAAAAAGAAGAAAAGCCAATCACGGAAATTCAAGAACAGAGAAAAATTGAATCCACCGGATATCGAAGCAGCACACACAAACCTTCCTATATCTGTCACTCCACCAACGATCGAAGAAGTCAAGATGGCCATCAGACAAACCGAAAGTGGGAAAGCGACAGGATCTGACAATATACCAGCTGAAGCACTGAAGTCAAACATTGGAGTAACAGCAAACATGCTTCACCTTCTATTCAAGAAGATTTGGAAGGAGGAACAAGCACCAACGGATTGGAAAGAAGGACGCCATATCAAGATACCAAAGAAAGGAGATCTGAGCAAATGTGAGAATTACAGAGGTATCACACTGTTGTCAGTTCCAGGAAACGTTTTCAACAGTGTTGCTGAACCGGATGAAAGACGCAGTAGACATCCAGCTTCAAGATCAACAGGTTGGATTCCGTAAGTATCGGTCGTGCACAGACCAAATCAAGACACTACGGATCATCGTTGAACAATCCATTGGCCGGAACTCGCCACTATACATCAACTTTCTTGATTATGAGATAGCATTTGACAGTGTAGACAGGAGAACATGGGAAAATTCTAATCGATGGTGGCTTTTCGCGATGAAGAGAGTTGCTCGTAAACTACTTTGCACTGTCGTATGACAATTCATCTATTCTAATCCACTAGAAAATTTTATCAATATTTTATAAGCAAGACAAAATAAAACAGAATTTATCAGAATTTGTTGAAGTATATACATAGGTACGAGCGCATTCGAGGCAGAAACAACAAACAACAGTAGACAGAGTGAAAGCCAAAACTATCTTACAGGACAATTTATTTGTGTAGGTCAATGATAAGACGAGGTTAAAATTTTTGAACTATAAATTAAATGTCTGTAATTACAAATAACAGATTCCTAACATGTATTTCAAATAGAACAGTTGTTATTCATTAAATCAATTTCAAGGTAAACTTACTGGTAGTTATTACAGGTTTTACAGATGAAGATGAATGTTTTTCTATTTCATTTGTGATACCATCTTCAGGGCTATTGTTACCTGCACTACCAAATATCGGCATTAGTATACTGAGACGTCTTTTAGCACCTTTAAAGGATGCTCCACTGCTCCCTGAAGAATAAGTGTGCTTAAACGTATCCGTTTTCTTATCACCACTCGCTTCACGTGTTAATGAACGTTTGATCACTGAGTTTCTTGATGAATGTTGTGCTGATTGGCCACATTTTCCATCGTAGTTTGGATTGGATTGTGGTAAACGTTGATGTGTTTCTCTGAGATAAGTTGTTATCTCAAACAACAATTGAACACCAACAGTTAGTAAAGCATAAGGGCAACTTTCTCCAGTTGGATTAACTGACGCTGAGATAACAACATGATTATAAAACGTACATTGGTTATGTTTGGTGGAAAATAACGCTAAATCTGCCCCAGTTCCTACTGTACCTCTTAAATTAATTAAAAAAACTAGAACGTTTCATTTACACTACTTAAACAGACTATTATACGAATTACTCATCTAATTACTCTAATTTTGTAGGTCTTCAAGAATCGAAAATCTCTAAAAGTAAGCACTTTGGAATAATATAAGTATTCTAATTATTCCATTTTGAGTTGATATTCTTTTTGTTTCGAGAAATAACCAAGCGGAGATAGTATTTAAAGTGCTGAAGATATTATGCTATTATGCTGAGATTAAAATTTTTCATTACGGGAAAAACAAAAGGATAATGCGTTTTAGTGTTTCATCTTCATAATTAGGTTTAACAGTTTTAGAATAATAGGCGACATGAATTTATCACACGATATATATGCTCTAACTATGCTTTTGTTCATCAATGTGTAGAAAACAGCAAATATTTTTCCGTTATATGTTAAGCGTGTCAATAACGACAATGTTAGAACATGGAAATATCTTTTGTGAATCCAGATGTAGTTACACTATTGGTGATAAACTTTTCTGTCGGACTTTCATACCCTCAAAACGTTCAATAAAAATTTTTTTAGAAGTGAAATGAGAATGAGACTTTCGTTTTATGACAAGAAACAATTTAGAATTTCAGTTAACAGACTACTCATTAAATTATTTTAAAAAACCGGACAGATTTTCAACTGAAGATTGCGGTATTCTTTTAAATCAATGAATGTGGAGATGGTCACAGGGAAAGTCATAATATATTCTCATTACATTGATTAATTCATCTGAATTCACACAATTCGGTAAACTGCATTCGATTCTGCAAAAACAATAGCAATCCAAGTTTAAAGGAGTTGAATTTTTCAGGTTTCTTTTCGTATTTTGAGTGTTTGGCAGAATAGGGTCATTCTGACCTTATTAGGCATCCTATACAGCTGAACTTCTGTTCACAAAGACTGTCGACCCGTTTTACTGCTGTTTCGATAACTGTGAATGCAGTTTTATGAATATTACGTACATTCGATCATTCTGTTTACATCCTATAATAATTTGTTTCTTACGGGGCAAATTAGTTAATTCATTGATTAGTTTATTTTTTACTTACTGGATTGAATAAATCTACAGTCTATCTCATAATAATAACTAACAATTTTGCTCGTAAAGTACGGTTATTTTTTCAATAGGAAAACTATCTAAGTCAATCTCCTGAAAAGTGGAAATGCACAAAGTAAATTAATATTTCAAAAATTAAACAATAATATATTTTCGAGCATACCATCATCCAAAAAGTTTTGTTCCATTTCAACATTTGATCGATAATTTACGTCTTTGCTTTTATCACTTCCATAAACTTTATCACCAGATGGATCCAAATTTGTAATAATGGATGAATTAGACGAAGACATTAATGACGTAAAATACTGCAACCTATGACCCAATGCCTAAAACATCGACGGAATTAATAAATAATCAATGATTTAAAGGAATCTAACTTGTAACCAGATACGAACCCAATATTCTTCCCATATTATTACTGTTTGAATAACTAATAAAAATTTAAAAGTGAAGAACACTTAATTCACCTAAACTTGGATTATTTTACAGATGTCACTTATATTTCATGGCATTGCAGTAATTGCATAGTAGATGGATGCAATTATAAAACATCCAAGTGTTATGGGACATTTACATCTTTATACCGATGAACGTAGGCACAAATGTAGTGTCTATTTGTTCAAGCCAATTATTACTTACATTCAGAAAACAGCTTTCATTAGGGATAATTCGATTTCACTTACACTGTAAACCTTCTTTCAACAAGAACTTAATTATTTCCAGATAACTTAGTGTTTCCCCAATACAAATGACAGCTACAATGCATAATTTCCCTTTACGAAATTCCTCTGAAACTATTAATAGAACACCTTAGACATATTCACAAGCACTACAGCATTATAAGAAAGTAAGTGGATAGATTACTTTATTTTCCGCTTTGCAGAAGCGTTATCTACAATCACTGAGCTTCCATGTGTCGTTACAACCACTCCTTTGAGATCAATAAACATTTTTGATGAGTCACTTCACAAAAGAAATTTCAGGGGGATAACTTATTTCCCGGATTTAGTTATCCAACCACGAAGGTTTAACCATAAAACATGAAGTGTTCATTTGACTTAGGCCATATAACTCAAGTGATATCTTCAGGTCAGAAAAAAACAAGTACAGTTAACATCTCTACATGCAGTATATCTTTGTTTAATCGTTCACTAAAACTACTATTTTGATGTCAAGTCGTTTTGACCTTTTCGAGTATTCGCTTGTGAATTTTAAAAAGCTTGTACAGCAACATTACTAAGAGAGTCAGAAAACACACTAGTAAACCACAATAAAAGAATCTTTAATGAAAAAAGTAAATTCACTACACGGAAGAGAAAGTATTTCGACTTTGTTTTATTAGTCATTACTTATATTTTTAACTAGTTTTAAGTGATAATGTACGACGTATTATACTACTGGATTTTCACCACAACTCGGTATTTTTATAGACTAACAGGTTTTTGAATCATCGAAGCTTTTATTGTTATTGAGAAAACACTTCCCAAACGACTGGCTTGCTCACAAGATTATAAATACAGAAAAATTGTGAGAAACTCGCATTTGAACATTCCTGTTAAAAAGGACTGTTCACCTATCTTGCTCACAAATCATTTAAATAAGACATAGATAATAATTCGCCAGATAGACCGAAAATTAGTTATCTTGTACAGTTTTAAAAGCAGTTTTCTGTTGGTAGTCAAGTCAACTAATAAGAAATGGGCTGCATATAATATGTAGTAGTAACTTATTGCATACCTCACCCCAAGCATAGAATAGGTAACCAGCTACACGTTTGATTTCCGATATATCCACTGGATGATTATTGTTATTAGTATTTTCGTTTGCTTGTGAAAGATTATTGTTGCTATTAGTAGTATTACTACTAATGAATCCAGCGCTCGATCGAAATGAACTGGGTAGATTGAATTTCATCCATCCAGCCCATTCGCCTCGATTACAACGGTGAACTAAAAAGGCACATTCTAGCAGTAGGCAAGCCCGCGCTAGCACTGGAGCATCCTAAAACAGTGGTTTAAAAAAAAACAAAATATTGTAAAAGACTATAATTTAGAGCACATGTGAGCCTACCACATTTAAACGAATCTTCCACAGTAGTTAGGCAGACCGTCTACAGACTTAGAGATGTTATATTCTTACTAATGAAAACATACTGACCAAGAAATATGATATGATAAGTAAGGAAGATAACATTAAATTGAGCTTAATAATAATAACAGCAAAAATGTTGACTTTAATCAGTATTATCTGTTTAGTACGATATGAAATTCTCAGGATACAATAATTCAAAAAGTTTCTTCTGACCTTATGCTACAAAAAAATTAGATAACTGAATGCATACATACGAAAAATAAGTAAGTAAATTATTTAGGATTGAGTGAAATATTTCTAAGAAAGTAAAAATCTATGCAACTCTAAATTAGTAACATGATCATGGATATACGTTTTTGATTAAGTAAACTCCTATAAACTGTTCGTCCCATAGTGTATGAGTTAAACATGGTAATGAACAGCTCTTGTACTTTTGCTTCGATTTATAATTTTTAAAGCATTCACTTTCCGTTCTACCGAAAGATACGCAAAAGGCTGCGGATCAAGTGAATGGGTCATAACCGGTAAAATACTAGTAGTTTGCAAGAATTCAAATATCTATCCACAACTATATAAATGATGACATCAAAGGATTCACCGCATACCATACTAACTGCCTTCAGCACTCTCATCAGCATAAGAAAATATTTCCTCAAAATCCCGGGAAAGAATAATAGGTGAAATACAAGAATTTACAAACCTTAATAGTAAATGTCAAGTAATGACGAAGGTATGGAGCCTCTCTATATAATAAGTCATGGAAATCTTTTTTTGATATTGACAAAACATGAGAAGACCAAGGGAGATTACAAGAAAAACTTACACCAAGATAATATGACCTTTGACATTATTTTTGGTACAGAATCTTCAATAGCTTAAATTTCGTTGGATCGCAGCAAGACATTTAAGTAATGCGTATGTCTCATGCTAAAGTTAATAGTCATTTATTTAGAAGGAATAAGTGTGAGACTATTGAAAATAGACCACCGTTCAATGAACAAAAAGAGCTCATTCATTTCAAAAGGATTCGAAGCAGAAGAAATCGGCATAAAAACAATGAGATCATTCGCATATCTAACAGGTGTTTTTTGTAGATGACTGATCATGAAGAAAAATGAGCAAAGTAAAGAAGGGAGAAGAGCTCCTAAAAACACATCAGTCTGGATTAATAAGAAAAGTAGAATACTTTCCTTCAAGCACATGACTGCTCATATCCAAAAACGTAACTAGTTGATCAACCAGTTCTCAGTGTAATTGCCGCCAAACTTATTTAATAAAAGTGATCTTGGAACAGAGTCAAAGGTAGAAGTGTAGCCTAGGAACGTAAAAAAGCTTAATTGAGTCACAAATATTCAATAGAAAATCGTCGCTAATCCGTTTCACACCTGTAATATGTTTGAATGTTTCAATATATTTGGGGAGTTTTTACAAGGCAAGAGTTACTGAGTATATATCAAATTTAGATATTTAATTTTTTTGGTTTATTAAACAACTTAACCTTTGAGCATCGGTGGATTGTTTTTCCCTGTAGTGCCTTAATTTTCCCATCCTAAATCTTTTTCGTTGTGGGGATGTAAGTCGGTCAAATCTTATAAAAATCGTTTTCGTGGGATAAATAACATCGAGTCAGGACTAAAGGTTTCAAGTGATAATATCAACTGTCCTCCAAGTTGTCAATGGTTAAATCACATTCTGTCGTACAAAACATGTTTATCATATCTTGGATATGCCATCGAAACACAAATTCCATTTTTCTTTGCTATTCAGATGAAACCACTAAAAAACACTCGCCTTATCGCGCTTCCTAAGAGACTGATAGAAAACAATTAGGATTCTAGCTACTCATTATAAACTCAATTTATGAGTCAAAAATTAATATCTCACCGTTCGTATTTATTACTAAGATGGTGCCAATTAATATATACAGAAAATAACACATTATGTAATAAACCAAACTATCTGGCAGTAGATCTGTTTGTTATCAGACTTTTACTGAAACGAAATTTTCCAAAAATATTTTAAAAAACTGTCCAAAGAAATAGTCAAGAGCTACTATGGCTGTAAAAACGTATTTTAGGCAAATAAATTGACTTGTCGACATAAAACACTGGTTATCCAAGGAATTTTTTAGTTTATCCTGACTATAGCCTCTACCTTGACGTGGTGGTTGGGCTTGCCTATTGTGATGAATCAAAATAGCCCTATGTGTTCTTCTAGGTCTTACCATGCCAGACAGGTTGGTTGGAGAACGGTGACACTAAAGGCAGCAACTTAGTGTCCGAGGCCAAAATTGTACTGCTGACTTTGGGAGCTGTGATTGCATTAAGTAGTTTCCTTCGGACAACCACCATCTGCAGAGGTGCTACCTCTCTTCAGTAGGAGGAACGGGTTAGTAAACGTCGACTCTGATAATGTCACAACTAACATTACCCCATGGATTTCCATCCTCGGAAATAAGACCTTTCGAATTGTAAAGCTAACACATGCAAAACCTTCCATAGAAAGGCCATCCTTGATCAGCCTCTAGCAGACGTCCCTTGGGTCTTTACATTACGCTCCAATGTCACTAAGACCACCACTTATCCGGCTTTCTCTTCAGATCCCTCACAAAGAAATATCTTCCCATGGTGTGGGTAGCCCGGAGGTGACAACCACACTCATACTTCTAACAGCACCCAAGATCATTTTGTTCACAATCAAACCCCTCCTTCACCTGTTAGTATCTCTCCTGTTCCCACAACTAACTGATATAATTAATTTAACAACTATTTTTATTTAGCCTTAAGATTCAGTTATTGTTGTATGAGTCCTTTCAAAGAAATATTCCAGTCACTGTAAGAGCTTTCGCCCATAATTACAATGTATAAATTCATACTTGCTAATTTATCTGAAAAAACTGACTATGAATGGTCCCTGTTAGAATTCATCTACGTATAGAGGCCGCTCAGAAAATACATATCTACACCATACATTAAAATATCGATAAAAAAGGTCACTAAAATTTTGATAGTTTTCCTATTTAGAATAATACCTTAAAACTATTTAACCGGTTTTTAAATTCGAAGTAAAAGCTTATGTTATTTTGAAGATTTAAATGAGCAGTTTAAAGCAAACATTCATGTTCAAAGCTGCAAGATGTGATATGAAATAAAAGTGAACGATAAACAATTGATAAATTCCGTCAACCAATTGTGAAAGAAAACGAAGAGTTCGATTGATTGGTGCAACAAAAATTGGCCTTGATGAAACATCAATTGCTTCGAAATAGCGTACACACTTTGCTGACGTGTTAAAACCATAAAGTCACCCGATTTTACTGTTTCAGAAGAACCGATATACGAATCTGTACTTGGTTACTAAGTTACCTTGAACTATTACAGTTGTAGACAAAGTTGAGAAACTGTGGTCAAATAATGATATTTTTTCCATAAACAGCGTCTTCATAACTAACTCGATTATTAGTCTTCAGGAAGCAAGTGAAAAAAGGCGAAAAAACACAAGCGGTTTAGATTTTAAGGACTCATCTGGATTTTTAGAACGATCTGAATAATCTTTTTGAATGCATAATGCGAAGAAAATCTTGTCACGAACTTCTGAGTTCACCACCTTCAGGAACACTACTACAAGTCATTAGATAAACGGTCAGAGACTATTACTGCGTAAATAACTCATCCTGATCCAAAGTTAACGATACGTATTATTTCAGACTTGATGTGAAAATAAGTTGATATTGGTTATCAAATATTTAGTTAATGACTCAGAGGAATATATATTGGTTGATTAATCAAACAACCTATCAATCTCCTAAAGAAATGAGATTGGATAATAGATGCTCCTGTTGCGTTTATCTCCCTCTCAGTCTGATTTATTTTGTCCGTTTCTGTGTTTATTATCTGTGCATCTGATCTTTTCAGTCCCGAATGCGTCTGTTAGCTGATAATCCAGTCGTTCACTAAATCATATCAAGAGCTATCACACACAAAATAGCATATACGTACTTTTGTTAAATTAATATGTACTTAACACGTAACGCTCCAAGGTTTACTTACTAAGTCAAACAGAGCTGCAATAAGTTGTGGTTCTGGTATTAAACCTGGTTCACAACAGTCTAACAGGAAAGCGAAATCAAATAGACCTTCTTTCAGCGCTGATAAATTAATCCACCGGTGTTCAATTATCATTTGACCCGTCGACTGATCAGTGGTAGGACATTCTGACTTAGATCGACTAGGATATTCTGAAACGGAGACCAAAATACGCGATTACATTATCTTTTAACAATTCTGAATTAAAATATTAAAAATTTCTGTCGTGAAAATTAGAACAACACATATAAACGAGTAATATTGTTTTCAGTTAGATCATATTCAGGATTTACTTTAACATACATGAATATCTATACATAACAGTAATTTATAGGTCAGTGATCACAGTAAAATGGATTGTATAACTACACATAACAGATAAAAGAATCTGAATTATGCTTAAACAAATTATTTTGTAATGGTAGTCCACTTTGTACAAAACGTAATCAGGTTGATTTCGTAGTTTAACTACAACAATTCCCAGAGCTGTACAGAAATAAAAAACTATATAAAACTACCAACACTCTTCAAAATGCTTTGAGAAGAATAAAAGAGGAGATCTCCCTTGCTCTTACAAAATTGCGTTAACAGATTAGATTGTGCCGATCACGATACTTTCTTTATTGAAGTCTCCTAGTGAAATCTTGACATATACCAAGGAACAACTAAGTTACACCAAAAGGACCTCATAACAGTCCTATCAAACTCGTGAACCTACAAATGGAATCAGTAATGGCAGAATATGCGATTTGCATTAAACATTTGAGCATTATTAAAACTATCATAATAATTTGAAAATTTTTTAACGTTTGTAGGGAAAAACGCGTAACTTAAGCTAAATCTCACTGCCGTCAGTTAAAGGGAATGCCTAACTATCCATCCAAAGTGAACGAATTTTTTAAACAATCATGTTTAAGATTAGAGGAGGATAGTTTAAACATACTTTTTAATTTTCGAGTTTTACATCACGGATTGGAGTAAACTATGACAGTTAATCTATCGCCGCATACTCTTCAGTACTAATAACCATGTGCTCATTAGTGACGAATATCGAGAGGTAATTCCAGGAGTTCAAGCTTGTCAGATATGTAGGAGTTATACACTGTACGTAACAGATCGCGAAACAATATCCTAAAGTTATCTAATTCGTAAACACATACCAGCGGATGTTGGCTCAGTGGTCTACAAGTTGGGTGATCACGCTCGAGACAAGAGGTTCTGTATTCGACCCGCGGTACATTTGTGGAAGAACACTACTAAATTATTCCATACTGAGACGAAACAGCCTAGTGCTTCCTGGTTTTTAATAAGCTTAATCCATGATGTAAATTATGAAAACTAGATCTAAACTGTTCGAATTTAACATCAGTGACATATATTATCTGTACTCCTTCAATCTGCAAATATCACACTTTCCACATTTACTCAGATGCATAAAGGTCTACACATATTTTGTCTCAACATTTGACTTGAACTACATAACATAAGCGTGATTAGATTTGTGTTGATTATACTAAATATTTTGATTTGTTTCTGTGTGACATTTAAACTTCTTTTAATTTAATTCGATTATTTATTCTCAGAAGAATAGACACCAAGTCTCCAAACATTTGAAAATTCGATTTGTTCTTATATGGGTATCACTGAAGTATGATCATTTTATTATTATGAGCAACCAATAAAATATTAACTCTTTCTCATACTGAAACTACGCATAATAATATACAGAATAACATTTCGGGACGACTACGAATATACGCTGGTACATTATATAAAACCCACTGAGGCTACTTATTGTCAGATGCGCACACATTTATTATGACGAGTAAGCTATGTTGTGATAGAACACGATAAATTTCTTTTCATGATAATTTAAGTGAACAGCGATTGAGTTTCATTTAGACCGAGATTCATTTCAAGTTATCCTTTGAAATAATATCTTTAAGACTTAAGGTAAAACTGATCAGGGAAGACAGTTTGTAACAAATTTCAGTCAGAATAATCTGAAGAATTTTGATAAGTCTCATAGAAATAAGTTGTGATATTTCAGATCCCTTGAATTAATACATTTTCGCTTTAAACCCATCTTCACTTATAACTTAAATTACTTACTTTGCGATGTTTTGGGTCAAATAGTGATAAGGTTTATCAACTAATCGTTAGCCACTTAAGTCCGAAAGTGAGTTGCTAGATGTCCCACAACTTTTCAGATTACTTATCATTCCAAATCTTAATCTGAAAAGCATTTATAATCACTGAAAAAATAAGGAATATTTTTTTGAGCTTCAAGGACAAGTGTACCTCACATTGCTTCTTTTCTTTTCTGTAACTCGGTTAAGAGTACTAGACAATTAACTAGAATCGAGAGATACTCTCAGAGGATATAAATGATTTTATGCAACATTGCTTAAAGTCCCTCAAATGAGATCGATATTAAGTGCTGGTTCAAAATTTTATGTAGTCAGGACATTGTTTCATTAAAATTATATTCAATTAGTTAAAAAAAGAAACTGAAATATGTGTCTGGTGGGAAAATCAAATTAGATGAGATTTACCATTTTGTTAAATAAGTTTACCCTTCATTATTCATAGGACAATCTCTAAGAATGGATTAAATCTCCTCTTCATTTAACAACTACAGCCCTCAACATTAGTAGACATGATTAGACTGAACATTAGAGACGAACGTGATCAATTAATTCTTCAGGCAAAAATAATGTAAAATTAAAAGGTAATTAAAACACACATATGTTAACATAATTTATGAATTCCTCAGGATAATTTAAAAGCTTTTAACATTTAGACTATTTGCATAAGTAATCAACATCAGTACTACAAAGTATCCTATTTCTTGGAACCGAATTCCTAACCAGAAACACTAACTACCGATCATAGCTCCCAACTATGACACTTTTTCGTCTACTGTATTAAATGATTGAACCTGCAAAGATTCGTCAGTCATATCAAAACCGTTTGAAAATTCTCAGTACATTAAACACTAAAAAATGAACGACAGAAATTTATTTTAAATTCCCTTCAGGTTCTACAGTTAGTTATATATCCAAATTAGGGTAAAAGAAATAATAACGCAATTACAAATTCGACCGAATTTTTAGTAGATGACAATGTTGTCTATAAAGTTGCACGAATCCAGTAAAACAATAATAAGTACAAAGATATAAAAAAATACCGAAGATGACGAAAGGCTGTATGTAAATTAGTCAAATTACGTCATTCTATAATTAAAGTTACTGCTGATTTATTCCTTGAATATCACTATTACTCTCCCAAACACGATTAATTTAATCAGCGCTCACTCTTACTTCATAATTTTTTCATTAATTCATACAACTTTATACACGATATAGCCATCCACTAAACATTTGATCGAATTTGTAATTGCATTTCTATTTCTCTTATCCTATAGGACCCATATTTATTCTGATCATTGGTCCTACAATTTTAATTGACGTATAAGTTTATTCAAGCTAATAGTGAATACCAGTTATCTCAATGTACGCAATTTTTATTGAGATAATAAACTGAAGAATGTTAGACTACCATTGAAAGCCTGGAAGCACTGGACGTCCATTTAGTCCTAGTATGAAACTTTTCAGCAGTGCGCACCCATGATGCCGCAAGCGCGACTTGAAACCAGGACCTTCGGTCTTGCACGAATGCTTAACCTCTTCCAGGTTTTTAATCGTGGTCTAACATTGATTGGTTCACGATCTCACCAATCGCTACAACCCTATACTGATAACTATCAAGTGCTCATTAGTGATTAGCCTCAATAAGTGATTCTCAAAGTTCTAGTGAGAAGCCGAGATCAGTGGGGTTTAAACGTGTCGGTGTCAGGCTGTTACCCGCCAAAGACAATAGGAGATGGTCGCACAATACCGTGAATTTACCGAAGCTAGACATTAACGCAATCGAATGCCGGTTCAGTGGTTTAGATGTTAAACGTTCGTACGAGACATAAGAACTATTTTTTAGATTGCCAATTGCAATGTATAGTGAAGTTTAGAGCTTGGAGAGAATTCATATCAAAAGCTTATCCACCCCAATTCCCTATTTTCTTTATTATAAATCCTCTTACGACTAAATACAGCTTTCTGATTGGTTGACAATGGATTCAAGGTCAGCCGTAAAGCTTACTCCTATCATACAGTCTTGCTGGCGAAATGAATTTTGTTTGTTCCATGATTCGTTTAATATCTGTTATGTGTGTTGTGGATATGTTTATATATATATATATATATATATATATATATATATATATTCACTGTTAGCGAAATACTGTACTCGCTGTAGCGGAAATGAATCGATGAGCATACATATATGTGATGGGAAAATTATAGCAATTGGAAGATTAGAAAGCTGCCAAAACCAAGGTTAAGGAATAAAAACACTACATATTAATATAGAGATAATTAATATCCTAAAGATTTCATCACAAACCTTGTAGATAGTAGTTTGTATCATTTTTAGTCTATCCAATTCAATGTATAGTATGTATATGAATCATTATTTTCTATCTTTTCTGCATCGTTGGTTGCCACTATTTGTTAGCTTTTTCATTTGTTGTTTAACGGGTTCTAATTTAACAATTTAATACTCTAATGTAAGGTAAATATGATCTTCCTAAAAATCAGCTAGTAAAGTGCTTCATCGATGTTTTCGTCGGTGATACCGCTATAGTGAAAACATTCTTCTACTCAAGATCGTGTCAAACTGTTGAGTGTATAGTCAGAAAGGACAGTTGTGGCTTCTATCAAACTACGTTGGCCAGGTTACCATCGTTCCTTATCCCTTTTATCTATCCCAACGCTCTTGATTCTGCTACTCTTAAGGAGTTTGGTAAATATCACTTTGTATTAATGAACTATGAAGCGATTTTGAAGCCTATCATATTTTAATATACAGTCAGCCGATAACCAATAAAGTCATCAAAACAAAAACAGTTCCAGATCTCAGTAGAGGTAACAAGACAACTTACATGATATAGACAAACAAAACTAAGGCTGAGATAATTAAACTATTGGTAATAGGTTTAACATGAAAAAAAAACAACAGAAAAATGTTTTTCATAGTAGAAAGCATGAGTCAATTGAAGCTAGACCACCATGGAAAACCTGGAAACACTGGACGGCCGTTTCGTCCTATTATGGGACTCCTCAGCAGTGCGCATCCACGAACCCGCTCTCGCTACTATGAAAAATACTAAATCTCCACAAAACCCCTTCTGATAATTAAGAAAAATGTTTGTTTTAATAGTGCTATTTACCAAATAATAATATTAAAAGGTTTGCAATAAAAACACTTTGAAATTTACTCTAGTCGTAAAAATCACAATTTTGTTAAATTTTCTTTGTCCCACGTATTAATATTTTGTCTTATATGACTGTTGGCAATAGATTTATCCTACATTATATTTTATACAAAATTTACTTACCATTTGTCTCAAACAAATACATGTTGAGACGAGATTTGAAATTAATTGCTAAAACTTCACTAATAACAAGAATATAGCTCCTTTTCAAACACTAAAGGTCTATGAAAACAGTATTTACATTGAGCACATTTCTAAACACCAGCTTACTATGGATAGTCAGTGCATAGATGCTTAACAAGTGATTGTTGTCTATTGTAATCAATCAACAACAAACAAAATCCACTACTATGTGCAATATGGAAACCATTTACAAATTATTTTGTTATAATTTCAAAAATAAGTTTGTAAATCCGTATACCTTGTCATTAAAAAATCTGCTCTCTGAGAAACGCATAACACTTAAATATTATCTGAGTCGTGTAACTTCTGAAAGATATAAAGAGTCGCTTCTCAGTCATTAATGTTGACATATAATTTCAAGTAATTGCATGATAAACTTCATACCAGATTTTTTTGATTTTGCCTATCAATGGATCTCAGGAGTCATATTTAGTCATTTCCTCGGCTCATCAGATGCTCATAATTGCATCTCGTTTTAATATTCTTACTGAGACTTAAACTCAGTATCAACAGTTACAAATGCCAACGTATTATTCACAAAGTTACTGAGCCCTGATAGACATTATACTTTCATGGAGCATGGAATTCACTGGCTTCCAGACTTTGTGGTATTCCACTGTAGAACCAGAATTCTATGTCCTAGCTGGATGTCTTGAATTCCACCAGTGATCAAATTCCAGAAATTAAATAAAAGGTGTAAATATATGCGTTATCAATGTTTCCGCTTAGACAAAATAATGTTGAAAGAAATTAAAGAAAACTCAATTCTGAACCTTAGTAATGGGAAAACGCAAACGTTACATAGTTCAACGATTATACATTTTAAGGTAAAATCTTAGAGGGAAAGATATAAAACAAATGATGACTGTTTGATAAATTACCATTTTCAAATGACGTTGCTATTGTTGATGAACTTCCGTTACTATGTATTCTCACATTTCTTCCAGCAGTCGACGGTCTACTTAACAAATTGTACCATGAACTTTCCCTGTGACCACTTGAATAGCTTTCTGTTTCTGTCAAAGGTTCAATAAATACGTTGAAAGTCGAACGCCTTTTGTCATGACGAGGCACAAGCCACATAGAGTTTCTTGCTGACCTTTAAGAAAAAAACAAAAAAATATCTTAGGAAACTATTACGCATTCGAGTCCTGTAGTTACAAATTCGTAAATGCCCTATCATGGTAGACCGTATAAGGCATGTACGTAAAATTTTCGTTTGAACTAATCACTGTTGTACATTGGTAAGAGTGCATTTCATATCAGCTACCCCTTTAATACCTAGTAAAAGTGTGACTACATAGGATGTACTCAGAAAAACCTATTCGCGAATACGTTTCTGCACTGTTTGGAAGTGACTAAATCTACAACTAGAAGTGTACTTTCTCATGTGCCAAATGGTGAATATATCAGAAAAATGAAACTTTATTGACATTCAATAATTTACTAGACGATAGAAGATTATGCTCCTTTTAAGTAAAGAAAGTCGTCAGGATCAACTCAACGAACCAAAACTGTCTGAAAAGGTTACATACATCCTCTTTTTCCCTTGTCGGTTGAATCTCTAGTCTTTGAATCTTTTTGAACTTGTTTCTGATAAAAATCAAGTTATAACAATATTCAATAGATTGAAAACTTATTAGTCATGTAGAAATAGTCTTACAAATGATAATTTTCAACACTTTTAAGGTGTTTTGACAGATTTTCATTACTTCTTACCACAAGAAAGATTTCATCAGTTGTTATCGTAGAAAAATGTGAACTTTTAAGTTTATTTATGGCAATAAGGTTATATGATTTTATAATATATAATACAACAGGTATCTTTGGATTAATGATAGTAATAATAATAAACAATCTACGAAAGTTTCGGACAAACTATTATTCGCAAACTTTGTTGAACTTATAAAAGTGACTTTAATTACACTGGTAAACAAGAGTTTAAGTATCTGTGAACGACTGAAGTTGACAATGAAACTAACCTTAAACGCCATCATGAGAGTCCACGAGCAAACAGATATTGTCTACGATAAATCAGCCTTTTAAAATTTCAACAACTCTTTGGATAATTTTGATCTCTGATTAAACCTACATAAATGTTTTATGAATTTCAGTTCCCTAATTGAGTGAACTGATTGGTTTTTTGTATTTTAGCAAAAGATTTGAATATGTCAACTGAAATTGATTATGTAAGCTCTCTTATTAGATGGAAATTTAGTTTTAATCTTTAGATACTTGGTACTATTGAACATTACCGACTAATAAGCTGTAACGTAAATTTTACAACTGATTCTATCAGCATTATTCATTATAAAAATTACCTGGCGAAAGTTCCATCACTAAGAGAACTATTTGGGTTATCCTCAACTGGCGATGTTTTACAAAACACCTTTTCTCTCATAGATACCGATCTTCCTTTAAGTATGATCATTAACGTTTCGCTAACAGGCTTTCACAGGAGAGTGAACATTTATAAAATCAACAATTGGTACAATAAAGACGTATACATTATCTCCCATAATTGAGAACACAAGTAACTAAGTCATTTGTTGATGGGATATTTTTCAAATATCGTTGAATCAGTAAAAAGAAATATTAAAACTAGAAAACGAAAAATAGTAAAGAACGTATGCAATAAACAAAATGATAACTTTCATCTTTCGTATTCAATACTAGCGAGGAAAGATTATTTCGGTTCCTGTCAGTTGTAAGTTGAAAAAAAGTAACATGAGTTTTTTTAGTAAATACCACTGAAGTCAGAAAGACGAGACAACAAAAAACAGATTTGCATTTCAGTTTATGATTGTAAAAGTGAGGGAGAAAGATTGGCTATGAAATAATGAGAATTCGCAGACCAAAACTACATTTTCGAATGCTGTTTAATTGTTCGTTTGTTTATAAGGCTATTCCACAGGACCATGAGAATTATAAACCGCTTTGAATTTATTGTGCTCCACAAATTACTTGTTGATTTACATTTATGGCGTACTCGTTGTTTATTTACAAGCAAAACTATTTTTGGAATAATTGATTTTGTGCAGAGAACGAACCTAAATAATCATTATAGCATCTACCTGACGAACCACAAATGCATTCAACTATGTACAATGATCAATAACAGTATGACCTAATTAATCAGTATGCTTAGCGTTTACACGAAGGATCTCAAGCTGATAATTGCGAAATCCGATCAATCCTTCTTGAGCAATAGTACTTTTAAGAAAAAAGTTAATACACTTACATTCTCGGCAATGGAGTTGAAGGTTTAGGGGTAGTAACCTCACATATTCTTTGCATTGGACACAGTAGAGCAACTAACATGTTTTTTCGAAATGTACTGCCGTGAATTTCGCGAATATATGTGAATAATTGTCGTATGTCAGAAAATAGAGAAACATTCTCTTGACTGCTTAGTTCACGTCTGCACCTGACTAAGCGCCGGACAAACGGGCCGAACAAATAAGATACAATCAAACCTTCAGCTCCACGTGTATCTTGACCAGTAACATTCTCCCCAAAACTATTTCCATAATTTAAATAAGATTTTCTGTTTTGATCTGTGTAAAAAATAAAAAGTACGGATAACAACTAACAATTTACCACATATACCATAACTTTTAAATTGCCCATGTATTCAAGGTTAGTTTATTTGATTATCATCTGCAATTAAATATCCTTATCATAGCAAAACAATAGGAAACTGAACATAATAGGAATCTTTAACAACTGTTAAACGGAGAGTACATATGAAGAATATTTGATTGTAAAATAACATCAAATAGATCTTGTTCGAAAGAAACAAATGGATGTGATTATCAACAACGCACGCAGTGTAACCTTTTATAAACTGGGAAAAGGTGTGGACGCTTCCGAAGAAAAATCAGCAATTTTTCAACTGAATAATTAGATCTGAGATATGACAATATTGATATAAAATGTAACTTTATACTGAACCAACTATTAAGGCTCTACGTGTTGTTCAGGGCTAACGTGATTTATTTATGTCTACAATGATCGCGTGGGTAGATGAATCGGCTATTTACAAGAAACTGAAGCCATGTCAATAGTCTGGTAGCTTTTCTTAGATAGCGAAGTATTAAATATAAAACTCAGATCAAAAATTTCAATTGGCTTCACTCATCGTCTATTGTCCAGTGCCGGTGACTGTCCATTACATGTTTTAATTTGAAAAAGATCATAACTTTTTACGCCTTTTCTTATATAGCAATATACTAGTGTAACATTTTCATAGTACTTAAGACATTTAAACAATTTTTCTATTATTCAATAAAATAATATATCAGAAAGGGTTTTTATAGGTATTATAGTAATCTTAATAGTTCAGATAATGAGTCAATTGGAGCTAGACTACTATGAAAAACCTGGAAGTACTAGCCGGCCGTCTCGTCCGATTGTGGGACTCCTCAGCAGTGCGCATCAACGATCCCGCCTCGCGAGATTCAAAATAATATACGTTGCCATTACGAATTTCAGTCCACTATTTGATCATCAACAGGACAAATACCCGAATTTTTCAGCCAAAACTTTAACTAAATTTGTCATTATAACAAAAGAAAACTGAGAACAAAATGATTCACCTGAATGTTCATAACAACGTGTAACTGGATCTAAACAAAACCCGGTGAACGAATGAAGTATTTCAACTAAATCGGCAACAGTACTTGAAGATACAATTCGTATTATTAGGCGTTTAAACAAATTAGGATTTAATTGGTGTAGATAAATAAGACAGTCATGTGTAAGCGATCGAAAATGGTTGTTTGGATCTACAGAGTTTTCTTGCTCCTCTTGTTGATGGTGATAATGGTGATTCATGAAATTCGGTGAATTACTGTGCCCATGTCTACATCCAACTGAACGAATAATTCTAAAGTACAACAAAATACATAAAAGTTCAGTTTACATACAAGAAAACAGTCAAATAAAACTGCGTCAATAATGGAAAACAATCAAGCATTATGATTTTGTGGTAAAACTCCAACAAGTAGTATACGGATAAAAATCAAATAGTATCATCGATAATTTTCAACTCCAAGGGCTATTTTCATATATAAACCACATAAAAATCTGTGGTAAATGTATAAAATACTGATATCTAGGCTGTATAGAGAATGAATACAGAGAGATAGTCTATTTCCGCCCATTCTAACCAACGTATCGGAGTACTCTTTTTTTCTTCTGTAGGAATTGATGAGTCCAACAAATATCGAATATTGATAATGTGATTCCGTTTGGCTTGCCAGAAATATTTAATGTCTGCTCTGATGAACGCTTATAAAAGTTGGAGTGGCAAATTTTTCACTCTCAATAAAAATATTTGGTTTGCTTAAACAGTGAACATTGAATACTTGTCCTATACATCTTGGTACTCGTCGTAAAGTGTGTCTGTGAATCTAGAGATGGTCACTTTTTTCTAAGTTGCTTATACAGACAGGAATGAACGCTTAAAGGAGTAAAGAGATACTTTTATAGCATCATTCGCGACGTTTTCAACTGGCATACGCGTGTATATATTCGGGCGGTATGCACATTGGACTTTGTCAAAAAGTTTAAATGAAGGTAAAATATTTACAGTAATAAACGCATCAAGTTTACCTTATCAACATCTCAGCTGCTAAAGTAAAATGCGTACGGATCAGATGATTAGAAATATCACAGCTCAATACTTGCTTCTGTTGAACACGAGACTTCGGTCGATACGCACTTTTAGACATAAATTTTTCGTTATTACGCAGCCTAGGTTGAATATTTCCTGACGATTTTATCCGTGGGGTTGAACAAGGATCTTTTTCGAGGTCTATGGATGATTGAGGACTCCCGAGTGGACTGAAATCTTTTGCGCAAACAGAAGACGTAATGCCGTCCTCGCTTATTAGTGATTCGTTATCAGCTCTACTAGAAAATTGCCTTTTTGATACTAAATCACCGTTCCCGTCGTCCCCATTTTCACTTCCATGAGACTCGCTGCAAATCCCAACAGAAACTCTAGAGGAACTTAAGTTTGAGGAAGAAAATCCCACAGTTGAATCATGTAGTCTAACTTTACTGCCTGAATGTAAATTTGAGCTATCATATCCACCTCGGTTGTTGAAATTTGAGTTAGTATGGCTTTCTCTAGCCACAAGTTTATTGAGAATAGGTGTCTTAGAGGATTTCGAACACTTATTTCTCTCATAATGATTTTTTTTTCGGAATCGTCTGAGATGGCCGGGTTTTTCAAAAGAAACATTTTTTAACGAGCAGGCTCCGGGCTTCATGTCGAAGATTCCCAAATCAAATAAAACACTCAAACAGCTAACCAAGTTGAAACAAACACGACTCGACGTGTGCACTGTGCTACACCAATAAAGACTTCTCAAAATAACAGAATAATCTAAATGACCATTAGGTGTGATATAGTATGCAGCTCCTGGGACTTCATCGACCTAAAAATTGAATAAAAATAATAACCAGATGCTCAAGAGCCATTAAACTATTAATGATGGCTTAAAAAGTAAATGGGTTTTTAAATCCTCAAAACAGGCTCAGTACGTTATGCTTTCCGAAGTTCGAGTTATTTATTTTCTGTAGAATCTCAAAAGGAAATCGGTAAGACAATTGTTTACGTTCTTCAAATTACATATGTCTTTACAACTTTAACCTTCCTAGTATCTCAGCCTTATATCCATGAACAGAGAATAGTCCACACCAAACATTATTTCTTGCTTAATGAGCAACGTTCGCAAGCAAGTGTGGTGTTACGTAACATTGAAAATTTTCAGACTTATGTGCCTGTAACAATTAACTATGAAAATATTTCAGCTGCTTTCCCTATCTATCATCAATATGTAATTCAGTGCTAGTATTATTTACTTATTTGAATAAGTGACTTCATTATTTTGCTTATAAAAGTGTAAAAACATATAGATAAGATTGTTAATGGTTAGGATGTAAGAGCAGATTTATCTGGTAACAATTGATTTTTTCATAAGATGATTGTTTATAATAAATCAGAGCAGCAATTTGCAGTAGTTCTATTAAAATTCCAACAATTAATAATTCCATATCAGTCTACGTAGTAGTTTTAGTAAATTTGTAATAAAATTATTTCTTTAAGAAATTCAATTCATTCATCATTGATGTAAACCAGTTTCTTTAAATTTGACTTCAGTTTTATTTATCAATTGTCAAAGATATTTACATTTATGAAATAAAGAAGCTGAAAATAATCATGTATAATTTAAAATTACCTTCTCTGAGCTATGATATATTATATCTGAATCAGTGAGACTGCGAGGAAGTGTCTTAGCAAATAACTGTTCATCATTTGAAACTGTATCTGTGTTATCAACTGGTTTATTAGCCACTGCTATTGAAGGTGTACAAGGTGGCAAACCAAGTTTAAGTCCAATATGAAGGGAAGAAGCATTGGACGAAACTGGTGGATCACGTTTGTTAGCTTCAGAATCGTTACTTGTTGTGTCGAAACCTTGAGACGGTTTTTCATTTGGCGGTAGCCGTCGATTTTCCCCTCCTGTTTGAACCGATCGTTTTGTCTGTGGATAGAAGACTTGTTTTTCCCCTGTCATTACTGATGGCTGATCACATTCTACAGCAACAAAGAAAATCAACAAGAAGTTATTTTTATAAAAGTACTTATTTTGGGAGAATTGAAACATTTTGTGATTTTTTACCGCTAGAACTCGCAAGCAAAAAAATTGAAACAATATTTGCACCTCAGTAACGGTTAATCTTACAAATGGAAATACGAGGTTTGAATGATGAATCGCACACTTAAACTATAGTCAGTAAGAATAAAATAAACCTCCATTCAAAATCAAAGATTGTTTTATTACTGTAAACCAGATCATTAGTATGGCTCTTAGTTTGTAACGAAAACCTAAGCAAATTAACAGTTGACCTTTAATATTTTCAAAATAACATTTAGACGCTCACATGCTTTTACGCGTCGTACACATAGGAAATTGTTAGTGACATATTAATTCAGGCAAAAGATCAGTTTACATTTTGTGATAATTAAAAGAATCATTCATTACTGATAGAACTCAGATTTACTTTATATGAAGCAACACTAAGCTGAGTTAGTTAGAATCCATTGAAAACTGTGTTTCATTAATCTTCAAATATGCCTTATTGATGTTCTTCAGTGAAGAAAATTTCAATAGTGTTTAGGTTTAACTATCAACTAATGTTTATAATCTTTGTGAAAAGTAACCCTGAATTGTACTGCCTCTGACTAAAAACTTGAAATATGACAAACAACTACTCAGGTTTTTGTAAGAACATATATCTCGATTATTGAATCAACTTGCAAAACCACTTTTGTTTTAGTTTTATTTCCATTGTTTGTCAATCGTCAATTCAACATGCATCATTATTGTATTGATATGAAAACATACCGATCAGGGTATTTATGCCAGTCATGCCAGATGCTTCAATGGAAGACAAAGGTTGAAATTTCATACTTGCATCCCCAGATTTGAACTTAGACGCCCGAGTAAAACGTTCCTAAAATATCAATAAAGAGATTAATTTCCATTTTTCATGTGATATGTTTATTCGTGAAGAAAAACAATACTTTTGGATATTAGAATATAATACAATAGGTTACTGAAAGTGTACATACTAACTCACCTGTTTCTGTAAGCCAAGTGAGTACATAACTTACCGAGACCTAAACTTTGCAGTAATCGAGAAGATATTCCAGAGTACCTGAAGTAACTATTCATTTTAGAGTATTTTAGATTCATTTTTCTTATCTAATATCATCTACAAGATCAAATCATACATTTTTATAGATCTACGTATATGCTATTTTGGTGCTTCTTGAGAATCTTAACATACCTAGGTTTCATCAAAAGATTACTTCAAAAGATTACTATTCATTTTAGAGTATTTTAGATTCATTTTTCTTATCTAATATCATCTACAAGATCAAATCATACATTTTTATAGATCTACGTATATGCTATTTTGGTGCTTCTTGAGAATCTTAACATACCTAGGTTTCATCAAAAGATTACTTCTGAGCAAACGATCTTAACAACTCCTAGGTTTCGAAGAAATTTTTTAAAATACTTTCTAAGTCCTAAGGCCCATGTAACTGAGATCGATTTTTTACATGAAGACCTTATATTTTTATGAGTACTCAGTGGTATTGATATTGTAGCATTTATGTGGCAATATGAATGAATAGATTGTTTCAATCTCTTAGTAAACCCAATGAATGTTTATGTGGAGAATTCGCGAATGATATTTGATTATCTTACTATCAATGTTGTTCTCACAATTTTCGTCCAAAAAAATGTAGAAGAATACAATAAATTGCAAACTTCGGTAGAAATTGTAAAGAGTAATTAGTAATTAAATCACCTTAATATCAGTAATTCTTGAACGCTTAGAACCTCTCCACGCGGGTTGCTGCTGTTGGTTTTGGTGTTGTTGACCTCCAAAGCTAACAATCGGCAGTGGAAGCGTAAATGATGAATCACTGAGACCAATATCAGTTAGTACAGGAGTAGTATTAAGTTGCTGCGGCTGCCATTGTTGTTGCGCCCTATCTTTTGAGCATTCTAATTTCATAAGGTTAGATTCAGACTTATCAATATTCAACAAAGATGCAGATGATCCAACTATGCAAGATATACCTTTACGATTTAACGATACATCCAAATTACTTGATATGGTAGAATGTTTGATCGAGGAAGGAGTATTACTATTTCCAGGGAATGATTGGATGATGTTACTAGTACTTTTCGACTGAGCTTCACAAAGTTCTTCCTGCTGTTCTGTATGCTTATGTTGATTTAAGTCATCTGAGATTAGAAAAAAGATTATAGTTTATAAAATTTGAATGAGAAAAGTCTTATTACCGACTGACTGAACGATATTACAATACTAAATATACACCTGAACTAAGGTACTAAAATTTATTTATTTTAAATCGTATGAAATTATTTATATTTTGATATTTATAGGAATCATAGTCGCTGAGATGCAATTATTTTTACCCAAATATTTATGCACAATATGTCTTCAAATATTTTTATACAATGAAGTAGTTTCACATGTTAGCGTGGTGTAAATCTGGTAAAGAATGTAAACATTTACTGAATTCTTTCATAAGAAATTTAAATACGCTAGCTTCTATTGGAAAGTACAATCTAATATCTGTCATGAAGCATCATTTTTAGAACTGCCAACTAGAGCAAATAAGTTTTATTTAAATTTTAAGGAATAATGAACATTAGTTGTTCGTTGATAATTTTCCCTGAAAGCCATTTAAACTTAATATTTGATATGAAGCGAAATTCTGGATACTAATTTTTCAGGGTGATTCGCAGTTCAGTGACCAGCGGTTTCATAGTTACTTCACATGTTATAAAGACCAGCCATCCAACTACCTGTTGACGACTGAGTTTCAATCAAAGAATTAACTACTTCATACTTACACAGACGCTTAAAATACCAAGTTTGACTGAAAAGTCGGAGATGGGTTTTAAGGGAAATAGAATATAAAGTATGATGTATCACCACATTTATAGCTGATTGTACAGATCTTCTACATCTTGTCCTCTTGTGCTAAGAAAGACCTTCAGACAAAAATGCCCCGGTGGAAGTCATCCTTTCTCATTAAATAAACTTGGGCTAAAATGTACTAAAAATATTTGGATATTATGAAAGTTTAAACCCAGGTGAATTTTCATTCATAAGAATTAACAAGAATTACAATGGTCACAATTATTAATACAGCAACAAGAACATATTTTGCTATTCTGAACATGTAAAGTTTATACGTTAAGGTCACATATACATATGTAGCTCAGACAAGAGTGAATGGTATAAACATATTATTGGATTCTTGATGTTGCCCGACGTTATATCTTTTCTGTGTTTAGTAACTGATAGTGTTACCACCTAAACTTGAACGCATGAAATAAGTAACAGTCTTCCTAAAACCAAACATCAAAAAATATTGGCTAAATTTACTGTTTTTACTGTCTTTTCCAAATTCTCTGTTGCACTGTTCACTTGGATTATGCTGACAAATACTTGACATACACCTCGACGATATATTAGGTAATGAAAGGCTTCGAATCTCTTTTACCATTTCTCCAGTGATATGATTTATCCTTGCTTGATGTGACGATGCTGCTGACCACAATCCTGGTATCCATTTAAACAAGTGTTCAGACGGAAGATTGCCTCTGCGTAACCTTAATAATTTACGGTTATTCGGTTTAATTTTAATCCATTCTGAGCGTATTTGCAATAAACGATTGAATAAATAGCATAGTGACCAATAGATACCGGATTCACTCCATTCAGGACAGTATAAGCACCGTATTACAGCCAGATCACAATGTGTAGCAAACATACAATAAGTTCCAACAGATGGTTGAATGAAATCACTGTCGGCTACAGAATATTTCAACTTTTCAGATAATTGTTTATACGGATCCATGAATGAATTTAAAAATTTTTGAATGCGTTCGAATCCTGGGGCTACATGTTCTTGTTCCTGGAAAATAAATAAAATGAATAATTGTGAATCAATCAAACTAATTTACTTGTTTAGTTTTCCAATCTGGATTTGCGTATGCATTTATTTGAAGTGCATATATGATGTGAAGTACAAAAAAGATATTTGTTTACCAACGGTTAAATAATTTCACTAAATAAAATGTTATCCTGTGTTATAAGTGCAAGTATGAATGTATTTCTCGGAAAACTAAAAATATATATTTAATAAGAGTAAAATTAGAAACTCAGCATACTTCGTTACTCCAGAATAAGTTTCTTTTTAACACATCATAACATGATCGTTTCTTTAACTAAAATTCTTCATTACATTGTTAAAAATGAATTTACAGCTAAATATTTACGTTCTTTACCAAAATGTTTTACATTACTGCTAGATCGGGGTTGGAATAAAGTGATTAGTGTTCCAGCTGTCTTTGTCTTCTCTCTCTCTCTTGCGTGCTTGCCAGCCAATCAGGGATAGAATAGTTTTCGTCTCTCTACCCCCACTTCGAACTCACGCATATTAGCCTCAAGGTTAAGCCAGCCAGCCTATCGGGGCAAGGTCTTAATCTACATTAGACAAGTCATACTCGGCACTAAAGTGGGTAGACAGATTCAAGGACGTAACAATTACACAAACAGCACCAAATCTTTTTTTAATTAGGACTCTTATCATGACGACCAATGTTTATTGTAACTCGAAATGGTTCTCAAGACACATACCAACCAATCAAAGTGTAATCATTTCTAAGAATGAATGAAATGAACTTTACAGTCTTACACAGTACACGACATTGATATTTAATAGTGACGAATATCCGAAATCTCCATGTTAGATAATGAAAGTTAATTGAAAAAAACTCCATGTGCGTAAGTCATATACCGATTAGTTCTCATCAGAAAGGTTTATTCAGAATCTTTGGAGAACAGATGTACCTTTAAAATTCTGAACTCACACCACACGATAATATAGTCATAAAGTTACGACAGACCTACTGATATTGTTTTGGAATAACAAGATCATGACAACAAGTAACTGAATAATGAATAATTTCATATTGTTTAGTCCTTGGTACTGAACGAAATCCATGGGTCAAGCTTCCCCATTGTTTTCAAAAATCAAACATTCCATGACAGGATTGACTAACTCCCGCAACATGTTTTAGAGAAGCCAACCCTTTATAATCCTCCTTCAATAAAACTCATTCTCTCTACGGATTAGTTGGATGAAAGCAAATCTCACAAAAAGGTTCATAGATTCAGAAAGTACAGTAATAAATTAAACATTGATTTCTTGCAAGAGATTTTCCGATGACATTCACGAATGCATTTCAAAATTCTAGCAGTTCAGTTTAATATATATTGCTTCAAAGCATTAAGTTCTTTGTTTTCAAAATAATCAGCCTACTCATCATTTATTAATCTTAAGCTAGTGACTAGAATCTAGTAACCTCGCTAACTTGTGCATCCAGATAGTGCGTACATGAAAATGTTTGTTTCACAAATAAACCATTATAAGACCCACTGTCCTGTTGGTGATAATTAAATGATCCGATCGTATCACGAGTGATCGAGTGAAACTATCAAGCTATTGTTGTTAGACATTCAACTGAATAATAACAACAGTGCTTCAAACCTCGATTCAGTGTAAACTACATCCGATAGTGAAATGAAGGTGTGTAACTAATATCACGTTAACAACACGGTTAATTGTGTATCTGAATATGTCAATTTTCCATGACGGCTTTTTCCTTTTACAAACCCACGACATCCTATATGGCTTACATACTTACTTGCTTTGGTGGAGACATGTCTGGCACAACTACCGTTGTAGCCATCGTTCCCGTGGCTGCAGCTTCCGAATTGGTCTCCTCGCTAAATTCTTCCTCATCATCCAGGTATTCAGGAGTGGCTTTTGGGGGTTGTATACGTAAGATATGCCCAGTTGCATTATGCGCATGGGTCAGTGAAGGCTGATAGTTATCTGGAATATTTATTGCACTACTTACTGATTCCTATGTAAAATATAGATATTTAAATGAATAAATTAACTATTTTTGCAAATGGGTTTTAAGAGATAGAATGTAAGATGATTATGAAAACTTTATCATCATGGATAAATTGGTCACTCACTAGTTATCAACATCACGTTCGTCTAGTCCTTAAAGCCAATAAAACTGTATCGATGAAGCTGAAATGTGTATATTAGCGTAAGTAACTGGACATCGAATATCTTTGTGTTGTGTAGTTGTAAGTAGAAGGTACAAAACCCTGAATTTAGGCTTTTCGCTAAAAAAGCAATAGTCTGAGTGACCTGTCTGGAGTCCCGATTTGATCATTCTTCCTCTCAATATTTCAGGTATCCCTTGAAGCATGAAGGATAACTGTTCATTAGATTACTAACCAGTATAATAATGAATATTGCAAGGTTATGTGAGACCTGTTATTAGAATACATAACTAATGAGTTATCAGTAGTTGCATTATGGGATTAAACCACAATAGCGTTTTTGTAAATGTGGTTTCGTACCAATAAAATACATTTCATTGCCAAAGGAATAACGTTGAGAATCGTTTATTCCAAAACGTGTTTGTTTCAACCCTGAGTTTTTCACTGATAATGTATTCCTATATGACATAGCATTCATTGAAATATATTCGACTTTTGTAGGTATTGGGTATGTATAAAATGTGGTGCTGTCAAGAAGTATGAACAATTAGTTGGAGTAAATTTCTGTCAAACTTCTTCTACTGAGCAGACAAAGACATTATTAGATTTGGAAGATGAAAAAAACCTTCATCAGATAAGTTAACCCAGGCATATCAAAAAGCATCCAACCAAAGTAAGATGAAACCAGTAAAATCGCTGCCAACCTTGTTTCCTTTTTATCATATACATGCAAATCAGTGGAGTTTAGAAAATGTTTATTCAATTTGTTTACCGAATTGATAACCTTTAAACACACTTTCCTGTCCCACTAATTCAACGAAGTTCTAAGATTTTGTTCAATTGAAACAAACTATTTTTTCAAACGAAGTTTATAGTACTTGAAAGACAATTTGTAAACTAAAGTAAAATTCAACTAAAATCCATTTTGTTACACCTAGTGTACAGAATGTTGAGAATCCCGGTTAATGTGTAAGGCCTAAATAAATAATTGTCAACTAAACGATAAGTAGGTTTCCAAAATGTATGCATTTAGAAATCATGTTAGGAGTGATTAATTATCGATTTCCTACCCCTTAGGTTTTTCCTAAATACAGGGTTAGATAAAACATACAGACTAATTAGCATAAAGTCGAGTACCTTCATCATGAACCTCTGTTGCAAGCTACAGGTTGCTATGTTGGAACATATCGGAATTTTGAACAATGACTTCCGAGCTATTCTAAGTAAATAAGTGATCTTCCTTTAAGGACCTATCTATTTCGGCGCTGCACTGAATGATTTTAAAACTGAGGCATCTATCGTATATGTTTGGTTTCGTTTAAAGTTGGATGATACAAAGATCGACCATTCGATTTATAGACCAATGTCATATCTCATATAATAAGTAGCTGTAGAAGCAAAATGAAAACGGTGGAATAACATTTATCCCTAATTTTACATATTGTTAGATGTTGATCCGAAAACTCTATGATCAGATTTTTATGTATTGTGAAGAACATTTCATATTCATTTATCAACTTACTGCCTCTCATTTACTCCATCTGTTCTAATATCAAATAATTCGTACTGCAAAAACTGTATGAGTATGAAGGTAGATGGTGAATAGTGGGACGCAATCGGCAAGTAGAATAATGTTTTATGATATGGGGAAAATAATTTACTTCAAAAAAAAATGATAATAAAACATAGCATCACAGAAAGTATCACGAATGGAATTAATGATTGTGATGGTGTTTGTTGTAGAAGTAATCCTTATTATGTGACTATAATTTGCTCCAAAACAGTTCACCTAAAAACATCTCATATGAACTGCACTTCATTAGTTACATATTGAGATTATATGTGTTAAATGCAAGCTAAACTTGTATTAATTCATAAGACACTTATCAACCAAAGGAGTACTTACTTATTTAATACTTGTTAAACAGGACAGGTAACATTCAATGGCCCGATAACTGACTCCAGCTAGGTCGTTTGTTGATTGTTATCGAAATATACAACCCAGCTACCCTCGTTTATAATTATCGACTTAAACCACGTTAGTGAATAACGGAATTAAATACGTCAAATACAAGGATGAATTTCGAATATGTATATTTTATACACTCATTGATCCACACAGACAATCAGAGAAATGAAGTGGATAGAGTGAGGCGAAATAAAGAAGGAGAGTGAGTCAACTCCATTACGCGTCACTTCGTTTCGCTTCGCTTTTCTGATTGTCTGTGTGGATCAATGAGTGTATAAAATATACATATTCGAAATTCATCCTTGTATTTGACGTATTTAATTCCGTTATTCACTAACGTGGTTTAAGTCGATAATTATATACGAGGGTAGTTGGGATGTATATTGCGATAACAATCAGCATACGATCTAACTGGAGTCAGATATCTGGCCATTAAAAAACTTTACACCTGGTTATTAATGGGAGTCCTAAAATAATGGAATGTTGTTTAGCCCAGTGGATTAATTGTAGTGTGTTTATGATATCACCTACATGTACTCAATGGTGAAAGAAGTCTATGTTGAAATGGTTCACCCAAATATGGGCGCGAGTCCAAGAGCGAGCATCAACAGAAACAACTTGTTCATGATCAAACATTAAATGGGGGCGCATGAAAAACAACCAGCAAATTGTTTTGGGATGGTTTGTTTTTGAATTGAGCACAGTGACAGAAAATGTAAAGATATGAAACTAAATTACGACCAGTTAATTGTAGTGAAGGTGTGTTTGTTCATAAAATGAATTGTTAGACTAGAGTTCGAAATAATACATAATGCATTTAAGGACTACGAACTACATCCCGAGTTATATATTATTGATATCTTATAGGAATGGAACTAAAATGCGTAAAAATTAACAAGAGAACTGATTTTTTGGTTGTGAATGGCTACATCTTCAGAAAAGAGAAAATGATTAGCAACAAATAGATTTCGAAAAGTATAGAACATCTTACGATGGAGTATGGGTCCTACTATCATAAGAAATATATTCAATTATTGCAAACCAACATAATTATATTCTAGTTAGGGCTAATTTAAAGGCCAAAAATTAATCGACAAAATAAAACATTGGACGGACTCAACAACAGAAGTGACAATTTAAATCCTAGTTACGTCATCTCCACGTTTGTTGTATACGGTATCGGATCAACTTCAGTTGTCACTCAGATGAAGCAGACAATTCGGCGAGCACGACATGACCGTCAAGCGTTCCTATTAAATCCACGTTCAATGGATCCAGTAAATCTGTTATAAGAATGCATAACGATTTTGAAAAAAGAGAATTCACTTCTACATGTAAGTGGACCACATTAAAAACAAATTCTGATCTTTACTAAAAGTCAGAATCGGGACAAATCAAATTCTTGTTTTGGAGATCCAGTCGTTGGAAGCATTAAATTTTGTACCGGTCTCAGATATTGTAACTGGAATCGGTGGTCCAATGGAGTTACCATCCTACATGGAGGATGAAAAAATCAGAGTATTCATAAGTTTCTTTGAAGATATCTGAAACAAAGACCTACAAAACGTGAGGCTTCAGACATTCAGTTTCTTAAATTTCAGTGTGGAACATCCATATTTCAACTGTGGAAAATTTCCATATATCAAACAATGAGATAAAACGATAGGATAGAGATTCTAAATAACCCATCGACCCCAGTCATCCGAGCATATGGAAAATCATTAACATTCTCGGAAACGGACAGTTCAAATACATTGAATCGTTGCAGGAATCCAGCAACGATACATAAAATGTAAGTACAAGGTGAAAAATCTACGCCTTAATTTGGTCGTAGAAAGTTAAGGGAACAGTTTGATACTATATTATTCACACGGAACAGTACAGAAATTGAATTTTCACTAGATAAGTTAAATCATGTTCTGAAATCTCAAAAATATGAATAGCATTCACGTCTATATTACATTAATGAATCGGCCTATCGATATCAACTCGTGATTTATCATATTTAGTCAGTTAATATATCGGTGGGATTATTCTATTGTATCGTTTTAACTGGTAATTCTGGAACTAGTAATAAGCCGTGACAAATGGCGTTCGAATATGTCGGGTGTGAGGCAGTTACCTACCGCAAACAATAGTCAGCTCATGATATCAACAAAACAACAGTTGGTAAAATTTATGTAAACATAAATCGATGAGCACACTCAGAGTTAAAACTGATACATATTTTAGCCTGTGAGAAAAAAACGTATGAATACACAGCAAGGGGACTTCTCAGAATTAAATCCAGAAAATGAAATGGAATTAAGATTAAGCATTATCATAAGGATTGAAAACATTTACGCTACTTTGTCGGTTAGAAACGTATTCACTATTTGGTTCACAGTTGATTATGAATACGATCATATGTATCCGAGCGTTTTCTGTCACCAAATATCCATGATAATGTGAGTTCTAAACTGAATAAAAACTTTGGGTTCATTTTTATTTCTAGTGCGATCTGATCATAATGAAAAATAAACAATTTTGACTACTGCTAAAGTATCAATCAATAAATGGTTTCTACAAACTACGATCATATTCTTTTAAAACAGGTCTTTTATTATTTGGCCTAAAAACTCTGAAATAAAGTCTATGTTGGAGCACGGCTTTAAAATTAATCCAAAGGTTAAAATGAAGCTGCTAGCTAGTTTGAATGAATGATGCTAAATTTGTCGTAGTATTTAGTAGATATTTATCTCGATTGACAGCTTAGTAATTTTCAACACGATGTATATAGTGTTTTCAGACAAGGAATATTGGAGTTGGTATAAGTTTAAGCCAGTGTATAATTTTTTTACTCATAAAATTTTAACCACCTATTTATAATCATCAGATTGTACTTTTATTTAGAAAATGAAATATGAGCAATTATGGCAAACAGTGAAAAACTCACATCTGAATTGGCTTCAACATGAGGGATAGAAGCACTGTCAACTAGCAATTCGAATGATTTAACAGCTGATGGTAATTTATTATTGATTTCAGAACCTTTATCCGATATATTAACAGTATGAACATTCGTAGGTATTTCTTCAGAAGTTTCCAAACTCACAAATTTTCTCTTGATATAATCGTCTAAAATGAATGACGTTTTAGGACTTTCTATTCCATCAATATTTAATACCACTGGCCGAGATAGTATATTTGAATCATGAGTAAAAAATTTAACAGGTGATGATAATGTCCCACGATTTGGTTGACAATATTCCATTAATGGGATCCATAATCGTAATCCTGCTTCTAACTTGAGAGTATCGAAATCGGTTGACTTAAGTTGCTCAATAATTGGAGCATATAAATAGATGAATAATTGAAGTGACGCCAAGTCGTGAACATAACGATCAGTTGAATGTTTTGGTATAGAAGCTATTTTGGACAGAAAATAAAAGGAAAATAACGCTAGTTCCTTTATACCGATAAACATTCGACAGAATCACCCAGTTATAAATATTAAACGGATCAAGGATTAAGTAAAACCTGAAACCTTGAAAATTGCTCTTATTAAATTGCTCTTAAATTGCTCTTATTAAATCAATCAAAAATAGTTCAATTCAGATTTTCTTTTGCTCCGTTTACAGACTTGAATGTATTCGTAGTAGCAAGTTTATTGGAATTGCTGAAGGAAAGTTAAGCACCTCGACAAACATACTTGGATCGACGAACAAACTTTAAAGATAAAATCGCGTCATATCTAGGAAATAGGTCGCGTACAACGAATATTGCTACCACTTTTGACATAGCAAACAAACAAAACAACTTTAAATCAAACTCAATTCACAGAGACTGTTTTCATTAAAAGTTTCAGGTTTGACTCATATATACAGAAGGATAGTGTGGTTTACTTGTTTTTATTAATGTAATTGAACTAATATGTACGGTAGTTCTTAAGATAAAATGATTAGAAATGTTATCCTGTCAGGATACTATAAATAAATCATAAAATATTTCAATAAAGAATAAACTATTTGTGATATTTCAGTGAGTAGAAAATTGTATTTCTGACGTTTCGTGAACTAATGTAAGTCATTTCTTTAGAGTAAATAAACAATTTTTTACTCATCGGGATATCACAAATAGTATATTTATTATTAACTTTCTACCCATTGCCCAGTTTATTTGAGACTATCAAGTCCAACCTTGGCAGTGATATCTACAAACTCACCATAAAATATTTTATCACTCTTTTGACAGTTAAATAACAGAACTGAGACATTTTTGTAAGGAAATGTTCATTTCCAGTTTAACTTCTAATTACCTAGAAGATAAACTTATACACAAACATATCTGACTATTCGATCAAAAAACACTAACTGAAGAGCCTGATGAAGAAGTTATCGAAAACTATTGTTCGCTTTAATACTCTTTGTTTTTAAATACTCTACGGGGATTTTTAGATATTTTCGTCATAAAATCTTGCTTATGAACTTGCAAGTCAACTCATTTCTCACCCTGTCTCAACATATGTCCATACGTCTATATGCCTAAAAATGCACCTAATTGGATGCAGAAAAGAAAGATGAATAATTTCGGGTCAATATTTCAAAAAATTAGGTTAAATTTTCTTACATTTGCTTAGTAAATGATGTGTTCCTTGTAATCTGTGGTAAAGAAATCTGTAAGCAAACATATTTACAATTCATCAAATCAGTCGTCCATTCTTTTTCATGAAATGAATGGATTTTTAAAAAATCTTTTTCTCTATCCTCAAAGATTAAGATTTGATGTCAAAAAAAGACTGAATTGGAGCTTACTTCACGGGATATATAATTTGAAGGTGAAAAATCTCCAAACATCTATGTAGCTTAATAAAGTATATTCCTGGAGAAGAAATGAAAATAACCAATGGATCGGGATATTTCCTTAAGAACAAACTTACAAGCAATTAAAATCAAACAGGTAACCTAACCTAACTCCACTTGCTGCTGGACACAAGCCCGGATAAAGGAGGGTTGGACATGGGGTTAGCGACCCCATCCCGTAGAAAACCAACTCGCTAAAAAACCCTAACCAGAAAAAATAATTCAAACCATTTAAACTCTGCCCTCCAAGTTGAAGGAAGAATTATGACGCCTAAGGTAGAAGCCGAGATTTTTCGGAAGTCATGGGGCCGATGCACCTTCTAACAACCAGAGCAACACTCTTTATAGGTACACGGAACGTCCGTACAGTGTGGGAGATAGGAAAGACCAGCCAAATAGCGATAGAAATGAGGAGATACTACTTGGCAGTACTCGGAATCAGCGAAACCCATTGGACACAAACTGGACAACAAAGGCTAGGTACAGGAGAGATGCTGCTGTACTCCGGTCACGAAGGGGAAAATGCTCCACACACTCAGGGAGTTGATCTGATGCTGTCCAAAGAAGCACGAAATGCACTTGTGGGATGGGAATCTCATGGACCCAGGATAATCAAAGCATCATTCAGAACAAAGAAGGAGGCGATCATAATGGACTTTATCAAATGTTATGCACCCACCAATGATAGCAACGACGATGATGAAGGTCAGTTCTACTCGAAGCTGCAATCAATCATAGCGAAGGGCTCACGAAAGGACATCACCATCCTGATGGGAGATCTAAATGCTAAAGTTGGAGTGGACAACACAGGATATGAAGATATAATTGGACGACATGGACTAGGAGAGAGAAATGAAAATTGTGAGAGATTTGCAAATCTATGTGCATTCAACAAATTGGTTATAGGCGGCACAATATTTCCACACAAACGCATACACACAGCTACATGGATCTCACCGGACCACACCACAGAGAACCAGATAGATCATATTTGTATCAACAATGGACAATGGAAGATGTGAGAACCAGGAGTGGAGCTGACATAGCTTCAAATCACCACCTGGTTGTGGCCAAGATGAAACTGAAGCTAAAGAAACACTGGACAACTGGGAAACAGCATTAGAAAGGTTCAATACAGTCTTCCTACGAGATACTGACAAGCTCGACGAATTCAAGATAACTCTCAACAACAGGTTCCAAGCTTTACAGGATCTACTGAAAGAACAAGAAACTACGATGAAGGACAACTAGAAAAGGATCAATGAAACATTAACGTCAACCTATCATGAGGTTTTGGATCGCAAGAAGCATCATCATAAGCAATGGATCTCCATGGAAACCCTGGATAGAATTCCAAAAAGGAAGAACAAGAAGGCAGCTGAAGAAGATCAGATAAAGTCAAGGCACACATCAAAATACACAAAAGAAAACAAGCAAGTGGAGAAGAGCATTAAAACCGACAAGCAGAATAACGTGGAACAGCTAGCAACGACGGTCGAAAAAGCATCGAGAGAAGGAAATATGAGACAGCTATATGATACAATGAAGAAACTAGCAGGGAGATATAGTAAACTAGAGCGGTTAGTTATGAAAAAAGAAGAAAAGCCAATCACGGAAATTCAAGAACAGAGAAAAATTGAATCCACCGGATATCGAAGCAGCACACACAAACCTTCCTATATCTGTCACTCCACGAACGATCGAAGAAGTCAAGATGGCCATCAGACAAACCGAAAGTGGGAAAGCGACAGGATCTGACAATATACCAGCTGAAGCACTGAAGTCAAACATTGGAGTAACAGCAAACATGCTTCACCTTCTATTCAAGAAGATTTGGAAGGAGGAACAAGCACCAACGGATTGGAAAGAAGGACGCCATATCAAGATACCAAAGAAAGGAGATCTGAGCAAATGTGAGAATTACAGAGGTATCACACTGTTGTCAGTTCCAGGAAACGTTTTCAACAGTGTTGCTGAACCGGATAAAAGACGCAGTAGACATCCAGCTTCAAGACCAACAGGTTGGATTCCGTAAGGATCGGTCGTGCACAGACCAGATTGCGAAACTACGGATCATCGTTGAACAATCCATTGGCCGGAACTCGCCACTATACATCAACTTTCTTGATTATGAGATAGCATTTGACAGTGTAGACAGGAGAACATTATTGAAACTTCTTTGACACTATGGAGTTCCTGAAAAGATTGTCAAGATTATCCAAAACTCATAAGATGGACTACAGTGCAAAGTGGTGCATGGAGGACAGCTGACAGATGCATTTCCAGTAAGGACCGGAGTCAGACAAGGCTGACTATCCTCCCCCTTTTTCTTCCTTCTAGTGATTTGCTGGATTATGAAAACCTCGACATCTGAGGGGAAATACGGAATACAATGGACTTCTCAGAATCAATTAGATGATTTGGACTTCGCAGATGACCTAGCCCTCCTCTCTCATACACACGAACAAATGCAGATGAAGACCGCAAATGTAGCAGCAGCCTCCGCATCGATAGGCCTTCACATTCACAAAGGAGAAAGCAAGATCCTCAAATACAACACGGAGAACAACAACCCAGTCACACTTGATGGAGAAACTCTGGAAGATGTAGAAACATTCACGTACTTGGGAAGCATCATTGATGAACAAGGAGGATCTGATTCAGACGAAAAAGCAAGGATTGACAAAGCAAGGGTAGCATTTCTACAATTGAAGAAAATATGGAACTCAAAACAACTGTCAACAAACTTCAAAGTGAGAATCTTCAATACGAACGTCGAGACAGTCAGTTATACTGTACGGAGCTGAAACGTGGAGAACTACTACAACCATCGTCAAGATGGTACAAGTATTTATAGACAGTTGTCTACGCAAAATACTCAACATTCACTGACCGGATACTATCAGCAACAGCTTTTTATGGGAGAGAACAAACCGGCTTCTGGCTGAAGAGGAAATTAGAAAAAGAGGTTAGAATTGGATCGAACATATATTAAAAAATCACCAAACTGCGTCACGAGGCAAGCTCTAACTTGGAATCTGGAAGGGGAGCAGGAAAAAGGAAGGCCAAAGAACAAATTACGCCGGGAAATAGAAGCAGATATGAAAAGGATGAATAACAACTGGAAAGGATTGCCCAGGACAGGGTTGGATGGAGAATACTAGTGTGCGGCCTATGCTCCTCCACGAGGGGTGACAGGCGTAAGTAAGTAAGTAATGTAATCTAAACTCATCACTTCAAAACACGAAATGCTGGAACGTTGCCATCAGCTTTAGCACAGCAAGTACGATAGGACGCTACAGATCGATAAGAAATAAGTGTATAATCACAATCCGGGAAGCCCAGAGAAAATATGAAATGCGCTTAGAAAAATCTGTAATCAAGCAGCTTAATAGACTATTCTCGTACATAAATTACAAAAAAGAACGCAGCATCGGATTTCCAACCTAATTAAGGAAGGGAGTGGATTTTAAATGATATAGGACGATCAGGAAAAAGCAAATGTTACGGCAAACCGTTTCGGGGCAGTTTCCATTCAGGAACCTCTTCTAGATGAAGAACTAGATCCAATCACGAAGTTAACAAACCGTCTGCTCACCGTGGACTTTGATCGAGACAATGTGGCTAAGGCTCTTAGCACTTTAGATATGGAAAAGTCAACAGAACCGGGTGAACTACACCCCGAAATCCTGAGACAGATCGCACAATATATTACAGCCCCTCTAATTATGATAGTCAATATATCACCTGCCCAAGGTGTGTTACCTATGGACTGGGAGGATGTAATCGTTACTCCAATACATAAAACAGGGCCAAGACTTCCATCAAGCTACAAACCTGTCAGCCTCACCATTGCCGTAGTTAAAACGCTGAAAAGGATAGTCAAAGAGACCATAATGACATTTGTGGAAACCAACAACTTGTTAAACAGTGAACAACATGGTTTCAGAAAACGTTTGCCTTGCACAGCAAAACCCCTTATAACAAGGGAGCAGTGAATAGAGGCTCTAGACAGTGGAAAATCGGTGGATATCGTCTGCATAGACTCCAGCAAAGCATTTGATAAGGTGCCAACAAATAAACCGCTATTGAAGCTCGAAAATCTAGGCATTGCCGGACATCTAAAATGACTTAAGGATCTCCTGGTAGGTCGTAGACAGAAAGTAAGAGTAAATTCCAAGTGCTCCGCCTGGACACTAGTACTTAGTGGAGTACCACAAGGTTCTCTCTTAGGCCCTTTACTTTTTCATACTGTATGTAAATGAACTTCCAAGTATAGTTGAGTCCCCAATGTTACTAATCGCTGATGATGTAAAAATCTGGCGAGAAATAACAAGAGGCGAAATGCATGTGCACTTTAGGCAGACTTAAATATTGTGATTAGCTGGTCTAAAGAGTGTCTGATGCCTACCAACGCGGCAAAGTGTGTCTACATGCACTTTGGGGATACAAAAGTAAATAGGTACAGTATAGGGGAAGTGCCTGTACCCATGATCCGGTCTCACAAGTATCTTAGTGTGACATTGAGTCATGATCTTAAGACCACGGCCCACTGCCGGGAGGTTGCAGCTAAGGGGTTTAGAACCCTATGGGCTTTAAGAGGAACATTCAACAAGTTAGGCACTACGATATTCCCCACAGCATACACAACCTTAGTGAGAACTAAGATTGAAAACTGCATTCAGGCTGAAAGTTCCTGTTTAAAAGGTGACTCGGATATCCTGGAAAAAGCACAGAGGGCAGCTACCCGTGCAATTCCAGAACTCCAGGGTTTAACATACAAAGAGCAATTGAAATGCTAGACCTCTTTACTCTGTCCTATAGCATATTAAAAGGTGATCTGATTTTGATGTATAGAATACTAAGAAATGCTTTTGGGTCCAATATATCCTGTTTTTCTTCCCAAAAAATCGGGACATCTCAGAGGACATAGCAGGAAAGTAGGAGATCGAAGAACGAACAAAATACCCGTGGCATACAGGTTTTCATACCGAGTCATCAGTTCTTGGGACCTGTTACCCGAAGCAGTGGTGTCCACACCTTCAATCGACTCATTCAGATCAGACACTCACAGTAGCAAACTAGAAAAGGAATAACATAGGTCGTAGACCTTCTGTCCTTACAACATAAATCTGAAACCGGTTTTAGAAGATGTGATTCACTGTTAATTTTCATTCAAAACGTTAAATCATTATCCTTTAAATCAGCTTCGGAAATATAAGTGGATTACAGGGATTATAGTATAGTTTCAAAGAATGGTCTCAGTAGACTACAGACTAAGTTAACAAGTTTCAGAACCAACAACAAGGTAAGATTCATACGAAATTTTTTAAATATGGTTTATTTTTATGCGAACAAGTACAGTCAATATGACACTTTAATTACTATATGTTTTTACTGCTATGTGGAGCAAGCATGAAGGTCCAAGTGACACAAATAGGATTAGACATGACTTAGCTGAACTGGATGAAACATCTCCAAAACATTTTATTCATATGTTTGGTCTGTACTTTGTCTATTTGTAAACAGTGGTGCTAGTCATTAAGATATAAAGCCACGTATACCAAAGTCCATTGTTTGATGAGACTCATCAGTAAGACAAAACAGTAACTTGGTATAAATTTGATTTTGAACATCTGAGATCTGACGTTTTCAATGAAGAGTAGGTAAACATGTAGTTCAAGTAATCATGCCGCACATTGTAGCCAATGACTTGATTTGATCCGTGTGATTAACCTTTTATATCGGCAAAACGAAAGCTATATTCAAATGAAACAAATGTCATAAATACCGACGAGAATGTTATTGAACAACTTCATTAACTTGTATAACAGAAAATATTTTATTCATTTTTCGACCTGAAACCTATATTTTACAAATATACTCTTCCTATTTAATGAAACATATTTCGCTCTAAATTTAAATAACTGTGAGAAATAATGAACTACGTCTCCTAAAATTTTACACTATTTGTAAGTGAATCGTATTTACTTGGAACGTTGATTCAATTCATTAACTAAATGATTAAAATAGAGGTTTTCACTCCTAAGTTCAACTTCTTTTGTGCTTTGAATCACGACGTAAGAAAATGCAGATATTTTGCGTAAACAAGTAGATTAAGTGAGCGCTATCCAAAGTGAATTTACAACTAAAAAACCTTTTAATGGTGACTCTACTCATCAATGACAGAATCACTCCCAACTTTATTCAGAATAAACACTAACTTGTATCATTACCCGACATAGATTTACTTGCAGCTATATCCGAGTATCGTAAAACATAGGTGAAGTTTGGATAAACCTAATTTTCAGTTTTCATTAAATATTGGAGATAATTAAAACTGTAAAACATAAGTAATTGGATTATACTTCATGCTGAAGGTGAAAAAAACTACTAATTACGCAAAACAACAAGATTTAATTTCGATAATGCAATGAGAAGACGAAGTTTATCAGAATTATGTGATATATTAGCGCAATACATTTCGAACAATCTGATCACACATATACTTGCTCGAAATCTATTGCGCTAATATATCACATAATTCTGATAAACTTCGTCTTCTCATTGCATTATCGAAATTTATCAAAGAGACTAATTGTTTTAAAAACAAGATTTAAGTTGGATTATGAAATTGATTACAAAAATCAACTATTTTTTTCTCCAACCTACTAGATGGTCATCATTCCATATAGTGTCACACTTATGATCAAAAACAAGATCTAAATGCAAATTTTTTATCATTATATCACTATCATGGAAAATACATTTAGTATTATTTTGTTAGTAATAATACCGAGGCATTAATGAGGTTAAGTCTAGCTTACTTCGATCTATATAAAACAAAACTTTACCTGGATGATTAGAAGCCTCTAGTTCTGCATCCTCACACTCTGAAGCGGCGTCTAATAGAATCCAGTGAAGTGTGTAGAGTAACTTTGTTTCTGTCTGACTGAAGATCAATCGAGTTCGGTCGTGAGACAATCCACAACTGTTTAATGTATGTTTTTGATGAGGTAGATCTGCAGCAAATTTGTCCCGTAACTTTTCCCGAAGCATTATAGCACCACAATGAAGTACGTGAGGTAATGCAGCCTTCACAAATTTCCATCTGCTTATTGAATGTATAGCCTCGCACAGAACTATTGATCGACCATGTAGTATATTTTGCACTAAAACCTTCTCAAAAGTCTGTATTATTTAAAAGTTTTAAAACATTAGTACATAGTTGTTAAATAAAGGTTTAAAAAATCGTCGTTTAATGTACAGTGAAATTCAACATACATAGAACTTTTGAAAAAGTTTGCCGTGATAGAAAAAAACACTTTTTTAAGTAACTTGTTCAAACCACTACGATCATCAATGGCTACTTTATCTTGGAATCTTCGATTGTAAGCTGGGTCTTTCACTAGGTGGTGGTTGCATCTGAAGAAATCCCTCGTTAAAAAGACAGTTTGTAAATCGACTTACGTTCTGTGGAAAATCTATTTCCAAAATATTTCATAAGAATTTTCATGAGAACAAAATATTATTATCTTACAACAAAGCTTATCTTAGAAGCCCGGTCAAACAAAAGTACTTCCGCAGCTAGACTATTTGAAATAATGAACAAAAACGTTCTTTATGTTCCCCTACATAAACATGCAAAATCATTGATCTTATCAGACCATGACATTTATGTTGAGATTTGATTAAATATCTTATTAATTTGTATTGGCGTACTATTTTTTTCAATAAAATATTTGAACGTGTTTATTTGTATGCACTGTTGTTCATAGTAATTAATTGATACCCCCATAAGCTACTTATTCTCTCATGCTTCACTTCAATTTGAATGTTACAGAACGCAATCAGGCAAATGATAATCTGAAGAAGTGATGAGACAATATTCCCCCTGTTCGATTATCTAACTTAGTGATCAGCTTATATTCCTTAACTGAAGAAGTGTGAATTACTAAAGTACGGAATCGACTATGACATAATGTGAAATTAGTGGATGACATATCTAGTAATCAGTTTTCTAAACTGTATATCAATTAAAATGATGGCCCCGCCATTGAACCACGTCTAGTTTAAAATAGATTTATGTATTGTCAAGATGCCCTGATGCCACTGTTCTAACATTAGGTTAATAACAACTATGAGTAGAAAGTCGTCCAACCTTTAAATAAATGCATACATATATATGATTTAACTTTTTTAAACCTCGTTTACCACTGAAACTAATTAACAATATCTTAGGTTTCACCCCTCGAATTTTGCAGATTTGAAATAATTGTAAGATGGAGGTTTACTCCATCCTGAAGAGCATTCTCTATACAAGCTTAAGTTTGCCTAATGTAACTTTATTCAGAATATGTTGATGTGAAATAATTTGAAGCTCAACTAGAACACATGATATTTATTCTTAATTGAGTCAAAAACATAGACGAATATTTGAAAAATATTCAGCTCTTTTCCTGAATAATTCCTTAATCCATTTGTTATGGTAATTTTTTAGGAAAATATGGCAATCTACAGTCCAGCCAAATGAAATTTATAGACTATAACTTCTTAAAGAAAACTCTTCTCTACAAAAATAAATTCTATTCATCCTCATTACTTATATAAGAACTTCTTGTATTCAAAATGGAAATTGCTTTGAATATTTTCCAATGACAAGTATAAAAGTATTTATAGGGAAAGCATTCCTAGTCTTACAATTCTTTACTAGTGTCACAAATAACTTTTTTAAAAACATATGGGGACGGAGAAATAGGCAAGACTTCGTGGAACTGAATTAATTGTTAACGTAAACAGAAAGATTGAACAGCGTGTAAGACAGCAAAAGAAACCCACTGGTTAGGCTTGAGATAACTCGTTCTGTGCTAGAAAGAACAGTTCATTAAGAGAAGAAACTTGCAACGACATCAAAGAACGATAGACTTTCAAACGCGAATGATAACTTTATGGCATTGTATGCATGATGTAAATAAAGATGAGCAGAAAATTCATATATACTACTGTGATAAGCTTTCATATACCATGCTTATGATTTCTCAAGCTTTAAAAATCTTAAATTACAAGTCTGGATTCCCCAATGGAATTCATGGATCCTTTTTGTATTTTTAATTGTTCATTTTTTACTTAATCTTCTTGCAATCAACATCTCACGTTGAGATACAAGCTGACTAGTATGTCTAGCATGCGAACTAAACACCTTAGCTACTACAAGTAGAACGTGTAAACAATCAATTTACTTTTCTGCATTCTTAAAAACTTTATAAATGATTATTATTATCACCAGTTACTAGCTTGATGGTGCACAAACAACCATCTGGATACAATTATGGTCGAATATCTGTAAAACTATTTTTTCCTCGACTTATAATAATTTAGCGTAGAATGGACTGTCATGCAATTACCTTGTATTCTGACACTCGTTCAAGGCTCTCATCGATGGAATAGATGATTTTAAGTTGAGTACCTAGTGAGTCTCGGTATGCGTCCGCATTTAGCTATTATGCCCATCAGCAAAAAAAAGTGAAATTCCCCCAATTAAATGGATGAAAAAATCTATGAATGAAGAAATGAAGAGTTCTACGTAAAGTAATTATAGATTTCGAGTAAACGTTGATGGATTACCAGGTTGAACTGTATATCTGTAGATTTACGGGCGGGTAATAGCAAGCACACTTTGTACCAATGTTATTCGCTTCCTGTCACTTCTTTTCAGATTGTACCGCTTGGAGTTTTTGTCGTCTGAGCTATTCACACTGTAAACAAACTCCAAATAACTTCCTGCAATAGCACTACACATGAACCGCTGGATTCATCGAGTATAACTGTTTTAGTAACGCAGCATCATAAGTATAATTACTTTCAAATCTATATTGGTTAATATTTGAAGTGTTAGTTATAATACAAACTATTTTCTTGAATACCTAATGATTAGATTAGTGAGATAAAATATGAAGAAACACGTTACCAACTACCTAACTTAACGAATCTTCTCTTAACATTTACAGAACTGTTTACCCGGTAGTTTTGGGGAGTTTAATAAGTACACGATCAAAAAAGGACGGTAATACGACCAAAACGTGCATACTTAATCGATCATCATGAACTTCTCGAAACATCCATAGTGAAGAACCAAATTGTTACTGTTTTAATCCTGTTGACCTACTTTTATTCATCTATTTCATTTCTCAAAGCTTTTTAGCCATTGTTGAGAATACAATTAACATCCTAGAAGTCTTTTTGAATGCATTAGACTTTATACTGTGTTAATGTACTTTTTAAAAAATACAGTGGACATTGAACATTTGAAGACAAATAAAAAGAAATTCTTACGGAACATTGATTGATCTTATGTTATTTTTCGACATCATTAGATTACCAGTTTAAACATGTAATCATACCTAACAGTCTCACTGATAAGTCTGACATCAATCTAAAACAAGAAGAACCTTGGTCCCGTCGAAAACCTTGACCGTACGACAAAAGAAGGTAGAAATCAACTGAACACCTTGAGACTCGGATACTCTTGTGATTGTTTGATGATTGACCGGTAGAACACTTTTATTCCCAATCCATGAAATACTTAAATACTATTCACCAAACATTTCATAATATAGACTTGATATAACATAATGACTGCTTATTCTGACAAGCAAATTTTAGAAAAGGAGAAGAATCATATGAATAAACATCAATACTGGGACCTAGTTTAGTTTTACTTCTGTTTTCTTTGCTTAACTGTAAACATGATAAACATAAAAGTTGCCTGACTGCTGAAACTTTCTACTCTTCTTGAGACAGGCCAGAAACCTATTCTCGTACAAGTCAAAATCTACACAGTACTGTGGAGACTTGTTTCACGGTCTGTTAATGATCCTCATTTGTACTCGTTTGATAAAGTGGTTGACTGATCATATAAAATTTAATTGTTTGATTGTTAACAAACAAATTACGAAGAGGAAAAATGGAGCGAGTACTGAGTAAAAAAATAACATATAACAACAAGCAATATATCAAATACCGAAGGGCCCGATATATCTAACAGCTTGACAAAACAAATGTGTATTTATTTAGCCAAAAACACTTACAAATACTTTTAGGATGGATGAAATGTAAGAAAACATTGAAACTAAATGGAATAAACGTAGATAATGAGATTCAAAAGCTTAACGAGTCACAGAATCCCCAAATGACTCAGGAAAATAAACTTTTGTTTAATCACAGTAGAGTAAGCCGTTATATACATACACTGCCTTTTCAATCGAAGAAAAATACAACTTAGCAACTAGGCAGAAATTTACGCTCTAAGCTACAGACTACGTTCAATATATTAATACCAACCTTAGACTGGTAGGTTACTCAACGACCAAACCTTTGTAACCAAAAACAGTAAAATGAAGTTTTAGGTACCAGGAATTTACTAAAACGATAATTCGTAATTTTAGATTACACATACAAACCGAAATTTGTTGTTTATTAATAAAAAAAAATTAGAGAAAACTGGATAGCAAAACATAAAATAAAATATGTGAGTAGATAAAATGATGAGATTTCGAAGGCGATTATCAGTGCCATTCTTGACATCTGCAGTTTTCTATACGAATGCTATAAACATTAGAAGAATCAAGTAGTAGATTACCAGGAGTTAAAGATATATTTAAAAAGCCGTGAAGCGTTCTTACTGGTAGTAAAAATCATGGCAAAATGAAAACTTGTATTGTGATCAGATAGTACAATAAGTGATTTTCAGGTTTTCAGGTTAGCATTCTTGGTCAGATGAAAACTAAAACTCCTGCTACATACATACACTTTCACTAAACATTTCCAAGCAAGATTCTTTTGGTACTATCAGCATGCGCTCACAAACAGCCACTCAAGAAATTGGAAACATGACGTCAGATAACTATAAAATAACGTCTTGTGTGCACCGTGAGTTAATTCTAAGTTTTCACCAGTGGGATTAATAGTTTATAAGCTGCTCAAACTTCACCCTTAAGAAAAAATACACTTAACCATTCCTCGTGACTTTGTCTAGAATACCATCAAAAAACATAGTAAAATGTCAGAATCACTGAGGGCCTATAGATATTTCTAAATATAAAAATTCATTACTCACAGTACAGACCCCGTCCCTTGCTGAAGGTTTCTGCAAAAACGAACTGTGCAAATATGACATATAGTTAATTCGCAACCTACCATGTCTGGGAAAATAGGAAGCTTTGTATTGGTAATGGAATGTGAGATGATGAAGACTTGTTCATTGAAAACTCATACGAGAAAATCAGTCAATTAATTAAAAAGCGTTGAGATTTGGAATTAAGTGGATCCTTCTATCGTATTAAGGTACTTTGTGTGCTATAGGAGTATCCACAGCTGCTTATATGTAAGAACTTCGAGACAAATAAAAAGCGATCTGACCTGATAAGTACATATAACTCATCCACATTTATTATTGAAGACAACCGATAGCAATCAATGATAGTAGTAGCCTAATATTGAATGGTCTAGTTGTTGGGACACGAAATCAACAGTGTGTCGTCCCGAGCGGGTTACAAATGTAGCACTCGAAAACTTGCCAATAAGAACTGAATTGAATTTTACACCGTTAAACAACCCCAAGTATATATCAAACAGTTGCTTCGTTTTTTAAAATTCATTGAAGGAGTACGTTTACAGATGGAATAACCAGGTCTCAAGAGGAATTTATTCGTTTAAATGGATTTAAGCATTATTCTTGTAAATCTGGCACTACCCTGTGTTTTAATGTAGATATTCGGTTGAGTATTATCACAAAGTCACGTCACGACCTATTGTGAAACTTTTTTATACTGTAGACAGAATGTATAATAATCCTCACGCTCCTCAACCTCCACATGCAAAGAAATTTACCCTTCTGCATACCATGATCAAATGGTTCAAATGCTTGTTGACAGAATAGAAGAAGCTTTCGCTTATCGGGCTTCTGTGTCTAGTAACAGTGAATCACTAATACCTCCAGGTAGGAACCTAAGTATATTAACGGTAAAAAAAGATAAAGAAGGTGGTAAATCATAGTAAGATACTATCTCTAGTCCTTAAGAATATGTCAAGTTTTCTCTTAAAGGACTCCTGGGAAGTCGTTTGGACTAGTCAGCGGCGAATTCCAGCATTTTACTATTCTCAAGGAGTAGAAGTTGTGTCTACAGTCCGTTCTGCCTTCATTCACCCCCATGATTGTCTTAAAGCTTGAAAGTACTATTAAGAAGAATGTGCTCTCGAAGTCGTCGAACTAAATGAGTAGTTTCAGTACGGGAAAAGCACGGTTAGAGATCAGATGAGAAGACTGTTCAAATTAAAGAACATATCGGAAGATGTAGATGGACGGCTGAAGGCTATGTATATTTATTATGTGTATGCTTTGTAATTTGTCACAACAATCATAGGTCCCCTCTCTCCACTTTCTTCTTTTACACAAGTAGCAATATAGTTGTAAATAAATTTCCGGAACAAAAAGACTTTGTAAGGCCCTGACGTTGATGCTGAAATGACTAATTTAACTAAATACGCCCAAAACTGAAGTTTCTAGGTAAAGTTCGGATAAACACTGCCGTGCATCTCCAACAACAACTATTGTGCTCAGATTGCATACACCCCGTCTTAACGACACTTATCCTTCATATATTCCGACCCTTATACATAATTATTTTTGTTATCTCAAAACGTAACATAGTGACGAGAATCGGTCAAAAGTATAAGACATATTGGTATTCTGGAACCACTGTTTCAATAATGTGATTTGCGATTGCTCCATCAATTGAATGAATATTAAACCTTGCCCGGTATTGTAATCTTGACTCCAGATCGTCTTCATAGGTATGTAGCTGACAAGCAGCTTACATACTAGTGGGGACTACCCAAAGGGTGCCACAAAAAACTCAATCACAGTAAAGTGTATTAAGACTAAGTATGTGTAGTGAAAATGTATTTGTATGAAAAAATAAACTTGCACATATCCGTTTTTAGATGAAATATGTGATCTCAGTTCAAAATAAAACAACTGCACGTATAGTTGATGAACTGCATCCTGTGTTATTTATTTCTCAGGTCGTTGGAATGAAATTACAGTGCATAAAGAGTGGCAGGGATGAAGACATAACGAGGGTGAAATCAGTAGAAAGAATATATGCAAATGTGCGCAATATCATACGGGGAAGTATGCGATGTATGAACTCATTAAAAAACATCTATTAAAACACAATCATATTTTAGATGATTCTAAGGCAGATGCGAAAAATGAGCATCAACGTAACTAAATACTGAGCACTTTTCGCACTAGAAGTGCTACATAAAATGGCTCGAAGAAAATGTATTTTAGTTAAAGCCCTACGGAAGAGAAACCCTGAAAATCATTGTATGACTAATAAGTGATGAGGTAGATCGTAGTGTGTATTCTTCTATTTGTGAATTAAGTATTGATAGATTTGTTATTAGAAGAGAGGCGAATTATTATATGGAATAAATAGACAAACGTTGCCAGTAGTCCATGACGATTACCTTCTAACCGTTAGTTCAATAGCATTTTACACTTAAACACAAAATTACTAACAAACGTTTCATTAAGACCGGATGGCAATTAAGTATTCCTTTCTCCTCTTGAATTATTACAGAAAAAATTATGAAAAGTAATTATTGTTGAAGAAGAATTAAGGAAAATTCAGTGGAAATACTGTATTTTTAGCGATGTTGTTGCTAAAAACTGTCCATGTTTTACTGTTATCGAAGAACGTTTTCCTTCTGACTCACTACCTGAAGAGGCTGTATTCTTTTGTGACTTGACATTTACTCCTACAATTTGTCAATTCTTGCATACTACCAATTATTCTCTACTGTTCTCCATTAGTCTTTCTCGGACTTTCGAGAAAAGGCTGTTGTGTTGCGAATAGTACTGAAGACAGTGAGCAAGGTATGTGGAGAATCATTTGGGATCATTACTAGTATGGTTGTGGACAGACATCTAATGTCCTGCAAACCCCTGTCAGGTATTATCTTCTCTGATACTAACCATCCATTTCACTCACATCCTTTTCCTTGTACATCTTCTGGTAGAAAAAGACGTCAATACATTAAAATTCACACACGCAGGTAAAGGTATAAAGTTTCTATAACACTTTATCTAGCAAATATGCTCTATGGTAAACAGGTTGTTAGAGTCGACCTAGTCAATAACATGTATTCTTCAACATGTTTCTAATCGAAAAATTGCACAGATTCAGATCATTATTCACCTTTTTTCTTTTTTCCTTGATTGCTTATGTAAAAGAAACTTGCTGAACTACTTCATGCTGGGGATCTCACTATGTGCCAAAATGTAATATTGAACAAAATCCTTGATAATAAATCAAGTTGTCTTCCAAAAAATCTCAGTGGTGTCACAAGACTTCAAAGGCCTAAAGAAGATCGCGTAGTAATGGCAAAATGAAAAAAGATGAAACCAACATTACGAAGGATAGCTAGCCACCTAAAATGAGTGACAGAGACGAAAAATACATTAAAAACTGTATGATAATGACAAGTGGCCAAAAATCAAAAACACAAAAAATTATCAACAACTAACATACCAAATGTAAAAAAATTAGGTGTAAGTGTCATGGTGTGATGATATCTTGCACATGAAGCCTTCGCATACGTATCTCGAGTTCAAAAAATCTTCTAAAACCTCTGTAGCAAATTCACTTATAGGACATTGTAGTTGCATTTGTAATCCATGCAACTGAATATGATTGTGCAATACTCTAGTAGGGGTCGAACACATACCTTATAGGTAATCATTTTGTATTCACTTAAATGGGTTATAAGTGATAAATCCAGAACGTCTATGTGCTTTAGAGAGCTACGATGAAGCTTATCCAGTGAATAAAGCTCTTTTGCAATATTTCACTCCAGAACTGCAAATGCCGTTTAGTTGTCCAAATTAAAACTTATCCAGATGCTAGCTTATCTGTGAATTAAACATAGCAAAATAAATTTGCTTGGATTTTGGTTATTAAGAAAGCAAAACCATGTATCCCTTTAAACTGAATTTCAACAAAAATGTATCCTAATTACACAAACTTTAGGGATCGCAATGCTCAAATGGTTACTATGTATATGAACAGGTCAATGCATTAATCGAGAAAAGCACAAAGATGTGATATAAGTCTCACTGTACATCAAAAATTTTCCGTTTGGAGTCTACTAAATACAACTAACGATGCAGATTTGACGAACAAATATGGCCATTATTGCACATTTTTGTCAATTCAGTTTTATTTTCAATGAAAATCTGAACATACACTGTGAAGAGAATGTAAGGAAAATAAATTCTAAACGAAGGAGAGTGAAAGAGTTTATTTTGGTGAATGATCACCAAACTCATCAATTAAGTTTCCGTAAATCGACATGATGGAATTTAAAATAATAAGCAAGACAGTTCACTTCATACTGTTTTTTCAAAGCGCAGATGATTTAGTGTAATCTTATCGCCATTGACATCTCGTCAAACAGGTCAAAACACTAACTGGTGCGTGGCAGTTGCGCAATAACATGTTTACTCCTTAGATATGGCACTTCACGGTGAATCGATTTTTTACTCCCTAGTGGTCTTTTCGTGATGCTGCGTAAGCTTATCTGCGGGTGACGTGGCCTTGAAGTTTTAAAGGAACTGATTCCGTCTTTTTTATCAGAGGAGCTTGTTGGCTTTCATTTGAATGATTGTTCTGTGTGGTCAGTGAGATAACACTGAACCTTGTTCAGATGATCTGTTGTGCTTCATGTATTTGTGCCTCATAATGATTGATGAAAAATAAAGCTCATGGACGATGTAAAGTAGATTCATTGAATAACAATCATGAAACTGTCTCACCATCATCTCATAGACTCTTAAGCTCGACCTTCTCTTTATCCGTTATTCGAACTAATTGTTTCTTTTGATGAAGTTTAGGAATCTGCTAAACCATCATTCGGATGACTACGTATCTCATTTGTGGACGGATGTCCAAGTTAAAATACATTATTGCAAACTTTTCTGCACTAAACAAAATCTACAACAGTTTCACTTCGGCATTCTCTCTTAGGACTTTACGTCTATAATAGAATTTGTTGCCTGATGTTGGGTCTCTTTTTATTTATAATTTCGTGACAACAAAAAAAATTAAAATTGTCTTCTTGTTTAAGGATGCAAGCGGCCTGCTTTTGATTTCTGGAGCTTTGTACGAATCATATTACCATCACGTGAAATCTAGATAGTATAGGTTAGGTGCGTCCTATCTATTTGTCGATCTAATGCCGGTGGCTATTGTGAGTTGTGTGTTTTTGATACAAAATGGTCCCGCATGACCACAACAAGTCAGCCTACAATCCGGACATGATAATTTAAACGGCGTGAGAAAGCTCCCGACGCTTCAGACTTAGCCCGGTTTGCAGGTGTGATTATGCCTATTAAAACTCCTGGGATAGTAGAATCATTTTAGTGCCTATATATTTTTACTGTTTGCCGTCCGTGACATATTAGGTGTGTAAACCAGACATCTGTTCCGGAATGTTTATCCATTAAAAGATTAGTTTTCCCGATAGAA